CAGGAAACATCAAATGGAGAAGGTGTGAAGATACGAGTCGCGTTGAGGAGGTCGACGTGAAATTCCGAGTGATCGGCTGACTCGACCGAATAGGGGAAATATCAAAGTGAAGCAAACTGCAAAGGACTGCTACTACTGCAAGCAAAACCTGTGATAGGCAACGCAGCTTTCTCTCGACAAATAAGGCGAAAGTGATGTAAATCCCTAAATACAGCTTCGCTCAATCTACGGTGTTCGCAAGAGTAGTGCTTCGCGGCCCCGGGACACTTCTCTAGAGCTCAAACATAAGAAACTCAAAAGCTCGCCATACTCAGGTACGATTTTGAAGGGCGCCATTTTGAAGTGCGGAAAAACATGATGCCATTTGCTCCTGGCCGGTAGGTCCGTGGACCGGTGATGACGCCAAACAATATGTGGCGTTGCCACATCAGGTTACTCGTCCGAACCGGGTGCAGTACCAAAAGCATCTCGCGGTTTCAATCATGTTTCAAACCTCAAATTGCCTAGCGTAACAAGGATAGAGAGAGTTTGTCCCCAGACAACAGACAACAGACAACACGAGAACGATGATATACGGAGTAAAGTTTCAAATACAAAATACGAGCATCGACCAACACCTAGCGTGATTAGCATCCTGGACTCGCACTTGGAGATCCTGTATTGCAAAATCATGGCCTGATTCGTTCTTGTGGAGACTGGAATTGGGGATGCAGGTGGCAGTTGGCTGCAGAAACTCATGCTCGTCCACTCTTGAGCGCGACGCACAACAGAATGTAGCATTGCAGCTCGCTTAGAACTACTCGTGCGGAGTATTTCTACATCGTGCATCGTAAAATAAGAATTTGCAGATTGTGCCTGTCACCTTGCAGAAGCTTCCGAAAGACGCTGCGATCTCGATTTGGTGTTCTCAGAGAGTGTGACTACAAGAGCAGTTAGTTCATCTGCAACGTGGTAGTAATGTGACATATAACAGTGAAAGACTGTAGTCGTCTCACTGGGCTTTGAATTTGCTTTTGCAGATATAAACTACCAAAGTATGTACCAGTCTAGTAAATCGCGCAATTCTACCCCCAAGTTTCTTTTCCGGTCGTGGGCTCCTGCGTACCTATGGCGTATTCGAGCGAATTAGGCATAGATATTTGAGGCGCAACTCCGACCACATGGCTCGATAGTGGGGGGAAGAAGTTGAGACCCTAGAGAGGAGTAGTACGCTGGAAGTGCAGTAGAACTTGGAGGTTGTTGTCAATTTTCGTCCCGCCGCAGAACCCAGGCAAGTGCACTTAGACGTGAGGCTGAGGCGCGGGCCCTCCCTACCCTCGGAAAGCATCCGTCAGACGAGACAAGCCCTAGCATCCTTCTCGTCTCCCTAGTTCCGCGTTCGAAAAGTTTTGAGACAGTACAGTAGTGTACTCCTTTTTTATGATCTAGTCTATGGCTAAGAACGAAGACACGAAGTAGCCACGTATTAGCGGTCCTTCCATCTATTATTATTGATTGGTGCTTCTTCTAAACACCACGAAATCTAGTAATAAGACAGAATTTACACTGCAATTATATGCCCCGCGCTACTTATAAAGCTTGGTGTTAACAACAGAAGGCTCTTCATTAAGGCCTTTGAAGTTTCAATTCAAGATTGGCTTAGCTCTTATAACAAACCGGGGTAAAGAACCAATTATATTTGCCGCCTTCTGTTTATCTATGCTAAGTAATGGGGAATGAAGACTTGATACTGGCGTGCACACAGGGGTATATCCCGCTCCTGTTATTGAGAAGTTGGTGCTTATGGTCGGTTGCGGAAGTTCCGAGAGCAAGGGCGTTGAACCATGCCGACTCGTCACTTAAAATAATTGGGTCACTGTACCCCGTACCTTTGTATCACTATCACCTCCCTACAAACTCTCCTGAGGAATTGCATACGGTACAGTACTCATCAACGCCGGCACTGTATCTTACAGGCCTATCGTGTTATCGGTCGGAGCACAACCGCGGCAAAGCGGCAATGTCTCGCGGCAAGTGCAAGAGTGAGAAGACTAGAGCGGCAGAGCCAGGGTTGAGCTGCGTAGCTACCTAGGTATATAACACAGTAATAAGGTCGGTGACGAAGTCCTTCCTTCAGAGTCCCGACCTCATATCCACGTCGAGGTTACGCAAAACATCACGGCTCTCCCGGCTACTTTGCAGGATCGATGATATTGGGAATAGTTCTCAGCTGAGCTTGCGTGCGAGATTGGCAAACGCGGATAACCAAGATACAGCATTATAAAATCGCAGAAAGCATAGAAGTTCAAATGCCGAAGGTGCTGCGATGCAATTACATAAAGCTCCCCAGGGTCAAACAGTGTATTTGTTTAGTCAACCCCTAAGGTATTGTTGAACGACTTACGCCAACTCACACGAAAAGCGACAAGCAGCCTGAAACCATCTTCACGATAACTACCTGTTCGTCTTCCATTGCCGCAAGACTGCAATGATACTGAAAGTTGTCGGTCTCCCGAATTGCATAATCACTTTTTACCTAGCTGCAGCATCATGAAAGTAATTGATGTCAGCTTGCCATAAGCTAGATGTCACGTTTTTGGAATTTATGCAGGGGAAATGAAGTGATTGTCTCTGGTTATGTGCCCCTTTCACTTATGCTAAGCTCATCACGAATACTCCAAGATCGTGGGAGGTTTTTCTTTATCGTGATATCAATCTTATATCTCTCAACATTAGTATAATGCTAGCTGCGGCAATTGACATAAAGAATAGCCGGGATACAGAAAATTGGCCTAATGCTAATCAATTTGGTGATAACTACTTGTAACCTCCTTTTGAGGACGTACAATCAACTGACTAAGAGGACAAGAGAGCAGAGCTATTATAATATTGCAAGGAACGGTCACACCCAGTACCATGCTCACGTTGTTATCCCAGCATCATGCTAGCGTTGAGCAAGGTAAGCGAAAGTTTGTCCAGGGTCAAAGCCTGCAACGGTACAGGTCCCCCGGGGCGCTACTTGCAGGGGCCTCCCTAGCGGTGGAGGGGGCTGAACCCTGGAACTGGTTTGGTCGGGAGATGTGATCTTTGGGTGCTGGAATTATTTGAACCCTCTGGGCCGTCTGGGGTGGTGAGTACTGTACGGAGGGAGGTATGATCCTACGGTACTGGAAATCCCTTTTCTTCTTTTCATCCAGTTCCCTCTGCCTCCCGCCCACTCCCGCTTTTGTACCGGAATAATAAATAAGACGAAACACATAAATACCGATACATTTTCTCTACCCTGTATCAACACCACGCTTCTTGTACCTGACCTGATCATTCTGCGATAGATGGCATAGCAAACGTTCAGGAAAGAAATCCTGTTTTGTATACTCCGTAGCTCGTAGGTAGGTTGCCATGCGGAAACAATAGACTACGGAGTACTACCTTAGTCTACTTTTTGAAGTGAAGGCCCTTAGTAGTTAGCTCTTCTTTTGTCAACCCCTAAACATCTACTAGCGGTATTGTCTTGCTACTACCCCTGACACTCTAGAACTAAACTACCCCGGCCGTCCCTGATCAGCCCAACCACCCTTGAAAATCTACTGCGTCAACCTTGCGTCGTGAACGGCTAATACCTGGGGATTAAGCTCCATCAAGTATAGTTTCTACGCTTGCCGGACCGCACCTCAGGACTTTATCGCCCTGGCGATAGCCAGCCTCGAGGGACGTCTTGTACCTGATTAACAAGTCGAACATGTGTGGGCCTTCACTCCACTTTGTTCTTTACAAGATCCGTCCTCAGACACGGACTCCACCACTCCTCCGAAGTCTTTCTTCAAACTCTCACAAATGAGGGCCTTCTGCTAGATCCGTCCGTCATTGAATCTGCAACTCCTCTTCATATACAAACATAGCCGTTATTCTTCACTACACAGTATTTACCTTTCTACCACAAGTCCGGACCCTCCCTTTTTACCAACTTCAATTGTATCTGAGCAGGCACCGTTTCCTCAATTGAGTCAAGTCTCCACGCTCAAGCTTCCCTGAACAGGTATTCTGGAAAGACAAATCGCCGTCCGTACTTAGATCAACACCCTTTGACCGAGGCGCAAACGACAAAAGAGACAGAAGACTGCACGTGTGGCCGGAACTTCAAGACGACTACACAATCATTAAATCGGTATACTCTCGCGGGCCAAATATCCCTTACGGACACGCTATATTGAGTTTCCCCAGACCAGCCATTACTCTGCCAACGCTTCAACATCTCAGTCTTTGCGTTCACCATTCTACCATAATATCAACTACACGTCTATTCTCTACTTCAAAAATATCCTTCGTTTCAGATTCTTAACCCTCTGATACTGTAGACAAACCCTTAGACGTCGAAACAAGTAGGGCTAGACGTCTCCACCCCCCGAGTCGCGCGATCAACGACTAGTTCTGTCACCTCACATCTGCCGAGAACCCTGGAAGCGCACCTTTCTTTTCTTTACACCAATCCCCTCAGCCCCTCGCATCAGCTGTACGAAGTAGCACAAAAAGGCCAGAGCCAGGTACGACCTTGATCAAAGGTACATTTAAGGTGGGAGTATCTTTTCTGCTCGTGCATCTCGCCACTAAACCCTGCTTGAGGGACTACCCGGGATCCCTTGATCTCTAGAGTATGTAAACAGCTGTGTTTCCTACTCACCACTTGCTGATTCCTATTAGCTCAAATATTGACTTCTTCAAGAACCTTATTTGGACCTTGAGATCCTGGTTTGCCTTGGGGACTTGGACTTATACTTCACCTCAACATATTCTCGTCACCAAGAGTTGACTACGGTTTTGCTCTACCGTATTGGATCCCCTTCCAAGACCCGGGTCTGTTCCAACTCGTGCGGCGCACCAGTCTTGTACATATCACCACACAGACCAGGTCTTTTCTTGTAGAAGCACGTCACATTCCGAAGACAGCAGCTACCTGATATATGCCCCTTTAGCATCGAAGGAACATTTTACTTGCCTTAAAGGACCTCTCGAGTAAGGTGAGGATGGACGTTATGGAGCTGGTGGAGAACGAGCCCAATGCCCGTCCTTTCCAGTGTGACTGGCAGGTGTGCAACAAGGTACGTGCAGTACCCAGATACTGGCGTGAAACAGGACGCTGGACTAATTCTCAACAGAGCTTCAACCGGAAGTCTGATCTACAGAGACATTACCGAATCCATACGAATGAGAGGCCATATTCGTGTATGACACCTGGATGTGGAAAGAGCTTCATTCAAAGAAGTGCTCTCACTGTCCATATTCGCACTCATACGGGCGAAAAACCGCATCAATGCCAGCACATTGGATGTGGGAAACGGTTCTCTGATGTGAGGAAACGTCAAGCCTCACCAGAATTATCCTTACTAATAATAAGTGTTCAGTCTTCAAGTCTTGCACGCCATCGTCGCATCCACACAGGGAAGCGTCCTTACAGGTGTGCTCACGAAGGTTGCTTAAAGAGGTTCGTGGAGGTGATAGATCAGGCTAAATGCATTGGTTGCTAACAGGATAGTAGCTTTTGCCGGAAGACAACTATGGTCAAGCATCAACGGCGGTCGCATCAACGAGGCATTCATTCATCGGAGCTGGACGATGGCGAGAGTTCCGAATCTGACAGTGGGGATTCCCCCTCTACCCCTCAGCACTCAGGTCCAATGCATTGGCCACAGAGCGTTGCAGCACCAAGCCAGTCTGTTGTGCCGCAGGCTCATCACATGCTCCGAGCCCACTCAATGGCGGAATATGGAAATCACCACCAGATTGATGGATATCCAATGCAACAACAATATAGCCACCGACACAGCCTTTCTGGCGGTGCTGCTCAGCAGAGTTTCAATGCTCCAATTCCGGAGCAACAAAGACACTCCAATCCCATGAACCACAGGGCGCCAAGTCTCCCTGCCCACTCTTCATACTATGTGCCAGAACAGAACAATCCTGGTGTTGCAACTTTGAACACAAATCCGCCTCCGATACAAACGTATCAAATTCCCCGGCATCAAATGGAAGGCCCAGTGCATGAGATGATCCAAAGTAGCCCGAGCAGCTACTCGTCTGCTTCCAGAGCAAGTCCTGTGTCTCAGGATCCTTATTGCACGCACAATCCAGTACAAACAGCGACGTATTCTTTGAACAATGCTTCCCCCACCGAGCCTCAGCAATCTCTCATCCAATACCACCAGGTCCAGCAGCACTTGCGTCAGCAGCAACCCCAGCCAATGCCTAACCATGGTACTCATCCACCTCAAGTACAAGAGCAGTACCAGCCTGCCACCCCACAAGAAGGTCAATGGTATGAGAATGTTGCTTACCAACCGCCAGTCGAAGTGATCAGCCAGATTCAACATTTCTCTCAGGGGCATGTGTTCCAAAATCCTTGGATGCAAAAAATTGAAGCCTACGACGACCCTTCTCTACAAATGCCAAGTGCCCGACTGGAGAGCTTATAATACGTTTAATATCGCATCATCTTCTCCTAGTACATTCAACTCGACAACAACCTCTCTTTAATTGGAAAAGCAACATCATAATCGACCAATCTACCCAAAAAGGATGTGTGAGTCACAGAACCCACCTTTCCCCAAATACCAGTCGTAAAAAAGCATCCCTTTGTCTTTGTCAATAGTCAGCATCACTGTACCACTTCGTCACGACATGCCACGATTCCATATATATACCGATACCCTATCTATTTAAAACGCAACGAATCAATGACAAACATAGATGGAAACAGCCCATTTATCATCATTCGAGAGCCTATTTCCTTCACGGGACGGGGCGGCCTCTTGCTTTTGTTCTTTCATGGTCATTCACTTCTTTGCTTCGAGTTCTACCCTGTCCTTTCCTTTGTGATTTTATGGCTGTCTATTTTTCATTTGTCTAGTCCTATTTATAATGACGTTGTTGAGCGGTACACGCAGTAATGAAGTCGCTTTCACGGGCTTACGAGAACGACGAGCTTTGAGTTTCAGTATTGTTTATACCTGCATTGGATTGGGGTTGTTGGTTTACTATTATTGCTTAAATCAGGAGTATGGGAACAGAGTTACAATGTATCAATATTTGCGATGAATTATAGTTTTGGGTGTGAATAAAGGAGGAAAACGTATGTAATTATAACAGCAATAAAAATTAGTTGAAGAAATAGCTCATTTCTTGTGAAAAGAGGAGGCATGTATGACTAATTGAATAGGTAATCAAGAGGTATTCAAGAGGAACCACCTAATACAACTTTCCCATTGTAAGCTTCGGGAAAGACTACAAAATATAGCAATCAAGTAGAGTAATTGAAGGATGTTCAAAACATAATGCACTTGAATTTTAGTCATCGTTGATATCCTCTACCTAGAGGCAGTCTACGCTAGTACATAAATGGTTAGACCACATCATATCCCCGTTCAACACCGAAGTATTCGCATCATCCGCGCTGCCTGAACCTCAACGTCTGACTCTCCAGTTAAGGCCTCACATTCATTCGCAGACATTTATTATTCCATTGTGTATCACGCCTGGTATCTTCGACTACGTGCTTTAAGCGGATAGGAATAATCCAAGGTTGCCGGGGGGGACCGCCACGTTGAGATAGGCTCGCTCACGCTCAAAAGACCCCCAACATGGCTTTTCAGACCTCCGCTCTGCCAGTAAGGATAGATACCACTGAGGTGAAGTAGGATCATGCTAATGGAGAAATCACAGCGTATGGCGTATGCCACCAGCGAGCTATGGCCTTCGATGTCGAATGCGATGGCCGTTTCCAGGAGGGTCTTGCCACAGTCAAAACCCCAGGAAACACACAGTCCACAGGGAGCACGACCATTCTCTTCATCTACTAGAAAGGTACTGTGATACTTACCATCATGATATTATATTGATGTGCTAACGCTACCGCCAGTCATTGAAGGTAGAACGTCCAGAATTTCTCCGCGATCTCCCATCCTCCTTCTCCGCGCGCCTCGCTCCATCAGCCGTTCCTCGACATGCATTCGATATCCATCATACGATCTCTGCGATGCCGAAAGGCACCATGGCTGCCGCGAATCCTATAACCCGACGCATGTTCATGGCTCCACAGAACCGCCAGATGTCTACTGCATTTCAATCCCGGCTGCAAACACCCGACACTTTGGTGAAAGCATTCGTCAATTCACAGCGCAGAGGTATTTTCGGTAGCAGCAACAATAATTCAAGAAATCTTTCAAATCTCGAAGAAACTGCAAACAGGAACCCGACTAGCGCAACTGCTCAAAATGCTTTCTACCAAGCCTTGCTGAAAGCTAACATGCCCGCAATTATCGTTGAAAGATACCAGACCAATGCGTTCGCGTCGAATGCCGCTTGCCAAAATGCCTATCACAGAGCATTAGGTGCTGTCACTTCGGCGAACACTTCCGCCGCAGGGCAAACAGGCAATATGGGTGCTGTGAGCAACAACCATTTGCAAGCCGTCGGTCAAGCCGTTGCTGCCCAAACCCAAGGTGGCAATGTTTCCACATCTACCAGAGGCACCGGTGGGGGCGCGAAAGATGCTCCACTCCATGTTGTTGTGGAAGAGACCATTGGCGGAGTACTCTTCAAATGGGTCAAGTTCCTCATGTACTTTGGATTGGTCACATATTTATCTCTCGTCGTGGTTGCATTGATCCTTGAAACATTCCAGTCTTTCAAGAAAGCTGGTGGAAAGACTGGGGACAACGAAGCCAAGGCAGAACACCAAAACGTCAGGTTCACCGACGTGCACGGATGTGACGAGGCAAAGGACGAACTTCAAGAGCTCGTGGACTTTTTGAAGAACCCGGAAAAGTTTTCTACCCTTGGTGGCAAGCTTCCAAAAGGTGTCTTACTTGTTGGTCCTCCTGGTACTGGAAAAACACTTCTTGCTCGCGCTGTCGCTGGTGAGGCCGGGGTTCCATTCTTTTTCATGTCGGGAAGCGAATTCGATGAAATCTACGTTGGTGTCGGTGCGAAGCGAGTTCGTGAGCTGTTTGCCGCTGCCAAGGGCAAATCACCCGCAATTGTGTTCATCGACGAGCTTGATGCTATTGGAGGCAAGCGAAATGCTCGAGATGCTGCCTACGTCAAGCAGACTCTCAATCAACTTCTTACCGAGCTTGACGGTTTTGAGCAGAACAGCGGTGTCATCATATTAGCAGCCACTAACTTCCCCGAAATGTTGGACAAAGCTTTGACTCGACCTGGTCGATTCGATCGCAATGTTGTGGTCCCTCTTCCCGACGTTCGAGGTCGAATGGCTATTCTCCAACATCACATGAAGAAGATCGTTACTGGTACTGACGTGAGTCTCGAAACACTGGCCCAAGGAACACCTGGCTTTTCGGGTGCTGAGCTCGAAAATGTTATAAACCAAGCAGCTGTGCATGCTAGCAAGGCAAAGGCGAAGGCAGTTTCAATGTTCGACTTCGAATGGGCAAAAGACAAAGTGATGATGGGCGCCGAGAACAGGAGCATGGTCATCAATCAAAAGGAGAAAGAAATGACCGCGTATCATGAAGCTGGCCATGCACTCTGTATCATGTTCACACCTGCATCGGACAACCTTCACAAAATCACCATCATGCCGCGTGGGAGAGCTCTTGGTATGACATCGCATTTACCCGAGATAGACAAATACTCATCGGGAATGAACGAGTACGAGGCCAAGATTGATGTTTGCCTCGGAGGCAAAGTTGCCGAGGAGCTTATCTACGGTCCGTCCAAGGTGACGAGTGGTTGTGCTTCAGTATGTGGCTCCCTCTGCTCTCCCTTTGAAATCACTAACCGGATTCGCAGGATCTGCAACAAGCGACACAAATTGCATATGCAATGGTCACACAGTGTGGCATGTCGCCAGAACTAGGCAATGTTGACCTTGCGTCCAACTACGAAAAGTTATCTACAGGCACTAAGCAAATAATCGAGTCAGAAGTCCGCCGTCTCATCGAAGAAGGCCGCGTCCGCGCCACAAAACTCCTCCAAAGCAAGCGCAAGGAATTAGATTACCTGGCCAAGGCATTACTAGACTACGAAACCCTCAACAAGGAGGAGGCTTACAAGGTCATCAAGGGCGAAAAGCTCGATGGCAAGACGATCATGCCAAGTGGGAGCATAAAGGTTCCTTCTGGGACCGGTAATGGGCCTATAGGTGGAGATGAGCTACCGCCCATTCCTGGCAGCGAGCCAGAGAAGCCGGAGAAAGAGCCACCTACCAGTGGTGGTGCGATCGCGTAGTGAGGAAGGCGAAGGGGAAAGGAATATTCACAACTCATAAAGAAGGCGTTTGTGGCAACGTAAACAGTTGCTTTGGAGGGTACGGGGAAAGAAGACCATGTTTATTATCCCAGCGTCTTCTCGCTATAGCATCAAATTTCTTTTGTGAAGAAATTGGAGAGTGGTAGTACTATTCTGTAGAATGTAGGATAGACAAAGCTTTCAGCGTGTACTATACAACTTCCCGCCTTCATCGTCCGTGTGCTTTGCTCTTCTATTCCTTGTTTTGGCTTAATACTAATAAGATGTTCCTATTTTCCACCTATCCTATTCACAGTTTCGTCTGAGCGACACCTTCAATGCTTTCATTCAATTGCCGCATCCGACACTTACGCTGAAGCCTTCCGAACCGGTTCCTCCTCCGTGACCTACCTCAGAAATCGTACCTCACTCCGGACAGCCCCTTGTCCTGGATCGCGGGCACTCCCTCCAGCGCGGACGGCACTGTCACAGAACTAAAGTTCTCGGGCTCTCAGACGCATCTATCGCATCCATCGCATCTACTGCCGTGCATGCAGCCGGTCGGTCTATTCCATAGTGCCCGCATCGCTTCTCATCTCTTATCTTTACGTATAGGAGAGTGGACGCCGGATGTTACTGGTAGTATGTATATTCTTAGGTTCGTATATGGTATAAGTATTTCGTGCAAAGCCTTTAGTTGTGCTGTATAATTGTTTTGGTAGGGGGTATAGTACTAGGGGGAAGCTGTGTTTCTTTACATCCGAGAGGGGAGGAGTTATATACATGGAGATGATGGAGATGGTGGTGTGCATTAGTTGGCTGTCATTGTAGCATTGGATCTGTAAGTAGTACCCTAGGGGTCTCCATATTGTCTAGAATAAATAAATAAACTCACCTCAAGAAGGAAAAGCAACGTCCTTTATCTCTATAACTAGAGCTATGTGTACTAGCTAAAAGCTTTTTGACTAAGGTAGTATTTCTCTGTCTGTCTCGAAATACCTCTTTTTCCCCACCTCGCCAGAAGTAGTAGATCGATGAAGCAGATTCACTTGATATCAACCACCCTCCTAACCCCTGAACTAAAAAGTATAAGAAGTAATTGAATGAATACCATCCGAGATAAACCCAATTCTACCGCCCGTCGGCGGAAGAGTATCTTGTACCGAAATAAACAAAATCCTAAACAAAAACAAACAAACTCTACCTCAACTTCAACTTTATTCATTCTTCTCATTCGCATCACCTCACTATCTCTCATCCACATCACATCACATCCCATTCCCCACCTAGCTAACATTCACACCAGCGCCCGCCCGCTAGGCAAACGCCTAGGTAAACGCAAACGCAAACGCAAAATCATCAAAGCAAGAAACGCACGCCGCCCGCCTCCTAAGCGAAAACAAATGCAAAACCTCTTATGCAAAATCATTCAAGCAAACGCAAATTCTTCATCACCATCGCCCGCGCAAGTCAGCGCAAAATGTAAGTCATCTCCCCCCTTTGCTCTTCCTTCCTTCCTTCCTTCCTTTCCCAAGCAAGCATAAAGCATAAAGCATAAAGCATAAAGCATAAAGCACAAATCAAAGAATAAAGTGTATAAGGAAGGTTAGGGTTGAAGTTCAAGTGAATATACTATTTTTTGCCCCCGAAGTAAGACATATCTATTTATAAAAACAAAAAATGAAAACAAGGACAAGGTAAAGCAATCAAGATGAAGGAGAGATATAGAAAAAAGCAAAAACTCCCTCCGTTTTGCAACTACTAATATCTATTTACCCACCTATCCACCAGCTATCTTATAATACACACACACACAGACACACACACACACACATAAACACAAACATATATGAGTACACACCCATCACATCACATCACAGCATATACACTCTCCCTTCCCTTCTATTCCGTTACCATCCATCATTCATCATATGCCGCCGCTTCTATACACGCATTGCTGCAATGCACTACACTATACTACCCATTCCTTTTATTCATTTTTCTCATTCTTTTCTCTTTTCTTTCCAACGCAAGCCAAGACAAGGCAAGGCAGCATAAGGTAAGGCGATAAACAAACACCCTATCAATTCGATTTCCAAACTCCTGTAGAACAATCTAATCTCAATCGTTATATGCTAGCTAGCCGAATACTATCATCGATCATGAAGATAGACTCTGACTTAAACTTGATTTGCCAGGTCCTTGAGCGCGTTTGAGAGCCCGGAGTTCGTCTTCCAGTCTGCGGCGTTCTACTTGTTCGGCCTATGGGTATGTTAGTATGATAGTCTTATGGATATATCTGTGTAAGGGGAGGGCAGGAAGGAGAAATGGGATAGAAAACATACCCTAAGCGCCCTCGCATTCTCACTCCTAGTCTCCCTCATCATCTTCTTAAACTCATTCTTCAAGACCGTCGTACTGGTGTTGCCGGCCCCAAACTCATTCGGACCACCCGGACTCTTCATCCCCAACCAGCGCACCTTCTCATCACTGAGCTCAGCATCCAACTTCTCTCTCTCATCCCGCAGCTTATCAATCATCTGCTCGAGAGACTCGCGTTCTTTCTCCCACTCAATATTGGCTTTGGTCATCTGTTCGTACTCTTCAATAGTTTCCGCGAGCTCTGTTTTGAGCGTCCGCATCTTCTCTTCCATTTCCGGATTCGCCGTCCCCTTGGCTTTGAGCTCCGTGAGCTCGGAAACAAGGGAGGTGTTCTTCTTGCTCAGATCATCAATCTCCTTCTGAATAGCAGGATTAGCAGCAACCTCCGCTGCACGCTGCGCTCTCGACCCATAAGCGCCATCCAGCTCCGCGCGCGCAATAGTGACCTCGGTCTGTAGCCTTGCGAGTTCCATATTCATCTCTTCCTGTCCCTTCTCCTTGGCCTCAAGAGCTTGCCGTGCGTCCTGTGCGGATCTCTCGTTCTCGGAAATCTTGGTCTGCAGCTCGGCGACGGTGATAGAGTGGTCATCTTTTAAGTCTTGAATTTCTTCTTCGAGGGCTTGAAGGGCGGCACTGTCCTCTTTCGAGCGTGTTTCGTCGCGCATGCGTAGGTCTTGGATTTCTTCTTCCAGGGCATGGAGGGCGGCATTGTCGTCGTTTGAGCGTGTTTGGTCGCGCGAGCGTTCTTGTTGGCGGGCTTCGTCCAGCTTCTCCATTACCATGCTTAGTTGTTCGCGGACGGAGTCGGAATCCATTTCGGTTCGCCGGAGTAGGTCTTGCATTCTTTCCAGCTCGTCAACCTTCTCGACTAGCTCCCTGTCCTTGGTGGCATCAGATTTGCTATTCAGCTCTCGCTGCTGCTTGATTTGCCGTTGTAGAACCTTCTTCTGATCTTTTAACTTCGTAGCTTGAGAATATAGCCATTGGACCTTTCCAGAGAATCCTTGGATTGAGAATTGCTCGTTTGGATCTCCTTCTTCATCTGGAGACTCGTCGTCATCCGGAGGTAGGTTCTGCAATGTTCGTTGTGCACTTCGTTCCTGCTTTCTCTGCCTGGCTTCTTCCTCACCAGACTGAATGATATCCCAGAGACCCATCATAACCGACTCCATTTGCTCGGAGCCTTGGGTACCTGAGCCTCGGCCTCGGCCTCCACCTCCGCTGCGGCTTAATTCAAACTCAATGGCGCCAATACTGTCTTGGAAATACTGCATCTGATCCTTCATACCCATGCCGGTGACCTGAGGTGGCAGAGCACGGATTTCGTCGAATGGAAGCAACAAGTTGTGAAGCTCATGGTTCAATGATTCTATCGTCTCCTCAATTGCTCCATCAGACTCTTCATTCTTCCTCAAGACTTCGCTATGCTCCTTGCTGATTGTAGAAATGCCATTCTCCAAATATTCCAAGTGACTCATGAGTGTTTCTCCAGGCTCGGCAGATTTCCCATCGGCAGTTGTACTGGCAAGTGGAGGATATTGATAGTTCGTCTCGCGCTCCGGGTTGGCATTGGTGATAACATCTCTCAGCCGACGATTCAGATCCTCCAACTTTTGCTCAGTCATCGAGATCATCTGCATCTGCTTATTATTCCCCCCCTTCGGAGGCCCAAAGAGCTCGTCAAGGTCGGCCGTTCCATCCAGGGGATCAAAAGTCCGGTATAGGCTCCTCTCATCGAAGATAAGCTCATCACTAGGAACGAATTCCAGACTGCTCCGCGCATTCGAGTACGTATACATGCTTTCCGGACTCCCTGGGATTCCTGGAGCACCTGCTTGAGACGCTCCTGGTTGCCCCTGCTTCCTCGCCTTGGGGCCCTTATGTGTCATCTGCAAGATCCCAGCTGTGTGCTTAAGCAGTCTACTCTGCGGCTCCATAAATCTCTTCTCCAAAAACCATAACTCGGCAGCCAAATCCTCGCATTTCTTCTCCGTAGCCATGCGCTCCTCATTCGCCTGTTGAGTCTGCTCGCTGCTGTTCCGACTATGCCCCAGCATATTCCGAAGCTTGCCACTGCCATCAAAGCTCTTCTTCTTCTCAGGCGGATACAGCTTTGACATTGAGACAGCGGCATCGCGGTACTTGGATTGGACGGCTAGATTCTGCCGTGTAGTTTCGATGCGGGTGGTGAGCGTTTGGACTTGTTTTTTAAGGTCGTCGACTTCGTCTTGGGAGAGGATCTCGTATTCTTTGCTGTCGCCCAATGCTGTTTCGACGAGGAGATGGACTTGTACGGTATCATTAAGATTCAAGAGCATCGAGCTCTGTGGGCGTGTGGGATTCAGCTGTCTCACGTCAGTTCCCGGTCTATCCGTAGTATTTGTAGTTGATGAACTCACCGGATTGATCCTCTTCTCTCCCTCAAAGTCACTCATGATGTCCTGGCTATACCCATCCAACATGACCCTCCCACTCGGATCCTGCGAATGTGTCCCGACCTTACTCATGCCGTAGGTTCTCGGAGGCAGCTCACCATTCCTCTCGTTGCGGAAGCCGTAAGCGTCAGGAGGTGCACCGCTACCGTTTATGATTCCATATCCAAGGTCTTGACTCGGGCGCGGAGGCAGCTTTTTGCTACGTGAGCCGTTCATGCTTGCGGCACTGTTCTGCTTGGACCTCCTTTTTTGTCGCTATCGCATGTTTCGAAGTCGCCGATAGGGAGATGTTGGGGTCGGCAGGGCAGGACAGTCTTGTACTGATAAATTTATACTCTCCGAAAGAGAATCTCTCGTCGTGGGTCGTGCTCCCTTTTGCCGTAATTTTTCAGAGATGAAGATGTCGGTGCTTCTTCTCCGTCAATTACTCAACTAATGCCTTCCCTGCCACCTTAATTTCTCAACTTCTCAACCACCGCAACAATAAAAAAAAGCTAAATTCCGAGATGCAAAACAATTGAAGGGAGATGTTTCTTCTGGTAAGGTAATAAATAGATGTTGGGTTGTCAACTTAACGTTCTCACTGCTGCTGCACCGTACGGAGGCTGTATCTAATTTACGTAGGTCGATCAGCGAAAGATGGACAGGGGCAACGAGTCCACGACCCGCCGGCCATTCAGGGGCTAGATTTATTTAGAGAACGCGGGCGCGTGTGATTCGCGCTGCGGCCTGTCACAGTGCGGGTGGTGGGCCTTACTTTCAGGGGCTGTGTTGTGCCAACGCCAAAGTAGTGTCGACGACGCGGATACTCGGTCTCGGTACCAGACAAGAGGAATCCATCCTCTCCTCACAATCCAGAAGGGCAGCAGATACCGGTCTTATACATATAATCATACACTGCGAGCCAGACAAATACGTACACTACGCCAGTGTTGTCTTCTTGTCCACCATTTGCCGTATTTGACGACATGTCCAGTTCTCGATACCAGTTTGACGTTTGACAAAGTCGTCAGTCAGAACTCTAACGTTCCTTCGCCCACCTTCTTTTCCTTTTCTAATAAAACGGACGGCGATTGTTGGCGGACTTTAGTTTTTCGAAGGACGAACCAACCAACCAACCGCGAGGCAGTCCTCGCTCTTTCCTTCCTCCCCTCTCTCATCTTTTCTCCTCGGCGAATTTTGAATCGAATACCTTCCTTACACGATCGAGACTTATATGAATAAGATGGTGTTACTTAGTATAGGAACCAAGTGCTAGCTAGAATGTGTCTTCTCATTCGTTCTACTTATACTATGCTCATGATTCAGATGGTGCTTCAATATCTCCACTTCATCTCCACCGAATACTTTCCGTAGCTACCTCCCTGGCCCCTACAGTATATTCCACACTTCGACGCGTTATCAGTTTCCCGCCAGCCCAAGCCCATGTATAGCATCGTCTTCCAATAACCACCTCCTTCAAATTCAACAATTTCATGTTCTATATATAATTCATTCATTAATCACTATGTACTGTATCTTTCATGCTATCCTGTCCTTATCCAAATAAACACCCGCAATTTCACTAAATCCATCGCTCTCTCTTTTTTGCTTTGCTTTCTTTTGCTTTTGTGCATGGTTTTCCTTGCCCTTTTCTTTCTCATTTTCTAAATAAATATCAATATCAATATCCAAGAACCAAATTTGATAAACGCCATGGTTATTCGCTCGCTGTAATGAATGCAAGCCCGCTCAAACCATTCCCTTTCCAAATCCCATCGTCGAAAATGCAATGCAATCCAGTACCGAAGAAAAAAGAACAGGAGTGGAGCAGGCGACCGCCTCAGACTCAGAATTAACGCTTAAACATATAATGCCCGTACATCCCCCCAACCTCCGCGCGCGCAACAGGAAACTTCCGCATCCCCCAATAAGCAGCCCCCCACTTCCACTCCCTCGTGCCCCCATCTTTCTCCTCCTCCTTTTCCTTCGCGCTACCCCAGGAAGTAGGAGCAGAAGCAGTAGCAGAGCCCTTAACCCTGACCAACCAACTTCTCCTCCCGGCCTCCTTAACACACCACCCCACCCTCTTCAGGGCAGCGTGGCTTACCGAAACCTTCTTATGAACTTCATCGCTCAGCTCAAGGACCTCGAGAGGCCGAGCAGCGCGCTGGAGAATCGGGCATGAACTGCCGAAAAGCGTGCCGAGATCGAGTTGCGTGGCACTCAAATCGCTAACGTCGACATACCGCAGCTCGCTTCTCACCCAGTCCGCTTCCTCTTTGTCAGGCACGAAGAGCTTCTGGATATCAGACAGCTTGAGATTCCTGCCTAGGCCTAGCTCTTCGAGATGTTTGGTGAGTGGAAGCAAGAGCGGGATATGCGAGCTGTCCATTTTCGAGCCCTTGAGGGAGAGGCATTTAAGGGTCGAAGGGAGCGCGGGGAGGAGGGATGAGAGTTCAGTGGCGGAGAGGAGGTCGTGGGATTTTGCGTCCATTGCTAGGTTAAGATACACCAGCGTCTTTGCCGCGGGGTGGCTAGACAGGAATGCCACTACGGCCGCGCCAGACAGGTGCGAGCATTTGCTCAAGTTCAAATGTGTTAGTTGTGCAGTTGGCGGGATGGAGAAGAGTGAAGTGTCGGTGATGCGCGTGTGTGCTGCATCCAGATGCGTTAACCGAGGGAGGTGGGGTAGCAGGTCTGTAAAGACGCTGGAGGGAAGAATGGTGCATTCGTGCAAGCTGAGACGGGTGATGGGGAGGATCGGTGGGAGAGTGGACGTTTCAAGGACGCTGGTGAAAGCGTCGCGGAAAGATGTTGATGAGCAGGCGCAGAAATCGAGAGCTTTGAGTTGCGGCAAGTCACAGAGTAGAGTCTTAATGATCGCGGCGGATAGCTCGTCATCAATGTGCTCTTGTACCAGAAATTCTCGCAAGTTTGGCGTCAAAGAAAGACACTCAAGCAATGTCTTGGGAATCAGATTCTGTGTGTTCTCGCGTTCACGCCGAGTTTGTCCTGCGCCTGTTGGGTTGAAGTGTGAGAAGTCCAATCGTCGGACAATGGTACCTAAAGCTGGGTGCGCAGAAACATGACTGAGGAACTTGGCGAAGATCCTAGAGTGCGGGATAGTGATGTGTTTATACAGTGTTGCCAGAGTCGCTGCATGCAAGCCATGTGACGTGAGCAGCAGAGACATAAGGTCAATATTTCTCGGCGTGAAGCCATTTGGAGGGATATCAGTAGCAAGTTGGTCAATGATAGAGCCTGAAGTAAGTCAGTAAATATCATATAAAGCGAGGGCATGGGTAGGCTTTGAGGGTCAAATGATCAGGTGACCAGTTGACAAGATATGTTCGAGTCGCCCTGGAAAAGTCTTCCTAGGATATGTTCAGATGAGCATGATATTGAAATAGACGTACCAAGTAATTCCATAGGCAACGTCTCTAATGGACTTTTCCCAGCCTCGCACCTCCCATCCTCCCTCCTCGCCGCCACCGGAGCCCTAACGTCCCTCTTCACATCCCAATCAAAATTATTTCGCAACGCCTTCAAATCGCCAGAACTCTTACTGGCAACCTTGCCCCTGAGACTAATCGCCTTCCAGCCCCTAAATCCATTGCAAGGACACACAACGCCATGCAAAGCGCTCTGAGGATTTGTCATCGTCGGCGGCGTGATCAAGCCGTCTGAGATGACTTCTTCATCTTCTGCTCTCAGATAGCTAGAGGTCTTGGAAGTGGTGAAACTCTGTGCAATGCCGTCATCGCTCTCTTTTATACTAGAGAAACTGGTGCGGTCGTGGGTTTGCTTGACCATTTTGATGTTGGTCGTTGGATAAAAAGCAGCTTTGTGCTGGTGTGGAGTGGCGATTGCCATTTTTGCGAACTAATTTTGATTGATCGATATTTCTCTCCTTAGAATGAAACGAAGGCGCGATATGCAGATATGAGCTGTAAATCGACTCAACTCCAATCAAGGTCAAGAGTAAATGCGAAAGGAAGGTTTGTGTGCTTAGGAGGCAGCTGATGTGCTTGCTTCTTGAAAAGGTGACAGACACACTAGGATGTGCAGGAAATGCAGGAACTCAAGTACGAAGGGATGGAAAGGAACGGAAAGTCGAAATCCTGCAATTAGCTTGCGTGCTCTCCAATGCAATCCCAGATGCCTCCTAATAACCAAAAATGACTGGCGGTCGCCAAAAGACTCTTTGTCAAGAACCCCTCGAATTTAGTCAAGGAAACTCAAATCCTCTCAGACCTTTGCGGGGAAAAGCGATCCTCTGAGGTTCTTACCCCGGATTCGGAATAATGAAGTGTCAGAGAGGTGTAGGTACGAAGCAAGTGTGTTGATGGTGCATTAACGTGTTGAAAAGAGAAGGAGGAGGTGCGAGTTGAAGGATTTGGATGGGGTAATAGAATAAGAAAGGACTTCTACCGTACCGTACCATACCATACTCCACTAGTATTACTCACCGTAGCCTCGTCCTCGGGATTTAAATTTCCTAGGATGAGTTTTCTTTCACTACCAGCCCGGCCGGTCCCGAGAGTACACTATGCAGTAGTGAGTGAGTAAGTTCTGGGGCGAAAGATTCTCTTTGTCAAAGGCAGCCAAGCTAGAGCCAGCCTCGTGATGCCCACAGGTGCTGTTCAACTCATTACGGCATCCTCAAGCGCTGATTCGTCGTGATGATCTCTCTTTCCCTTGCTTTTGCTTACCGCCTGCAGATATTAATTTCACCATCATCATCCTGACACCATCCATCATAATCCGGGGAAGTGACTCAAGTGAGAGAGCCGATTTCGCTCTGGCAAGCTCTCCAACCGTCCCATCCCATGTGCGCTTACAAACGGATAAGTTAATTGTCAGAGCACACCGTTCTTTCTCTCTTGATGTTCATTAATCAATCACGTGTATCAAATCATACCATGGGTCAAGGTGTTACATCAGTTTTGTTCCTGCCCCGTCCCCATCTATCCCTTTCTTCCCGTCTCGCTTCGCCCTGTACACGTTACACAGACAGTTCTCGGGCAAATACATGTGCAGGAAAAGCTGTGAACGGCAAGCTTTTACCTGAAGATGAGGCTGCCGACCGCCTCGTGTAAGAAGACAGATTTCTTCTTACCTTACCTAATTATCCATTTCTGCCTTGTTTCTACACATACAGTACCCCGAGGTTCTTCTTACGTCTCGATGCTTATGTTAACAGCTCTTGGACCCGACATCCGTTCCACAGTCCTGGTCACATGTCATCTATCTCATCTGAGGTTTCGTCTCACAAGAAGCAGATCTGTCAAATCAAATCAATACCGTTCTTTTCTTTCCTTTCTATTGAATGAATAGTATGTAAGTATCAGAATGTAATTAAGCGCTGCTGATGAACATTTCTAAGAAGTTATATGATAATGGTGATAATGAACGACTCCAAGCGCCCCGAATCCGAGAGTATCGTGTCTCTATCAAACTCCGCAAATCAGACACCGCCGACCCGATTCCGTTCCGTCATTAAGTTACCGGCCATTAAACCTTTTCATTTTCATCTTTTCTTTGCAATCGTTGCAGTACCATTTAGCTACACGCAGGGTCGTTAGCAGGTGTCCTGATATATGGTGAAAATGGATAACTTACCATTACCCCTAGGTGCAACCTTCAGGCCCACACACTCAAGATGGAACCACTCCTTCTCGCAATCATCCGCATCACACGCTACCATCTCCCCATAACTAACTCCATTACAATAACAATACAGCGGCTCATCAGCCCCAATCTCCTCGTCCTCATCTTCATCCTGCACTGTACTGGCAGCATCATCCACCTCGATATTCTGCTGCGCAATGAGCTGCGCCGCCGCTCCAGCGCCTTTCTTATGACTCCTCTTGTTATGATTCGAGGTTGCTTCTAGAGCATTGCGCGAGGAGCGTGAACGTGGAGGCGGGTCGGGGAATTGTGGTATCGCTGGAGTCGAAGGCTTACTTGCTCGACCACTCTTAGTGGTCGTTACTGTTGTCTGTTGGATGGCTTGCATTGAGTCCCCGTTCGTTTCTGATCCCTCTCGTTTCGTCCCGGCTTCCTTCTTGTTGGCGACTACAACGTTGCTGAATATCTGGGGCTTCTCTTTTTGCACATCCTCAAGAATGTGGTCGCCCTTTGAGTTGTTGGCCGATTCTCTCACCGTTGCCTTCACTTCTGATATGCTTCGTCCAGTGACTGTTGCTGCCGTCCCGAGATCTGGTGTGTTTACTGGAGTGCCATTTTGCTTCGCTGTTGAGGATTCTCGCTGTCGGGCGTTCTCGAAGATAGATTGTGTCGAATTCTGCCTTGCTCGTGAGGTTACAGGTCTGCCATTTGTAGGGGCTGGAGATGGACGCTTCATGTCTGGGAATGTACTTCGAATGGGCGAGGAGGCTATCGAAGGGGACATGACAGAGGTTACAGTGTTGTTCCTGGCATTGTAAGTAATTAAGCACAGTGTATAGAAACGAGAAAATACCTCTTTCTTGTCTGCCCATTGGCTGCGCCGCCTCCTCTCGGCCTCTTCTTAGGTCCTTCGGGCCCTGGAGTCTCCCTTGGGCTCGACGCCTTTCCTTTCGTCGCGACCCCGTTGCTACCAAATACCCCGCTCATGGCTCGTTCCATGACTACCCCGCCAGACGGACCTTTATCGACCTTTCGACGCTTCTGAGGATTGCCGTTCGTCGCGGCTCCGTTTGTGATCCCTAATCCGACCCCTAGAGACGCATCTGCCGCCTTTCGGATCTTACTGTTCCCATGTAGCTTCTTCTCCTTGTGTCTGCCATCGTGATGATCGTCGAAATCGGATTCCCCATGAGGGTGTTTATTGCTTTTCTTCGCCAATAAGGCTTGCTTTCGAGCATCGCTTCTAGCGGCTGCTTCCTCGGCCATTTGCTGACCAGCAGCCGTCAAATGATTGACCGTTTGAACTTCCCTCCTTGATGCGCCACCGGACCCAGTCTTAACTACCCTATTATCTGGATATGCCCAATGTGTAGTGCTGCCAAAGCGTGCCTCATCACTGACCTCGAGCTCGATGTAGGGAAAGCACTCGTCGATGCGGGCGAGCTGTTTGTTGAGGGCTTCGGAAGCTGTAGATATAACGTGGTTCTTTTCGTCGAGCGAGACTAGCATATTCTGCATTGTATATGCGCAGTGTTGGAAGATTTGTCTCCGGGGGATATTTGCTGGATCGTAGGCCTGCGACGCGATGTCGGCATCAGGAACAGATGCGACAGAAGCAGGATGACCATTTATGATTGAGCCATTGACACTGCCTTGCGCGCTCATGGGCGTAGATGTTGGACCATGAGCATGTTGGCTCTCTGGCTGCCTTCGTTCTGAGAGAGGGGCGTGGAGGGCGGCGTCAATAAGCTTCCCAAGGTCATCCTCTGGCGCAAAGATTTTGGCATCGACTTCCTTGAGTAATGTAAAGTGTCGCATAAGCTCCTTGGGGAGAGCCGTTATAGCATCTGCGAAGTGTGTGATCGCGGGGAAAATCTGAACGCCTTTGTCGTCCAGACCGTCGCCCCTGGGCCCAAAAGCTCTGGCACCTGGGATTGAGGATCTTGGAGGGTTTGTTCGGGTCTGGCGTACGGGCTGGGCTCTGCGACTTGATGAGGGATCAGAGGGTACTGGTACTGGTTTTGCAGTCTTCATTGTGGGCGAAGGTGTTTTCGTCGAGAGAAGGGTGTTTTCGAAGAGGAAATCGGGCGGAACGCGCAAAGAGGATTTGAAACGCTCAGATTTGGTACATTCAACTTGTAGATTCCATTGAGAGCTGACATGAGATGCTTCAGAGAAAGGCTTTGTCGTAGGAGTGCTGTGTGTTGGTGGAGGAAGCTAGAAATGATGTCTCTGACTGCAGGGGATGGGCATTTTGGACCTCCCCCAAACTCCGTCACCCGCCTCTGCTGGAGTGAGTGGTGCCGCTTTTTCTGTCCACTGCAAGCCGCTCCCGCAGTTTTATTCCTAACCGTACCTGAGGCCACCAGACGATCTTTTATTAGAAATCCTCGGAAGGTGGAGTTGGAATTATATTTAATATCATGCCGATCATTTTGTAGACATGGGCATTTCAATCGGTAAAGGAAGCCGAATTAAAGTTTATCATCTATTCCTCGTCAAAGCTCTTGCTAAAGTTCATACACCGAGGTCTAAATTCCGTCATACAAGAACGGTACCAAATGGCAGAAAATGTCAGATGGAAAAAATAACTCCCCAACTCCCAAACCTTCGCAATGGCATTGTAGTTGCAATCTTCTCTATTAAACATTAGTTCTATCTGACCTTGATCTTCGGTTTCTTGATTCCATTGGCAGATCCTTTTTCTTCAATATGCTTCTGTTTCCACTGCCACTCAACTAACACCGGTAAGAATGACCACAAATCGAAATCCGGCCATAGAGTGTCTAGAAATACAATTTCGGTGTCTTCATGACACTGCCAGAGCATAAAATCGCTCAGCCGCTTCACTCCGCTTGTGCGAATCAGGAGATCTAATGGAGGGTTACCCGCAGTTAATAGATGTTCCTCAATGGTGCTTGAAGTGATGGTTTCTGGATCTGGATATAAGGGACCTTCTTGTCCATCATTAGGTGAGTCTGTGTGTAACGTTGTTGAAGATGATATGGAATCGTCGACGTCGGATGTGCTTGGTGTAGGGGATGTCGAACGTAAGGGCGAAGTGCTGAGATTCCTTGACCGGATCTTTTGTGTGATTCGAGTCTGAGAGAAGGGTCGAGCTTGAGCTGATAAAGGCCTGGAGTAATCCTCCACTGTGCTCTTAATGGCAGATGTAATCTCCTCTCGAGAGGTATAGGGGAAGCAAATGTTCAGAATACAGCTATACCTAATGTTAGCTCTCATCCTGGGGGATCTTCTGGGACGTACTCACTCTCCGTTATTCTTGGTCAATTCCACAGCTCTGTCAACAGCCTCCAAGACATCTGGCTTGACCAAGTCCCGCTGGCCCAACACCCGGATGCTCGCACCGTATTTCTGCAACAACTCCCCATGCTGTGACAATTGCTGTAACTTGATCTTCGCCATTGCCATCAAAGCATCCACCTCGTATTTCGAGCGCTTGAAGTTCTCAATGCTGAAAGCGTAGACTGTTACAATCTTGACTCCTGATTTATAGCAAACCTCCAAAATCTATATGTACGCATCAGCAAACGATCCAGAATATCGGGTCATTTTGTAATACCCTGGCTAAAGCTTCGAACCCCAAGTTGTGCCCCTCTACTGTTTCGATCTTGTGGCTCCTTGCAAACCGTCTGTTCCCATCCATAACAAAAGCTATATGTTGAGGCACAGGACCTTGTCGTAATGCTCCGATCAGGAGTTCTCGCAGTTGATTTACGGCCCATTCGATCGGAGGGGAGGATAGCATCCATTTGTGCAACTGGGAAAGGTGCATGGAAGACATATTGAGTCTGATCAGCGAGTGTCTTGGATTGTTTTGTCGAAGTTGGTGAATTTGAAGCTCTCCGGAGCTGCAGATTGAATCTCTCTAGATTTGGAAAAAAGATTGGATATCGTATTTGATCAAAAGATTCCCATTTTCGTGTCGTGTTGTTTTAGTTTGTACGCCTCAGCTTGTGCAGCGCAGCTCTAGGAAATTCGGGGCGAGCCTCGTGTCCAACTCCGAGCTTCACCTCATTGGTGGAACGGAAAGGCTGAGTGAGGTGGGCGCAAAAGCAAACAACTGGCTTCTTCCACCACACTCACTGGTAGTCAGACAATCAGTCGAGCACTTGTACGACAGCTACCTATACTGCGGAATGAATTAAAGATGCAATAACCCGTTCTTGATGGTCAGATTCCAATACGTCCTTAAATAACCGCCACAATGCTAGCAACCGGCTTCACCAGTGCTCCTGTTTCTCGTAGCCTTACATATGGCATCGTCGGCGCATCCATCCTTGCGAGCATTTTAGATATCAAACATTATTTCTTTATCCAAGTCGATCCTCACCTATGGCGGTATCACCAGCTATGGCGGATCCTCACCTACCAGCTCTGTTACACGAATTCAACCGAGGTCCTGTTTGCCGCCATGACGATATATAACATGAAGGTGATAGAAAGGCTATGGGGATCTCGGAAATACGCCGTAAGAACACTGATTATTCTTCAGGATAGATTCCTAATTGTTTGTGTATCTAGTCTTTTATCATTGTATCCTACTGCCTCACCGCCCTCCTTCCACCCATACTCCTATCCCTCATACTCCGCCCCCTCTCCCTCAACAACTTCAACTACCTCCCTGCGGGCCCAACCCCTCTCATCTTCGCCATCCTCGCCCAATACCATGCCGCCATCCCACACGTGTACAAATACCGCATCGCTGCCTCCTCCACCCCCAACGACCCCTTCGTCGGCCTCACCTTCTCCGACAAATCCTACGTCTACCTGCCCGCCCTGCAACTCTCGCTCTCCCAATTCCCGGGCTCGTTGCTGTGTGCAGTTGTTGGCTGGGTCGTAGGGTATTCGTGGCGGAATGAGGTATTGCCAGGGGCGCTTACGAGGTGGAGGGTCCCGGGGTGGATGGTGGGGTTGAAGAGTAAGAAAAGGGAAGAGGAGTTTGAGGCGCTGAGACGGAGGCTGGAGAGTGAGGGGACCAGTGCTGCCGCTACGGGGTCGGATGGGAGATTGGGGGTTGAGGGTGGGAGGAGGAGAACGCTGGGTAGGCAGCTGTTGGATCAGTTCCGGGGTGCGTTTTGAGATATGTGTTAGGGAAATTCATAGGCTGTTGCACCGCGACCACTTTCCATTTGTGAAAGGGGGAAATGTGAACTGATAATTGGGGTTCTGTTAAGTCTTAAAATGACTTCAACTATACTTGGACCTCGATTGATAGTCTTAAGGAGCTACACGGCGTGCGTTCATTGGGCTAGCGCTCTCACATGGATTGCGAGTGACGCCCGGGACGAAACTTCCCAAAACCAGGATTTCGTTGCTATTCTCATCCATTCAAATGATTTATGCAACATCAGTCTTGATATAATTTTGATTGCAAGTCCTTTTCACTGTGAGCATTGCGTTTCTAGACCGATGTATGGAGTGTGGTACATTAGGTCACTTGAAGCTTTTCGTCTGCTTTCTTTATCTACAAATACTATATTTTCCAACCATAGCTTTTTGTCACAGGTTTTCATACGAGGCAACTCAATTTGGAGTTGCAGACCCAACAATGTGGATAGAATGATATATCTGTCATAACTCACTTTAATATCCACCGCCGTGATGGGTCAGCTAGGGTCAGTTTCCCCGCGAATCTCCCAAGATGAGATGGGTAGAGTTATGAAACGTAGAGCTCCTTGTCATCTTCTCTATGCCGTCTCCAGCAACGTCACTTGTCCCACATGGTTCAAAACACATACGAGCTGTGCAGGAAGTCTAATTGTAGTGACACCTTTCAAATACGAGAGGCATACACACGTCAGCCAGATACAGCTTCCTCGTATATCCCAAGGCATGGCTATACGCTTTTCCACTCGGGCAGTAGAGCATGATGATGCTACGAGTGTAGTTAATCGTCACTAAAGAGTCCCTCTAGCTAGCACTAAAACACATATTTTCTTGCCTCGGTAGTCAAAATAAGTTGTCAAACACCAGCTGCATCTCTACATTGACTGCTTCTTATAACCCCCTGGTCTTCGCTTGATGCAACTGTCTATTCATAGTAGTCGTACTACTTCGGAGGGTTTCCCCTGCAGCAATCACCCATAAGCTTAATCCTTAGCGCCCGCAGGATTAAGGCTGACCCACTACCGATCCTTCCTTGGGTGATCTTCACTCAACCAGTCAGGGATTGCCAAGACTTTCCACTTCACTTAACCTAATTGGTCCTCGTGACGGCTCGTCCTTCCTTCGATCACTTAGTGCTCGAGTTATGAGATTAATATGGTCAGAAGAAGCATGGATGGAGTTGTTAATAGAGGAAAGTATATAGTTTTCTTAAGTCTCTCACGGAACATCTCCATTCTTAGCTATCGATCGCTCTCTTTCTCTCATTCTTTAGCAATTCTCTCTCATAATGAAGTTTTCATTCAGTCTTGTCGTTGGCCTCGGAGCCTCATGTTTGAGCGCTTCTGCCATCGAGAAACGGAACTCCTCGAAGTCTTGGGCCGGGTCAAACAACTACTACCTTCACGCCTTACACCCAGAAGAACAGACTACCTACATAGATGCTCTGAAGGGCTTTGGTACAAAGGTCGTGCGACTCTGGGGTACATTCTTCCTCATGTCTTCCTTAACTCCGCTAATCAACCATCAGTAACTGGAGGCTCTGACGGCTGCGCCAAATCCTCGAGCACCCAATCCGTCCCTGTCTACGAGAGTACCTTCGGTGACTACCAAACCAGCACACTAGCTGCTCTCGACTCCGTGTTATCCCAACTGCACGCTGCAGGCATCAAAGCCATCATCTCTCCCCATGACGCCAACCTCCTTCCCCCAGCCGGCTCCTCCACAGGCTACAACGGCATCGATATCTACGGAAAAACCTACGGCTCCTCAGATAGCTTCTATAGCAGCGCCGACGCAAAGGCAAAATACGATGCCAGACTCGCCAGTATCTTGAATTACAAGAGCCCGGCGTTCGGCAAAGCATGGAAGGATCTCTCCGAAGTCATCATGGCATTCGATCTCCAGAATGAACCTATGATCGCTAGCAAAGACAAGCTAGCTAACAACGACCCCGACGATTGGCTCTGTGGCCGCGCAAACAACATGAAGACGATTCTTGGCACATCCGTTAGCAAGCCCCTATCTTTGAATTCAGACCACGAAAGCTAATGGTGTCATGTCTTCTGGCAACAGGCGGTAAAAATAGCAACCGGTGGTATCGGCGGCTCGGAATACTCAGGCCACGAATACAACATCATTGATAAAGCGCTCAAGTGCTCAGCCATCGACATCCTCTCCTTGCACGGCTACATGACGCAAGCCTCGCAATGGGCAGCCTATGTGCCCAAGCTAGCGGACCAAGCAGCGGCACAGGGGAAGAAGGTTATGGTCGAGGAGTGGGGCGTAGGAACTGGTTCAAATTATGATAGTGTTGCGAAGCAAGCGGCTGTTTTCAACAACGCTGGCGTGCCTTGGTAAGTCCTTTATTTACTTGCTTGAGATTCTGGTATTTTAATTGTTGCTGATTATATGGATAGGCTGTACTGGATGGTTATCCCGGGCAAGAGCGTGGACCAGACTTGCAATGGGGAGACATGCTGTCACCAGGGGCTCTCGACGGATCAAAGTGAAGCCTTTGAGGTTGGCATCTCGAGTTCAAGAGCAGACTTCAAAACGCTGTTTGGGAATGCGAATGCGGCGTCTGGATACCAGGATTGGACTGGCTTTGTGTATTGATGCGCGATATTGTATTATTAGTGTATCATTAGTCGATTCGTCATACATCTCAGTGGTTGAATCTATCTTCACCGACTTCAAGGTTTGATATCCGTTCATCCTAATCCACCGCTCTATCACCTATCCTCAAGGCACAAAAAGAAGATGCCACAAAAAAGACATTCACTAGGCCATATAACCGCAACCGAAACCAACCCACTTTCAATCTACAAGACAAGGAAGGGAAACGAGGGAAAACTTACTAGGAGAACCTGATTCCCATATAAACCAGACAGTACGATATTACCCAGCTCAGCATCGAACTCAGTCTTTGCAATCTGAGGATGGATAGCAATATCACACAACTCAAGTCAAGATATCCATTCTCCGTTGCAGATAGAATCATTGCTCAATTAGTTGTATGGTAGCAATACCACACTACGCGGAATGTAAGATCTTAATTCCTGGCATAGTGCAGTAAGTATCAATATCCCATCTTCTCTATCTACTCTACTCCAATTGCATTTTAGTAGTAGGTAAGCATGCAAGTTGCTCCTAGGAAGTGGCTTAATGGTATATTAGGTGGTGTATAGCAGTAAATGGTATTCTATTCTTCGTTGTGGAAGGTCAGTCAGTCAGGAAGGAAGGACTTTTCGGCCGTGGTCCGGGCGGAAGAAAATCACTTGATTGCTATTTCTTGGGTGAGTTGTTTGTTGAATTACAGCTAGTTCTGGAAGGCGTGTGTTAGTCACAGATATTTCAGTGCAGAAAGTGAGGAAAGTTTCGGTTGCGTGGCTAATGTGGATGTTTGGGGGTTTTGTATGTTTGTTTGTTTTGGCTTATATAGGGGGAGATAGAATAAATTAAAGTAGATCAGTGGGCTGAACCGAGGGGCTAGGGATTTTTGGTTCCTGGATTGATTGATTTTGGCGGTTATTATTTTAGTGGTTCATATCTCAGTTCGGCTAATATGTAAATCGAAGCTGTCTGGCAGGGTTTTGAAGAAAGTGGAAAGAGAGTTTTGGGCGGATATTTTAGAGCCATTATGGTGTTATTGCAAGTAACTAGTTCTTAAGTTGAATTAAGAATCGATCCAAATGATTCTGAGAGTCCGAAGCCCTTTTTGCCCCTTCTCTTCAATCCCCCACCCCTTTCACCCCCTACCATCTCAAACACACCAAACCTCCCAATCATTCATCCCTCCATCTCGCCCCTAACCCACACTTTACCCAATTTAGACATACTTGACAACAACCTCGTCGGACCCCTCCAAGGTAACACTAGTCAAAACCTTAGAGCTCTGCTTAATATCCAACACGCTCGCCCCACTACTCCCCTCGCTCCCCCCGGTATACCCAGCCGTCGCATCAGTAAAAGTGACCGTCCCGAAATCCGCAAAAGTAACCAGCGAGCCATTCTCCTCAAAGTCCTCTACAATCCACTCTGCATTCTGGCCTCCCAGTGCCGCAGTGCTAGTAAGAGCCTTGCTGACAGTTTTCCCCGTCGTCAAGTTCTCAATGACCGCCGTACCGGCAGTGGACGAAGACGATTTTACCGAAACGGAGACCGAGTCTCCAGCGCTGAAGGTGATGCCCGTGAAATCGTACGCGTAGTCGGGGTACCACTCATACCATGCATCATAACTGACCTCGCCGTCGGTAACGGTGAAGTCGAGACCGGTTTGCAGGATAGAGTTTGTGTACGTGTCGCCATCGATGCCGACCCATGCGGAAGCTGAGCCGCTTCCTGAAGGGGTAGGAACGACGAATTTCGCCGAGACGGCGTTGAAGGTTGTGCCGGCGGGAGGGGCGGTCAGGACGGCGCCAGCCCAGTTGGAACTGTATTCTACATTGGTTTCGTTGTCCAAACCGTCTGTGGTTCCTGTGGCGGGAATCTTGGGGTGCGTGGAGCGAACACGGTCGGAGCGTCGTTCAACGCGCTGTGCGATGCCGGCGAAGGCGGTGCTGAAGAGGAGAGCATTGCTCAGGGCGATGAGAGAGTACTTCATGGTGGGCTGAAAGTTGGGATCTTGAGTAATCTTTGTAGGACTGGATTGCGAGAACGAGCAGAGGAGTGAAGGCTTGAGGATTGAAGCTGGAGATGCCGATTCATGGTGAGAGCACGATGGACTTTATATGCGTCGATAGCTGCCAAGAGGAAATGCCCAAGACTGCAATAGGCTGAAAGAATGTTCTTCTTGGCAATAAGGTAATGAGAGGAGATGATGGCGAAAGTCTCTCGAACTTGGTCAGTTGTGATATGTTCCCCTTGGACGAGAGCGGCGGAGCACTTGATTAGGAAGGCGTCTGCAAGCAAGAACAACACCATATGCTTGAGGCCTCATTTCCATCAAAAGCTATTGATGGGGAGGGCCACGCAACATAATGACGAAAGATTGGGATGTATTACAGCAGCGAAGCTGTTTTTCCAGACAAGCTGTCGCGGATGGTTGAATAAGAGCCGCCAGTGCTATTGGGTGGACGGAGAGACATTAACGCGTACCTGAAATTGTCGGACGTATAATCACCTATCCGCCAATGAAGGCCCGCATCTGGGCTGCAGGCCTGAGGATCCTTGACCGGGCCTTAAAGTAAGGTTCGGCTGGGCGCGAACTACCATGTAACGTGTTGACAACAAGTACAACACTTCTACAACAGATGACAACCAAGTTCTAAAGAAGGAGGGAAGTACTTGGGGTGTACCGAATGGGCAACGTTGCAGTCAACAGAACGAAAGCTTGACTTCTTATAGCAGGTCAAAAGAATCTCAAATGTCGAAATGCAAAGCATTCAATGACGAAAAAAAGACGCCATCGGCATTCGCTGGGGTCCAGATGAAAGGAACCGGCAGCTATCAATAGACCACTTCGGCGTTTATATGGCGACATAGCACTCCATTCAGATCTGAAGCCAGTAGATGCCAAGCCACTAGGCTAGTGGGGCGGGGGCGGGGCGGCATTGGGGGAGAAGGTAGCTGTGCTAGGACCAGCTACAAATGCTTGTCAAACCTTGTTTGTCAATGCTTGTTCTCCCAAGACTGCTATGGGGGTATATACCTCCTGGCTATGTTCTGCAAGCTACAATGTGGTTAGCTCAACTTCCGGGATAGTTAATACCAACATGACTTGGTGTCCCCTGTCGATCTCGTCTTAATGAACCAACCAAAAAGCGTATACTTATTTACTACTCGATTCTGGACAGAATGTTATGTGTTCATAGTAACATGGTATACAGTAAAGCGGAAGAAGAGGGGTATAATCCGGATAATTGTCTCGACTCGTGAGGAGTAAGTGGGATGCGATTTGGGAAATGATAGACATTGGGCTTCTGATGGCAACTGCTGAGAATACTAGGATGCGAGAGATGGTAAATCAGCAAGATGAACCCTAGATATTGCGCAATTCAGTAAAGGAACATACCTTAAGCTCTAGAACCATTTCGGAAGGACGGGCCGTAGTAGAATATGGGTATGCGATCTAAAAAAGTCGCATCTGAAGCGGGCAGTGTCGGAAGTCCAACATCGTATTGCATTCTCATAGGAAGATTTTCTTCTCGCACTCACTGGATCTTCTCCAAATTTGGAATACCATAGTAGTGTACATTCCACTGAATACGTAATGGCATTACAAAAGAAACCCGAGATAAAAACATTGATTCTCAATGTATGCTAAAACCGTAAGCAAAACAAACCCTCCATCTCAGCGTAGTGAAGAGAATTTCTAAGTATACATTGAACAATACGCAATATACCTTTTGATCATGACACTCAAAAACTCTCACAATTACAAGGCAACTGCAGGCGTCGAGTCTAGAATGATTCTCCTGGGACCCACCAGGTCACTTGGGCCATCAAAGCCGTGCATGCCCATCTCCTCGTCAGCCTCAAACCCGCAGCAAATGAAGCAGAACAAGTCTGTACTTCGTTCCCACCACTGGTCCAGTTTCTCAGCAGCTTTCACGAAATGGCATCGCCAACACCTAGAGTCATCTATTTTGATATTCGCATTTCTTGCAAGCGAAGGTCTTTTGGATGAACCTCTTGAGGTGGGGTTAGGTGAGCCCAGCATTGCTGTCCGAGGGGATGGTACCGTACCCGCTAGAAGTTGTGTTGTTGAAGAGGCTGATATGGGACGGCTGCTCCACTCGCCCGTAACGCCAAATTCAGCTGCAGTAGAAACTCGAGGCGATGACGCGACTGAATTTGGTCCGCTTGGTGAGGATGTTGGCGAGGATGTTGGTGTTATGATATTGGCGGGATTCAAGCGAGTTGGGGATAGAGATGACATGTTTTCGGTATTGGCTGGAGCTGCGTTCTGGGAATTCACACCATGATGCAAACCTTCGAGGCGTGCCTTCCGATTTTTTCCATGTGGACATTTTCTAGTTGATGGCACCTGAGGAGAATTCGGGATTGCTTCCATCGGGATCGGGCCAATCGCCATCGGGTGTAACGCAGAGGTACTAGTCGATTCAATTGCATTTCGAAGAGTGTTCATTTCAGAATCTCTTGCTGTAGCGGAAGGCGTGAAGCGTACTTGTTGGCCGAGTCTGTGTTGCTTTCTCAATCTAGACGTGTTTTCCGAGCTGGTAACATGTGTAGTTCGCTGCTGAACTGCTGCTACGGGAGCATTATTGAACGGATGTTGGACAATATGTCCATATACGCTCCTGGGTGGCCTGAATACTGGAACCCGTCGATTTACAGGGGCAGATACAGATCTGGTTCCATTGTTTGGACAATGACGTGGCATTCGAGAAGATAGAGTGAAGCTTGCTGGGAGGCCCAAAAACCTTTGAAGGCGGGATTGTTGAGGAGCAGATTGTCGTGGTCGTGGGGGGATATTTTGGCCTCCCGTCCAAGATGGCATGCCGGGGGGCGTTGGTCGTCGTTGTAACGGTGCGTGGAGAGGAGCTTTGGGCTCTGCATATACCTCATGAATTGCAATAGATGTAGTCAATGCTCCCTCAATAATCGCACATGCATCATGATATGGTTCTTGAGTTCTAGCAATGTCATCCAGACTGAAGGACTGCTTGCAACGCGGGCTTTTGGCAACCGTGAAACTGTCGCGATGAGTGAGAAACGGAAACTTCGTCATGTCATTAACCGACTTGGAACGCGCGAGGGAGCCAATAGTAGTATAGCTTGTTTGCTCCTTTATTGGGACAAGCACCGTTCCACGGCCGTACCGAAACTCGACGTCCTGGACCGACGTCCTGGTTGGATGTGTAACCCTCTCCCGTGCATTTTCATCATTCTTTCGTTCACCGGTTGATGGCTTGGTCTCAGACAGCGTGGCAAGGGCAATTCCGTTCCAGTTCTCGTCGCTACCCGAAAGACAGCTGGCTTCGAATATCGAATCGTGCGAAGTTGAGATGTTATCGTCGGAGTCTGATCGAAGGACGAAGGAAGTCTTGCGCCGGATCCTTCTGACTGGTATCGCAGGCGGAGAGAGATTCCTTGGGAGCAGTGGCGATCTCGTTTGCGCGGGTGGGGTATTTGCCCCAAGAGAGACGCTTTCGTTTTCGCCCATTGCGTCTATCCAAAAAGTAGGCGTAGTGGGCAGCATCTGTATACGTCAAAGGATGTTGATTTATATCATCGCAATGCTAATCAAATGCGCGTGTATGAAAACAAGAGATGATGAGAGAAATGGAAACAGGAAGTGGGGGAAATGCAAGACCACGTCGAAATTTAGACTTTTTGAGGTATCAACGCCAACCTTCCGTGGCCCCTTCCTCATGAAATAACGCCGTCGCTATGATGCTTCGTTAAAGACGAAGTTTCCAAATCTAAGATGTGTCGATTCCCTCAGCCGCCAAAGCCTTTTTGTACTCCTTCATTGCCTTTTGGATGGCCCTAGTAGTTGGTTCCATCATTTCCTTCACCACCTTCTCGCCGCCTGCAACAGATTTCGGATCCCATTTGGTCTTCTTCTGAGTCCTCTGATATATATCTAATATGTCCTGTTTGGTTCTGGCAATCACTTGATCTCTTTCCTTCTCAGCATCAGCGGCAACGGCGTTGATACGATCCATAGCTCTTTCGAGAGTTTCCACCATTTTGGCCAACTCACCTGCACGATCAGGATCGCCCGAGAGAAAGATCGTCCAAAAATGGTGAAGAAATTCTGCGATTGGGAAAGTTAGCAATTATTGGTGGCCTAAGCAATTACGAAAATGTGGAGAAGTTGTGCAAGATTGTTTTAAGAAGATCCAAGACGCTGCCAAAATCGGAGCTTACCAGTGGTAGTTGCGTGAGTTAAGGTCAACCTGTCGAAGATTTTTTGGGATAAACCAGCCAACGATGTTTGAGCACTGGAACCATCGATCTCTAATCGACGAGCCTTCACTCCTTCCAGAATTTGTTTTTGTGCATCCACGAGGCTTGCTTTACTACCAACGTGGGCCGTCTTTCTTTCGTCTTCACTATCACTTTCCTCAAGCACTCCAATAGCTGAGCTCAAATCTAATCCGCGGCCTGTGCCATTGCCTATACTCATGGGATTAACATCGCTTCGCAGTCCTGCTAGTACTTCAGATGGCACTTGTTTCGCATATAGAGCAGCCTCCGCAGACACGGCCGACTTCTCATTGGCGAAGAATTGACTCTGCTCTTTAATATTGAGCATTATGCGATTTTCTGCTGCATCACCTTGCAAATCCTTCAGAGCAAGCGCATTGAAGGTTTCCTCGTCCATACCAATAGGGTCAGCGGGATCAACATCAGAAGGAGCCACATGAGCCATGATTTTCTCGCTCAAACTATTCAGCGTTCGAACAATGGGTACTTTGGCAGCGGATCCAGGTCTCATGGTGAAGTCTGCTCGATTGCCGCCCCTGCTTCCACCTTGGTTCTCCTCATTGCCCTCAAGGTCGATGATATTGGGTATGTGCAGACCTAGGAGTCTTTGATCCAGACCAGAGTCATTGCTCGCATCGAGATATCGATCAAAAGTAGGATCTGTGCCATCAGTTTCGACAATGCGCTCTCCCTTGAGCTTTTTGAACAAACGGCTGAGAAAGAACCTCGACCAAAACTCCATCTCATTCAGCTTAGGAACATTCTCATCGTATACTCGTTTCACTAGAGGATGCTGGCTGAATATGAGCTGGACTTGCTCGGCACTAATGTTCATCTTGAGCTCGCCATCGACTTGGCGTGGCTTCACAGCGGACAACACATTGTAGGCACCTCTTTTCTGGTGACTCTCTACCGCATGAGCTCGCAAGATATTCGTTCTCGTGGACCAAAATTGTGAGTTGAACTGAGAATCTGAGATTATGTCAGGTTTTGTACGCCTCGCCTCCATATACGTGCGATGCAATGCTGGGTCCTTCTTCATGAGTGACTGCTGCAGTTCAATATCAGTCTTCAAGCCGGCATCATCATACCACCGCGCCGGCCCAGAAGTCGGCTTGGACGTGACAGCACTAGCAATGGCCATGGCTGCTGATGTTGCACCATTCGCTTTTGGTGTGTTGGCGTCGTTGGCTTTGAGAGCACTAATCAAGTTTGTCAAGGCATCCTTGATAGCATTTGCCTCTCCTCGAGGATTCGAGGGAGAATTGAAATGGAAGAGGTGGGTTACAGACTCGGACGCGTCAGGTGGCTTTTCGAAGATCTTCAGCATCACCTTTGCAGCTGCCTCCGGAGTTTGTTGCAAATCTGTCAGGTTAGCATAAGTCCAAGAAAGTCTACCGCACTACATACTGGTGATATTGGCAACAGCGATGGTCACAACTTTCTCTGCATCTCGAGCTCCTACAGGCTGCCACTGGATCGACTTCTGGTCTTGGGCAATGCTGAATGTGCCATCTTTCTTCTTGTAACCAGCAGCGCCTTGGATTGTTGGGACTGGAGCCATCTTTTAAGAGTGTAGACGTGGAGTTTCGGAGGTGAAGCATTTAGAGTGGTCCCCCAAAGTTTCCCTCCACACACACCGAACGGGAGAATAGGGAGCTTCAGTCCATGCAGGGAGGTTCCAGCGTTCCCCAGTCCCTGAGTTAGGCCAAGTCCCCTTGAATTGCCCCCGGACTCTTCCTTATAGGTCTAGATGTATGCACCCGAGGGACTCAAACGGCCACAGAAGCTTGATGCCCAGTCTGGAATTTTGTGCTCGTCACGAGACTGCAGTTTAGGTTCACTAGGTAGGTGTAGGTTGATCATATACGGTCGACTTTCGGTTACCGTACCTCTAGGAATAGCCGGTCTGCCGTACCGTACCGCACCGCACCGCAATCGCCATGACGTGCAAAACTTCTACTTGAAGTGAGAACCTTGGTGGCAATATAACATAGATGCCGAAGACTGTCCGAGGTTTCGTGGAGTTCTATATAATAATATTAACAGTAAATCAAGAAAGCTTTGGGTGTATTTCAGGCGTATTTCATGCTATACTATTTACATATTTTACCCGGAAATGAGACTTTTCTCTTTGTAAGATAAAGTACCTACAGTACCTAGCCTTTTAAGACTGAGCAGTCTTAATAGGTTTTGAGAAGCATGTTGGTCCAGTCCGAACAAGTAAGTCATCAATACAGGCTTTTAAAACTTTTAATATGTTGCGAAATCTATACAAAGTCATTCCTCTCTGAGATTTGACGTAATCCTAGATACCGATGCTAGGGGAAGGAAGATATATATAGCCTCGGCACGTGCGATATTTACCTAAACAAGCTAGCGCCAGCCGCGAGATTTAATTGTCCTGTTGACCCGAGTTATACCGGTTTAAAAACCTACACCTACTCAGTTCAACCACTTCATTCCTCTCTTCTATCAGACCTACTGCGCAATGCTCTCGCTCAGTAGGACGATTGTCCGGGCGCGGATTGCCCGGATACCTCTACGTCAATGTCCTGCCATCCGTGGATCATTCTCTCGAACCTACGCAACTCCCAGCCCCAGCTCGAGTTCTCCCGATCCAAATGACAGCTTCCTCTCCGGAAATACCGCAAACTACATTGATGAGATGTACATGCAATGGAAGGAGGATCCATCAAGTGTACATGTCTCATGGCGGGTCTACTTCAAGAACATGGAGAACGGCGACATGCCAATGTCCCAGGCCTTTACGCCTCCCCCAACTCTCGTCCCTACACCTACCGGAGGCGTCCCAAGCTTTGTTCCTGGACTCGGAATGCCTGCTGGAGAAGGCTCTGATGTTACGAATCATTTGAAGGTCCAACTCCTCGTTCGCGCATATCAAGCTCGTGGTCACCACAAGGCCAACATCGACCCTCTTGGGATCCGACGTGAAGCGAAGGAATTTGGCTACAAAGATCCGAAAGAGCTCCGTCTGGATCATTACCAGTTCACCGAAAAGGACTTGGACTCCGAATACAATTTGGGCCCGGGCATTTTGCCACATTTGAAGAAGGAAGGCAGAGATAAGATGTCATTGCGGGAAATTATTGCTACGTGTGAGCGCATCTACTGCGGCTCCTACGGAATCGAATACATCCACATCCCAGACAGAGGGCAGTGCGATTGGCTACGGGAGCGCGTTGAGGTTGAGCAACCTTTCAAGTACTCCGTCGACGAGAAGCGCCGCATTCTCGATCGCCTAATCTGGAGCTCGAGTTTCGAAAGCTTCTCGGCTGTAAAATACCCCAACGACAAGCGATTTGGTTTGGAAGGTTGTGAAACTTTGGTGCCGGGAATGAAGGCTCTCATTGATAGAAGTGTTGATTATGGTGTTAAGGACATCGTCATTGGAATGCCTCATCGTGGCCGCCTCAATGTTCTTAGCAATGTCGTCCGCAAGCCCAATGAATCAATTTTCAGCGAGTTTGGAGGATCTGCAGCTGCGGAAGATGAAGGATCTGGAGATGTCAAGTACCATTTGGGTATGAACTTCGAGCGACCGACACCATCTGGCAAGCGTGTCCAGTTATCCCTTGTTGCCAATCCTTCTCATCTGGAGGCTGAAGATACCGTGGTCTTGGGAAAGACCCGAGCTATCCAGCATTACAACAACGATGAGAAGGTGCACACCTCCGCTATGGGTGTCCTTCTTCACGGAGATGCTGCTTTTGCTGGCCAAGGCATCGTCTACGAGTCCTTTGGACTTCATGCCCTCCCTGCCTACTCCACTGGTGGCACCATCCATTTGGTAGTAAACAACCAAATTGGTTTCACTACCGATCCCCGATTTGCCCGTTCGACCGCCTACTGCACAGATATTGCCAAGTCAATTGATGCCCCTGTGTTCCATGTCAACGCTGATGATGTTGAGGCTGTTAATTTTGTGTGCCAGTTGGCTGCTGATTGGCGTGCTGAGTTCCGGAAAGACGTGGTAATCGATCTTGTCTGTTACCGGAAACACGGTCACAATGAGACTGACCAACCGTCGTTCACTCAACCTCTAATGTATAAGCGTATCCAATCCCACGAGCCACAAATCGATATTTATATCAACCAGCTTCTAAAGGAAGGTAGCTTTACTAAAGAGGACATCGATGAGCACCGCAAGTGGGTTTGGGGCATGTTGGAGGAAAGTTTTGCGAAGAGCAAAGATTATTCACCAACATCGAAGGAATGGACTACATCGGCATGGAACGGTTTCAAGTCACCAAAAGAACTGGCCACCGAAGTCCTTCCTCACCACCCCACAGGCGTCAACAAACAGACCCTGGAGCACATCGGAACAGTGATTGGCACAGCTCCAGAAGGCTTCAACGTTCACCGGAATTTGAAGCGTATTCTTGCAAATCGTGTCAAAACTGTGAACGAGGGTCAGAATATCGACTGGTCGACTGCCGAGGCTCTCGCATTCGGATCTCTCGCGAGCGAAGGTCATCACGTCCGTGTATCTGGACAAGATGTAGAGCGTGGAACCTTTTCGCAAAGACATGCTGTCTTCCATGATCAAGAGAACGAAGAGACTTATACCCCCTTACAGCATGTCAGCAAGGACCAGGGCAAGTTTGTGATTTCAAATTCTTCGCTGAGTGAATTTGGAGTTCTCGGCTTTGAGTATGGATATTCTCTATCTTCGCCTAACGCTCTCGTCATGTGGGAGGCGCAATTCGGAGATTTTGCCAACGGAGCACAAGTTATTATTGATCAATTTATTGCTTCTGGTGAGGTGAAATGGATGCAGAGATCCGGCCTCGTTATGTCCTTACCTCACGGATATGATGGACAGGGTCCTGAGCACTCTTCTGGTCGCATGGAACGATTCCTCATGCTGTGTAACGATAATTCTAGCGAATTCCCAACGCCACAACAGCTCGAAAGACAGCACCAGGATTGCAATATGCAAATTGCATGCATGACAACTCCTGCTAACTTGTTCCACATTCTGAGGAGACAAATGAATAGACAGTTCAGAAAACGTGAGTTTCTCTCCCCAAGCATGTTCCGCGAGGATAAGCGAAGACGGCCGCTCTTAAGATGCTCCAATTTTTCTAAAACATTGACATTTACTAACATGTTGTAGCCCTCATCATATTCTTCTCCAAGTCTCTCCTTCGTCACCCTGTCGCAAGATCACCGATCGAAGATTTCACTGGAGATTCGCAATTCCAATGGATCATCCCAGACCAGGAGCACGGTAAAGCAATCGCTGAACCGGAGGAGATCGACCGAGTGATCCTCTGTTCTGGTCAGGTTTATGCCGCACTCATCAAGCACCGTGCCGAGAAGGGTTTGAAGAACGTCGCCATCACTCGCGTCGAGCAAATCTTCCCCTTCCCATGGCAACAACTCAAAGAGAACTTGGACAGCTACCCTAATGCCAAGACCATCGTCTGGTGCCAGGAAGAGCCTGCCAATGCTGGTGCCTGGGTCTTTACGCAACCTAGAATCGAGACTTTGCTGAACAACACTGAACACCACGACCACAAGCACGTCATGTTCGCGGCACGCAATGCTAGCGGTAGTGTAGCAACGGGATTGAAGAATGTGCATACGAAGGAAGAGACTGAATTGTTGGAACGTGCATTCAGCATTGTTCAGGACAAGTTGAAGGGAGAGTAGGTGGGGCTAAGATTGTAATTTTAAAAGTAGTAGGAGGGGGCATGCTCAATGGCGTTTGTATCACTCTGTACACAACTGGCTGATAGGGTGCACTTGCAGGTGTACACAGCATCTCAAGAATGCACATGAAATGGAATACTCTGGGCATCACATGCCGACTTCATCGTTAATTAGCATTCAATAGAACGTTATTATTTGAATTATCGCACTACTCATCCAGCATAATTGTGACTTTAATTATTTATAGACGGGAGGTACAACTCTCAGCAGAGGGGAGCAGAAGTTATCACACTACTACTCATCGAGCGCTCATTTTGCGTAGCTCGAAGTCTAGATCTATACTTCTAAGCATCGACACCGTAGAATCAAGCAGTGCAATGAGATTTTGAAGTTCTTCATCCTTTAAGTGTTCTCGCTCAACGGAAGTGGTGTTAGAAACGCCAACGCCTCCAGTCCAAATTCGATAAGATCTGCACAGACACGATAATCCCTGCAACATATTGAAGCTTAGTCCAGATCCCAACTTCTTGCGATGTGCAACAAACTTTCAAGTGATTTACTCTTTGGGAAGTGAATCCCCAAGTCTCAAATGTATACTGTACAATGCGGTAATCACGTGCTTCAGAGCCCGGTGTAAAGGGGCAGATTGAAAGTTACCTTAAGTTGGAAAAAATTCTCAGCCTCGAATTCCATCATCAACAACCAAGCAACAATTATGAAGCTCAATAAAGACGTGGGTATGTAATCATATTCCCCTCCTCTTTGGCACCTGTCTAACGGTATCCAGCAATCGCGACCTCCAAGCTCCTCCTGGTCCCTTACGAAGCCTCTCACGTGTCCACATACCACGTGTGGATGCAAGACGAGGAGATCCAAGAAGCAACGGCATCTGAACCGCTCTCGCTCGATGAGGAGTATGAGATGCAAGAAAATTGGCGCAATGATCACGACAAGTTGACATTCATCATCTGCGAACCCTTGTCACCTCAGGAAATCGCAGAGATTGGAGAGATTGAAGGCGGTGTTCAAGATGCGCCAAAGAGGATGCTTGGGGATGTGAATTTGTTCATTTCGGTTAGTGATGATGATGGTGAAGATAGCGAGAGCGACCAAGACAGTGGTAGCGAGGAGAGAAAGAGCTCGTCTCATAGCGGCTGTGTTGGTGAACTTGAGTAAGTAACATATTCAGATATTGGGTACTCTTCTCAGTCTATTTACTCGAAAACTTGCTAATTCACCGGTCCATAGGCTCATGTAAGACCCCCTAGATTACAATCATTTTACGCCCCGCAGGCCACAAAACTAACTCTACGCTCTTCTCTAGGATCGCTTCCCCATCAAAACGCAGACAAGGTTATGGCCGTGCAGCAATCGCCACGTTCATTCACTATATGGCTATGCATCTCCATGACATTCGGAACGAGTTTCTCCGAGGCGTCATACCTACAGCATTCCGATCATTGTCCGAACACAGCCATACTCCATATCCGAACTGGGCACATCTGGACCATGATTTCAAGCTCAAAGTCAAGATTGGTGAAGACAATCAGTCAAGCATCAAGCTGTTTGAAAGTTTGGGGTTTGTCAGGAAAGGGGATAGCGCCAATTACTTTGGTGAACTTGAGCTGGTGCTGCCGGAGTATGTTACGGAGGAGTGGACGAAAGGCTTGATGGATACGCATGGTGTGGAGGGCTATGAGGAGTTGGTATACATGCCGCTGGAGGCGCAGAACTAAGGAAGCACATTGGCGATTTTGTGGATGGGAAATGTCTACCAGGAATCAAGGACGAATGAGGACAGCGATGGTAATGCTGTTCGAACAGGACCCTTTGTCTACTACGATAGCCAATAAAATACTTGGGGGGACTAGGGCACTATATCAAAGGGAGGCTGCAATTTTTTAGGTATGAGCTGCATACAACTACGAGAACCAACAACCCTGAGACAGAAGTTTTTCGTGACAGATATCATCCCATCTCTATAACCTGTATTTCAAGATTGCTCTGTGCTTCACATCATTCTTCTTCCTATCGAGACCCGTTTGCTGACCACCTTCAAGTTAAAGAAAGCCTCTTGTGAGGCATAAATTCGTTCCTAGCCTCAACTTCAACGTGCAGTTTAATTTCCTGGCAAGATATATGCTCAGAGGTTGATATTAGTGCTATATAAGATTTGATTAGTGCCACTTTCCCGTTTCGATGTACGTATTGTGCCGATCCTGCAGTATTTACACATTTCATTTTGACTTATTTTCGGCACCTTGGACCCTTAATATCGAGGCTTGATTGCAGTGTTTAATGAATAGAAAGATGCGCTGGTGTGTACCTAACCCATAAGTGTATGGAGGAGGTGTCGCGACTTACTCGCTCTCTTATTTGTCGAGACTATATTCTCTAGGCCAGGCCACAATACTCAATGCCCGAATTTATATTCATGATCATTTATGGTCCTACTGCGCACTCGTTCAACGATGGGATCTTGAACGCCGTGCCAGCACAGTGGCATTATATTCAGCTGATGATAATCTATCCGACAGCATGGTATCAAGTAATGTAGCGGACTTGGATCCGTAAGTCATGATCAGCGCCCTCTGGCTCTGTGTACATGTCCCTTCATGCTCTTATCAGGGGCAATCCGACGATGCTCATACTTGGATTTTGAACCCCAGCTAATGCTCTAGTCCTTCATAAGATACTTTAGCAATCACAATCCCCCATACGCCTTTTATTCGGACAATGATAGCTTCGGCGCAATGGCGGTGTCTATCACAAGCTCGGTCGAGGCTACCCCGATGTTTCGGCGAATGGGATTAGTGTCAGCAGTGGCATAAGTGCTGGTATGGAACTCCTATCCTTCCACCCTCTTTGATGACTCAACAAATCAAGGTTTACTACTATTCGCTTCCATTCTCACCCCCCTTTCCATAGGCGACAGTCACGTGAATTTACTATATGTTATGGTCCTCATGGCTGATTCTTGTTTTGGGTCCAGATAATATATTTTACATAGTGCATACGCTATTCCCCTAACCAAATGGCTAGGAATAGTATTTGCATATAGCAAGCAGATCACCATGCTATCACCGTGAATCCTTACTATAGTAAAAACCGTGGCTTGAATTACCTTTCGGCCTCATGGAGCAAGCTGGAGTTTGTATTATTTCCCTCTGTGCCATATATACTACCTACTATACTTGTAGCTGCGGACTAATTAAAATCCTCTAGATTTCACAACCCAGCTATCAGTCTCCCCCTTAACAAACATCCCGGGCGTAACCGTAGGTGGTGTCCAGGCCTCCCTGGTGCGGAGCAGCTGCTCAAGCTTCATTTCAAAAGTTGACATGCTAGCGACCTGCAAGGTGTGCGGTAGAAATCAGCATCGTTTATCAAGAAATATTGTTCGACTTGAGTCGAGGTGTATTGTATGTATGCGATGGCTCAGGACTCGCGATTTCCAGATGTGTGCAAAGGTCTAAAGTAGAAGGAAGGAAGAAAGGAAGAAAGAAGAAACCAGATAGGAGAAACCACTTACATTATTACGCGTCCCCTGACTCCCCAACTCCAACGTCGGCTCTCTCCCAAGATCAAACCTTCTCTTCCGCCCATCTTGAGCCACCAGAACAATAACCTCAAGATCCTTCAGAACACCAAAATCCCACCTCGTCACATCCCCCGCCTTTGAATATTTCACAGCCAGATTCCTGACCTGATCTAGACCCTTCACGACACCGGATTTGGCACGAGCGAGTAGAGCATAGAAATCAGCACGCTGGCCAAAATACAACGTGTCTCGTGAGAAATTGACATATATACCCTTTCCCTCAGCTAGTATATCAGACGTGGTAAAACTGCGCTCATAGAACTTCAAGGCTTCGTGTCTAGACTGGGTGCAGACATGCAGCGGGATGGGGATTTTGCAAATGGAGTACAGGGATCCGAGGACGCGCTTTTCAGCGCGCTGGCGGATTTCTATGGTCCTGGGTTCTTGACAGGCAAGGCGCCAGATGTGGCACTTGACTTCTGCGGGCAGGGACGCGAATTGGTGGAATGGTTTGGGAGGTGCAGGAGATATTGTTTGGTAGAGGAGGGACTTGTCTGTCAGGGGCGTAGGGGCGATATTGAAACTGTGCGAGGCTGCTGCGTCGAGGGTATGGCAATAGAGGTCGTGGGCTTTGCGGAGGGTGTAGAGGTAGGCGTCGTGAGTACCGACGATGATGACGAAGCCGAGAAGATGGTACCACTTGACCGAAGAAGGAATGCCCATGTTTGTAAATTTGTTATATTGAGAGCGTGATTGTTGGTTAAAGTACTCATATGAGAGGGCAAGTTTGTTAATTTGGGGAAACAGTGCGAGGAGGATACTGACGTACGTGGCAAGATCACGTGTAAAACAGGCAACAGTTCAACTCCTTGAATTCAAAAACGTGTTACATGACTTGAAAGACTGCTGGGAGCAGCTTAAATGCTTCAAATATATGTTCAATGTAATTTATGCCATGGCTAAACGGGTGAGACTGAGATGAAAGCCACCAGCATGGCTTTGTAGGTCACGTAGTCGTTGAGCCGCTGAAGCTATCTCAGATCGCTCCAAGCCTCGTCTACAGAGCAACTTTACATATTTATGCATGTTGGAAATAGTGTTGAAGATAGAGGAGTTGAGAGAGGAGTGCAGAACTTTAGGGACAGCTTCCTCGTATGAAAGGCTATACATCTTGCCCCAACAGACAGAAATTCTAGACTGGGTGCTGAAACAATGTTCTGTATTGATATTGCAGTGTTGACAAATAAGACGCATAAAATGTCCCAGCCTAAACAGACAAATGAAAGACTTCTTATTGACTGTGTACGGGACATGTCAGAAGCTCTAATGCCCATATATACTGTGTACCTAGGATGGACGACAGCGTTGAGTTTCTTCCAGCCATCGAGTACCCTCAATTTCTCATTCAACGTGGCCCCCATAAATTCTATCAGTATTTTCCAGTTTTCAACGTCAAAGACAGTCGATCGAGGACGTATTGGCCTGCCGCAATTGGTTGGTACTTGGCAGGATTATCTTCGCTTATACAAGAAGGAAGCGTCTCAACGGTCTCATCATAATTGATAGAGAAGAAAAGAGGGATACTGTATCTCTCTTTCGCCGTTCGATTGACTACTCGATGAACAGTACTTTTGTATTTGTCGTTGGTCCATCTCATCAAGAAATCAGCCACATTGACTACAATCCCACCCTCGACGGGTTGTGCGCTTATCCAGTGTCCATCAGAACCCAGTATTTCGAGACCAGGATTCGAGTCTTGGAGTAGAAGTGTAAAACACTCGTAATCCGAATGCGCACCCAAGCCAATTTCCTCGTTCTCATCGACTTCGGACAGGGGTTTCGGATTGGAGCTTGGTCGGTATCGAATCAGCCGTGCTATTCCACCTGGGTGTGTTATCATTGGATCGAAGAAGTCTTCCTTGAGGTTAAGGGAGAGGGCAAAGAGACGGCATAGATGGCGAGATAATTGCAAGACCTGTAATGGAAGATTAGCAAGCTGTAGCCTAGTGGCGACATTTTAACAGAGCTTACATGGGAATAGTATTCAGCAATTCCCTTGTAAAATCCAGGCAAGTCATCCTCTAAAGGCCACTGATTCTTGCTTCCATCCGAGCTGCCATCAATTTCAACGTACTTTCCATCACCCCCCGTTGGATCGAGCCCAGGTTCGTATCCCCAATTGAACGCCTCCTTCGTCTCTTTGCTTGTAAAATTATTCGACGACGAGTATGCAGCTGGTTCATATCCGCGGAACTGTGGAGAGTTCTTCATATGTATTGCTTCTTTCGAGGGATCTGGTAATTCGTGGAAGAATCGCTCCGCGAGTTTGAGGACATCATCGCACACGCCGTTGGGAATGCCATGACCTTTGATATAGAAGAATCCTATAGTGGTACAAGCATCGTGGATTTTGTTTGCTACCTTCTGGCGGTCGGCGAGAGATGATGAGAAGGAGGGTGTCAAGTCGATAATGGGGATCGACCGAGAGGACGTGGTTCCTGAAGTCGCTTTTAGCTACGGAGAAGGGGGTCAGAAAGTTAGCTTTTGATAAATAATCAATGCAAGAACAGGAACATAGTGTCGAGTTCCTGACGGAATGCAAGTGGTGGTCAATCAAGGAGGGGTTTTATACCCGTTCTTCGAGGTATACATAGGCTTGGCGAGCTTGGGCCAGCGAATCTACTTGCATCGGATTTGAAACTGCTGCCATGACTACCGTGGTACTTCGTGACTCGCAAAGTATGCCCTGAGCTAGCAGTTTAGAACTCAAAATATAAGAAGTATAGTTCAGACACTCCCGGAAGATGGGGTTTAAGCGGGGCTTTCTAGCTTGAGGAACTTCACCCCGCAGGCCTAATAAGTGTCTACCACCATATAAGCTAGTATGAAGCTTTAATTGCAATTAATAATTTGAGTTCATAATTCTAATATCATTAATTCTATAGTACTCGGTATTTATCTTAGAAAGACAAATTCTATGATAAACTGTTAATGCAGGGCATACTTTGCCAGTCACTACGGGAAGAAGAGACAGGGAGGGGAGGTTGAGGGGAGGGATGTGCTTATCGCTTGTTTCTTATCGTAGCGTACCTACAGAACAGTAGCTCTAGCCTGGCCTGGGTACCGGTAGGGCGGGCGAGGGCGAAGCAAGGGTGGGATGGGGACGTACAGTGTCGTATCGAGTCATTGTCAGCGTCAGCTTACTCCGAGTACAAACGAACGCGTAGGAGAAGTCAGCCGACTATTACTGTTATAAAACTTGCAGTTTTTCTACTTAGATCCATCCAGATGTAGATAATGAGGCAATGCAAGGTATCTATCAGCTGAATACTTACCTAAGTCCCTGGAGGAGCTGCTTTATTCGGGGATTGACTTGCTGAGAAACCTCTTGCAGTGACCATGCTGAGAGACCTCTTTCTATACCATATTAAGAATAATTCCGGAATAGCTGAATATATAAAAATCTAGTACAATCGTATATTACAGACAGATGCAAGGTAATATAGGCAAGTTACCTACCTACCTATATATGCCTACTATAGAGTAAGTACATGTAAGATTACCTTATTCAACATCTAGGTATCCCAAACAGGCCAAGCCTCGCCTCAACATCCAGCTTTCCCAAAACAGTTGGATAAGGGCGCTGATCTCTCATCCCTGATAGGTCAATTCATCCTGTCCATCTTAAATTAGTCTTGACAATACCTCTGTAACTGATATACGCCACAACTTGAAGTATCCACAGCCCCTCCATTTTTTCAGATGCAGCACCAATTAATATTAACATTCGGTTTTCATTGAAACCATTTCACGGCACAACCGAGTCATCAGTGAAACGGGTCTATACGAAGCCCTGCAATTGGGTACAAAGAACCAGTCAGGTTCGATACCACTACCTAAACAAGCGTAGGTAGGTCAATTCCCCGCGCAAGCAGCGCAGCAGACCCCTCAACTGCTTACAAGATCTTACTCCTTTAAGTGGGAGTACTTATATCTACAAACACTTCTGCACCTCCTATTTCAGAAAAATCATTCATTGCAGAACTTCAAGCCTATTTATATTTAAGCTTTCATTCTCCAATCACAATTATAACCACAACCAGAATTTTATATACTCATTCCAAGTCACTACAATGCGAGCCCGTCGCGAAGCCCGTCGTGATGACGACTATGACGATGGAGGAGGTCGCAGAAGAGGAGGACGCAGAGAGCGCAGGCAGGGCGGGGGACTTATTTCGGGCCTTGCTAGTGGCATAGGGCTTTTGTCTGAGAGCATTCAGGCGCATAAGGAGGGGAAGGAGGAGAAGATGAGGTCAGAGGGCGGTTTGAGACAGGACATCCCGTATCGACAAAGAGAAGAGAGGAGGGATGGTCCGGGTCCGGGTCCGGGCCCAAATATGAATGAGCCGCCGCCTGCTTATGATGCGCCAAATTATCCTCCCGGGCAGAGTGGCTATTCTCAAGGACAGAATAGTGGAAATAGGGAGCAACGGTATCCGGATGAGGCACAGGGTGGTTATGACCGACCGTATGGGGCTGAAAGGACGGGTTCTTCGCAGTATCAGGGTGAGAGAATGGGTTCTGGTCAGTACTCAGATGAGAAGGCTAGCCAGAACCCGTTTGGGGACGACAGGCCTAGTCAGGGCGAGCCAGCTAGCAACAACCCATATCGGAATCAGATGCCCAGTCCCGGTCAACACCAACGTGAGAGAAGCTTTCAAGATGAAAGATCGAGTCCCAGCCAATATCCAGACGAGAAAGCCAGTGCTAGTCGTGGCCTGGCTCCTGAAGACGAAGCCGAAGACGAGCTCGAAGACGACTGGGCTCTCGATGAAGCACAAGACGAACTCAGAAGCCCCATCGAAGAGAACGGCCCACCACCAACCGGAGACGACTTTTTAAGCACCACCCCCCGCCAGGCTATTCCGAACAAGCACCACGAGAACGACAACGACTTCCTTTCCCCGTCGTGATCCCACAACGAAGACCAAAGGACCGCAGCCGCGGCTTCATCAGAGCCTACGCGCCCATCCTCGAGAACTGCGGTATTGACCAAGCGACCTGGCTCGAGTTCTTGGACTCATTCGAGAAAAACAGTACTGCGAACCCCTGGATCAAAACCGTTAATTTCGCAGCGCTAGCTACGATTCCGTTGCCATTGGCCATTGGATCGGCGGTGGGGTATGCGATCCGGAAGGGAAGTGAGGTTGCCATTGAGGTGCAAGGCAGAGAGCGGTACGTATTCTAAGATGCGATGTGGATGAGGAGCAGAAGAAAAACAAATGCTGATATTTGCGCAGAACAAACACATTCCTCGCCAAAATCAACGACGAGTTCTTCCGTCCGCGAGGGCTTTTCTGCCTGATCATGACTTGGAACCCGGCATCCTCAAACCACGTCGAAGCCGTGGACCTAAACGCAACCATTGCATCGCGCACCAAACCTGCATCCATGACATCCAAACTCCGCCAATCGGACGGCGTCACGCACGGCGAGTGGCAGTTCCCCGAGACAGCACCGCTTGTGTTTCCAACACTGGACAAGCTAGCTTCGCAGACGGGAGAGGATGCTGAGAAGAAGCTGGGCAAGATGGCGAGGAGTAGAGATTTCGTGGCCGGGTATTTTGATCGGAGGGCAACTGCTGAATATGTGCGTTCCACTTCCCTTTCCCCTAATCTTTTGAACGTTACACTGACTTGAGATATCGAAACAAAGGCTAGCCAAAACCCCAATAGCATGCTCGCCAACGTCCCACAAGCAAAATTTACTTCCCGCTACTCAGACCCTAACCACCCCGCCTCCTCTGGTAGCCTAATCGCGCTCGTCACAGGTGGGAAAATAGCAGGTCGTTCCGGCGGCCGCGGTGGTCTCATCGGGGGTCTAGCAAGTGCGGCAAAGAACTATGGCCAGAAACCCGATGCCCAGAAACCGCAGAGTGGAAATCAAGGGTACGGGAATCAAGAGGAGAACCAGTATAGTCGAAATTACAAGGGTAGAAGAAGAGGGAGGAGAGACAGGTCTCCTAAAGAGAAGAGAGGCGGACTGTTGACGGGGAATATGAAGAAGTTTCTAAACCAGGTATATTTTATTTTCTTTCGGCATGTGGAAATAGAGGGCTGGGCTAACGGAGATAATAGAATGTGATGTACATGATGGTAGTCAACATGCCGACTGAGGAAGAGATGGCCAATGGGAAGAGAGCCGATGATGCTTCGCACAGCGGCAGTGGCCAACAGCAGCAGCAATACGATGATCGTCCTCAGTATGGCAATGGACAGCAGTATGGTGGTGGACAGTATGGTGGACAACAACAAAGCAATCCTCAATACGATAATGGCTACACACCTCAACAGCAGTACAGTAGTGGCCAACAAAACAATACCGAATACGATAACGGCTACGCACCCCAACAGCAGTACAGACCACCGCGACAAAACAACCCGCAATACGACAATGGATATCCGCCTCAACAGCAGCAATCAGGCGGTTCTTATCGGTACTAGATACCGTAGACCCCGAACTTGAACAGGAAAGAAGAGAAGAGAGGAGAGGAAAATGTGTGGGTATCGAGGATTGCATGCGAATAATCTGATTGTTGATTAACCACTGGGTTGATTAAGAACGGACAGGGGAAAGGTTATGAAGGTGCTTAGGATAGAGAAAATTTCTGCGAGTGAATTTAATTGATGACTTTGGTGGAATGAAATATTTTTTTAGCTTTCTGCGGTGCCAGATCTAAGTTGGTGCCTCATCTCTGCATAGACAGTGCTGTGCTCAAATTAGCCTTCAATTCTGTCTGTGGCTGCGTGGAAAATCATAAGAGTGTGTCTCATGACAATGTCATTAGACCGTTTGTAATCATGCGTATGTAAGTATCATCATCTACACCTTGATATCTTGCTCGCCCCTTTTACAAATTCACAGCGCAGGCGCTTCGAAGTTCTCTCTTCGCAACTTCACAAACGCACTCTGCTTATGCGGGAACGTGATCTCCCTCTCCTTCAGATACCCCGCATCATTGAGAAGTGAAATGAATCTAGCAACCCAAACATCAGCTTCTTCTTTCTCAAACAGGAGGGAGTGAGAAAAAACATACCTCTCATTATCAACCCTGGGTTCAAGCACTACAGCATTCGTCCTATAATCCTGCACAAACGCCCAATGCGCCAAGGCTGTAAGCCAACACTGCACCCTATGTTTGCCCCTAAACTCTTGCTCCCCAATAAGAACATGGACACCTCTATCATGATCCCCTGCCCCATCACCCAAATGCCTCCCAAGTATATCCTCCTTGACCCAGTAAAGCTCAAAATACCCAAACGGTTTGCCATCCCACATCCCGATAGCCGGGAACGAGTGGTTCGAAGTGAGATTTGAGCGTAAAAAGTCTTCTTGTATTTTTACAGGGCCAGAACAGCCCCAGAAACGCGAGACGCGCGGGTCGTTCATCCATTTGTGCAAGAGTTGCACGTCGGTCATTAGGGTTGTGTCTTCTGTTTCTGAAGATGAGTTTGGGGGTGGGGGCGTGATGTCTAGAGCGGAGACATGCGCAGGGAGGGAAGAGAGAGATGAGGCTGCAGAATGCCTTGCGGGGTGGGGGGAGGAGACAGGGCCGTTGTAAGCTACGGCTTTGGAGGCTAGGGACGCGCAACGGAATGAGAGATATTGGCCCATGCTTGGTATGTAGCGGGTATAGAACATTTCACCTTGGCGCGGCGGTTTTGGACGGATGGGATGCCGTACGCCGGATGTCATGGTGTATTGGACGGGAGGCGGGGGGAAATACGTTGGTAGATGGCTTCCGGACGAGAAAGGGCCTGGTGTCTGTGGTGACCATAGCCCTGTGCTCGATGGGGGCAAACCCGGGCTCGCAAGGGGGGGAGGTTCTGTCGAATCCGTTCTGGTTTGGGGGCTGGTTCCTGGGTTCACCTCGAACTGGAGAGTTTGGCCGGCTGTTCAATGGGGATGTTGGAAAGGGGGTTCCAGTTGCAGGCGTGAAGGTGAAGAGAAAGAGCTTTGCAGACAACTGCCAATATGTCCGTCTCGAAGTGAACATCTCCGACCACCCGTTGGGGGTATTCTCCTGTGGGTTTATGCCAACCGACGAGTCTTCAGATGTGATCAGGCCCATTCTCTCCAGCTTCTGCAGCAGATTTCGGCCCCTCAAGACCCCCTCCCGCTTGATGTTTATACGCCAATCTGCCCTTGGTTTCCCAGCTTCTGGTGTGTTCTTTGATGCTTCAGTCGTAAGATACGGCGACGGTTCCTTCAAGTGAAAGTACCAGTATAGAGAAGCCCACAGCATCATGGCAATCTGTCGAGTTGGGCTTGTGGGGGGTTTGAAGTCGCTACTCGAGGGATTCGATATCGATGATATGAAAAGGTTATCGTTCTGCAACGTAGGTTGCCTGAAGGCACGAATGTGACGGGGCCTTTCTTTTGGCATGCCACTGAGTTCTACCCGGCTTGAGTCCGCCTCATTCTCTTGCTCGTCCGCGTATTCTTCAGACTGAATGATGACGGTCCAGCCGGCAGGGAAAACACTGCTGTGGATGTTGAGCGCATTGGATTTGAAGAAGTAGCCTCCGAAGACGGGCATAACAGTCAAGTTCTGGCCATTTGGCAGATGTACAATGGTCGGACCGGGTGCCATGCTGTCTTTCTTGAGCCAGTACTTGAGCTATGGTAGTGGTCTTTGATGATTCTTGTCTGCCAATGGTCGCTTGCAGGACTTTCGAAGGGCGTGAAAAGGTATGGGGGAGGAATTCTTTGTAGGAGAAGCTTCAAGCGGGTTGAATATGCGCTCTGCGGTTGTATCCTGATCGTTCCACCTTTCAGAAGCTGGGCTGGTACGGGGAGAGCAGCGATAGTTATAGTAGGGAGTAGCTGAATGATTGTTCCTAGCAGTACGACTTCTCTCGTCCAAACTCTTCCCGTCTTGTGTTTTCGTCTGCTGGTTTGTGGTAGATGGGAGCTCCAGAACCAGAAAGGGGGAGGGGGGTGTTTTTTTTTCTCTCTCGCACACCCCGCAACGCGGAAAACCCCCATGCAACCACCCGACATCGCAACTTGGCTGGAGAACAAGGCCCATGCACGAACACCTTTCAAAGAACAGAACACAGCACAACACTACAGTACAATACAGTACAGTACCAAATCATTATTGTTTTTGACTCCAAAAGCAAGAAATACGAACACAGCTGGGAATACCCATCCTTTGTTTCTGATACTATTCGTAGTAACGAATAAGTAAGTAAGGGATTCGTTAAGTGCTGTCAAGTTTTAAGACCGCATGGCTAACTTCCACCACTGTACTCGTATTCAGGTACTGGCTGCGCTGACTTTGCTCTTGTAGGAGACAATACGAAGGAAGAAACTCGATACCAAATAGCGGTATGGAGTAGCCATAGCGTCACTGTGTCTTCTAGATATCGACGAGTGTAACCTCTGGCGTTTCTCCTTGGCAACTTGAGCGCAGGTAGTTACGAAATGCATGCCGGTGAGAACAACGAACTTGCAGCTACCTAGGTATAGTATATATCTTATGACACTGGCTGGCTGATTCTTTGGGAGTCTGATATAATACATCGCCTCTGATATATACTCTGGTCCAAGACAACGGCGTTTGCCACTAGGACCCCGATCGATAGTAGCCACGCTAATATTGCCGGTAAGAAGTCAGGAACCAAGTCTCCTTCTAGACTGAGGACTCAATTGAGAATGTTGAGAATGTTGAGAATGTTTCCATCCCCTCTACTTGAACTTGTTGTCCAAGGCTGAACGACCTTCCAAGTGACCCTACACGAGGCTGGATATATGGCGTCCCTGCCGTCCTTCTCACCCACGAACAGCCTTGCTTTTGTAGTGAGACTACCACCGCAGTTCGGTTTACGGAACCGGAACAAACCTCCTCAGATCTCTAATGCCGATTGTAGCTTCATGCAAGAGAGATAGCCAGGCCTAGGGATAATAAGATCATGAGTTGTCATATTATCCTTCTCTACCATACGTCAGATGTACAGCCTGACTAGGTTCATGGTTCATCAACATATTCGTTTTCTCGTTCTGCATTTGAGATCCTCCTGCAAATCTCCGCTTCTCCTGGCTGATAGGCCTATTTCTGCAGAAGTCTGCAGACCGGCAAGTACCTTTTCAATATGTCTTAGATTGCCCTCATTGGTAACGTCAAAATCTACTATTCATATTTATCGATGCTGTTATGCTGTTTGATACCGGGTTCTCGGGTTTCCGCTCTTCTGGTTTGACTAAATACCGAGACTAAATATACCAAGTATCGTTGTCCTGTTTCAAGTCTTGACCTGCCATCGTTAGTCGACACTGGCTGGACTCACCAGGCCGCTCCCGAAAATACATGTCCTCGATGTTGTACCACCTATCATGTAAGACCATTTCCATGCAGGGACCACTATGCCCTTCCAGATTAATCGTTGAATAGCAAGGTTGAGCTAGCTAGATGCATGTTCCCCACAGCTAATGCTTTTCCCATTCGTTGCACTAAAGTATATCCGATGAGTGGCAGCGATATTCGCATATCATTGGAAAGAGATCAACAGGGAGCCTTACCCGCTCTGCAGCCCAACTATGATCGCCCAAAGGGCCTTAAAAAGCCACGAAGGAGCCTGGATGTGCAAAAGCATGCTTGTTTGATGCTTGGTTTCGGGGCTGCAACCTATTATCTGATTTACGGCAATCACTGGTTGAAGACGTTGTCTCATCAAAAAGCCAATATGATGGCAATGACCAGTAAACAGCCGTTTGAGATAATTTGCTCGTCGTAATCCTCGAGAACCTGTAAATGCACGCCATATGTGGAGAACCATATAGTCCTTCAAGATGTTTTGAGTCGCCCTCATGACGCCACTGTTCTTGGAGTTTGTTTAGTAGGCATCTAAGGGGTGCCTGTAAGAGTCTCCACGCTGGTAAAACCTGGAGTGAAATATCAAAACCTTCGCCATCAAAACCCTTGTCCTCATATCACGCACTCAGCTAGTTGCACGTCCTATCGCGAGATCAAAACCACCCCTGAAGCAAAAGTCCCCGCAACAAGACCACCAGCATGGCTCGTCTCGCCCCTCTAGCCATGAGCCAAACAAAAGACGAACTCTTGGGACATCTTAACATGGGTACGAAGACATATACCATGATGGCGGTAAGTTACCTTGCCTTCGCTAGACCTCAATCCCTGTAGAGATCATCAACCTTAATGTGAACGGTCATAACTGCTTACTGACAGCCCTACCTATCCAGAAAGAAGCAGACAAATACTACAAGTGGTTAACAACAGACAAACACCACCTCAAGGAGAATTGCAAGCGGATACCTCCTTACGACTGGAGTGATATCAATGAGAAGTCAAAGGATGAGGCAATGAAACTTATTGCCAAATCCGGCGACGCACAAACTTCGTATTACTGGAATTTGGCTGGATCTAGCCCCGACGAATGCCCGAATTGGATTGCAAGATGGTTCTTATATCATAAGTTCCGGTATAGAGATGGAAGAAATAGGAATCTGCCCAGTAATGGCGATTCTGGGAAACGCGGTCCCGGCATAGTTCCCATCATGAGCATTCAGCGAGCGCGAGCTCTGGTGCTAGCAGTGCGTACTACGATACTCAATCATACGGTTCTATGACCTCTGGTGGGTTTTCTCCTCTCACTTATTCTTCTTTATCCCCACGCTCGGCAGATAGAAATATTGAAAAATCTGGCGAAGTATCCATTGCCGATATTGCCAATAATGCTTGACTTCGCCTCCCTGCCGGTTGAACTACACAAGGTTCTAACACATCAGCGAGATATGTTGATGCTGTCGTAATGTTCTCAGCTTGATATATGTGAGTATGCTGATATTGAACAGAGTCATCGTCCTCTGGTCACGAGAACGACTACGGGTCATACGGCACCATCAGCTATACACAGGGTCACCAGGGCTACGAGCAAGACGAGAGGCAACGCACGAAAAGCTACTATGATCCCGTCAGAGACGTTGCGAGGTGAAACTTGTATTGAATGATGGTCGGGGTCGACACTATCGGATATGAGGTTGCACAAGGCCGGGTGGCTTCATTGGAAATGGTCTCCTTCGTCTCTTTCTCAAAGGTTGTCAACACACGCATCGTTTTCACAAAAAGGGGCATATACCAATGACTTACGAATTCTTTCATTAGTACAGTACTCTTTTATCTTTGGCATTATACTCAACACTTAATTGACCAAAAACCATGCAAATTTCTGATCTCCCTGAGGTCAATCTTGTCGCATATATTGGTGCATCATGAAAGTAGTGCTACATTACTAAAGTGCGCGATACGTGGCCTACACAGGGACATCTACCTGACGTGAGATCATGCTTCAAAGGCGTCTCAGCCTTGCCAAACGACTGCAGTCCAAGGATCAACATAAGGTTCGAATCCTAGAAATAACCAGTACCATGTCCCTGGATTGCAGTAGGGCCAGAGCGGCATCTACCCACATACCGGATCTCTATCCCGTCCCCTCAGAATCCCCCCTTACGGGCATAGCGGGATGGATAAAGGCCGAAACCAGGCATTCTGCAGGGACTGCGAGGTAAGGTTGTTGGTGGATGCATGTACCGATATAAGGGTGTGGTAGGTACAGCATTCCTTGGATTCTTTCTATATCGTATCCGACAAGTAGCATGGGCGAGTTACGGGGTAAGAGTCCACATGCTTCTATCTGTGTCTGTGTTAGGACGACGCGTTCCAAGCTTTCAACAGTTCTGGACTGCTGATATGGAACGAAGTCGGAATGACTAAAAAGATCTCCATATATAGAGGAATACGTACGGTACCTCATGAAGACACAAGAAGATTTTATCTCTTAAAAATCCCCACCACCAGAGTATGCACTTTCTCGTGTCGCTTTCCCCGCTGTTCATTCTCTCTCCCATGTTCGAGCTCAGCTTCTTTACGACGGAGACTGAATAACAGTATTAGGAGACAGAAGAATATAATAACTGGAAGTTACCTCAACACAACAGCCAACCATCGAATCCGGCCCCAACCCCTGCACTCGATTGAAGCCCCTAGACTTCAACACAACGCTGATCTATCTCATCACTCGCATAAGTATAACTACCTCCCTACCTTACCTTATTCAACAACCCCAAACTCACCACACCCCTTAAACACATTCCACCTCTCTACAAGCCATCACTTCTTTCCCAAAATACCATCACCTCTCTCTCTTTTGTAACCTGTAAGCGAACATGAAATCACGAGCGAGCCCCATCGTAACACAAGGCTGGAAAAGGGGGGGCTTGCGGTACCTTACCTTACTCCGTAACCTGAGCAAGGCTTGTATCGCGGACCTGGACTCAAGCCCGAACCCCATATCATCATGCACAATGCAACACAACACAACTCCACTTCCCCAGGAAACCACTATGCTATGCTATGCCCCGGCTTACCAGCACATGTCCATACCCGGTATAATCCCATCCACCACACGCACCGTATTCCGTTCCACCACAGCGCGGATCAACCAGACGTCATCGATTCGCACGTTACACGCATGCATCTACAACTAGATGATCCAGGATACGGATGCTATATTATACGCAACGCTAGCCCACACCTTAGAGTTATGGAGTAAGCGTATATGACAGCGAGACCCGTGGATGCTATACTCGCTCGCTCGCTCGCTCCCATTTTCAAGTACCCCCGAGACTATCCGTGATGGAAAGTGTGCGTAGCCGTCACTTGATATCCATGAGTACGGGTACCCATCAAGTCAAGTCCTCGATCGCCTACTTGACTTTTGTTTGTAATGTAGTTCATGTGACAGTTGCGGAGTAAGGCTGCAATGGGAATCGAAGCCGCGTTGTATGGCAGGTAGGATATGAACAAGAGATTGGTATCATATTGCTTTCTAACTTGTTGGTAAGATTGCAGCATCTATACGCATGCGCCAATGCGGATATATAAAACGAAACATGAACACCACATATACATGTCTACAACGTACGTAAGTGGCGGACTATTCCTTCTTCCCAGTACTCTTCTCCTTCCCCTTCGTATCTCCGGATCCCCCATCCCCGTCCTCATCGTCATCCTCCCTCTTACTCCTATTCTTAGCTCGCTCCTGCTTCAGCGCATCATGCACCTCCTCACTCCCCTCGTCGCTCCGCTCATCCCACTCCACATCATATTCGTGTGCCACGCTCTTGATCTCCTTCCTCAGCGCATTCGCTTCCTCAATCAACGCCTCCCATTTCTGCAGATCAAAGCCCCGCGATTGATACAACGTATCCTGTCTGCGAGATACCGTCAGATTGAGCGCTGATCGGTACGAAACCTCGCGGTTGTGGTACAAGAACCACAGATAGCCCGTCATGATCGTCGAGAGCCCAACAAGGTAGGTGACGGGTTCCATGGTGTCCCAGCCATAGTCCGTCTGGAACGTAAAATGGTAAATCGCAAGCCACCACGTAAGCATGACACCAAACCCACCCATTGCTATCCGCTGCGCGCTCCTATGAGCAAGCTCGTCGCATTCCTTCTTCAAAGTAGTAAGGGTTGCAAGTTTCCTACTCGCTTTCCTTAATCTAACACGTAGATAATGCGTCCGGTCGTTGAAGCTAGGAACACCGACTCGAATCTCCTTACTGGCGCCCTCGATCTCAACCGCGAACTCTTTGCCGCGCGCAGCATCACGGATGAAATCTCCAATTTCGGTAGACGACGACCAGCGCACAAATTTCTTCTCGCCATCTGTAGACGGGCTTTCGTGGCCTCGTCCAGAATAACTTTCAACCCCTCCTTCGCCTGGCCCGCCTCTTAGCCCGGCCTCGATCTGCCTCTCTTTTCTGGCCTCTGTGTCTTTAGAACCAGACTCGATCTTACCCAGCTTCATCTTCTTGCCGTCGACCATCTGCTCATCGCTCCCATGTTCTTCTGCATCCTCATCTTCGTCGAAATCCCGCGTATCAGCTTTAATCTCATCCTGAGCGCTGTCTTCGGCGCGGAAGAACACATCTGGGACTTTCTCTTTGCCATCCTTCGTCTTTATCATAGGCAGTTCTGACTGGATTAGGCGTTCGAGATACGAGAGTGGTTGTTGGGGATGAACCAGTAATGCTAGGGGTTCAATATCCTTCCTATCGCTGTTCTTGTCGAGGGTCGTGAGCGGTAGTATGAGTTTCATGAGGCGGGAGGGAGTCGTGAGGAATTTCCCTAATTGATAGAACACGATCGATTAGCACAATTCAAAACTTCAAAGCAGAGAGACAAGCAAACCCTTAGTCATAGCCCCCGCACTCCTATCCCTCTTAACAGGCGGTCTATCCGAGCCCTCCCTATGCCACGGCGTCCTAGCCTGCAGTTCCCTCTGCTCCCCAATAGCATTATCCATCTGATTATCAAACCCATTTTCCTGCTCATCCTGGCCCAGCTCCTTCGCTTTGGCCCTAGAATCCTCTTTATCCTTCTGCCTTAAAATTCTCGTCCCAGAGAAAAAATCCCGGCAAGGCGTCGTCGTCGCTGGTTGTGTAACAATTCGCCTGATGGGATTCTGAGATTGCGATGTTGATAGCGATATCGATATCGATGCTGCTTTCGGGAGCAACCGCGTTGCGGCGCGCATCCTAGGTCCTGGCTGTATTTTGAGTTCGGAAAGGAATGTAAAGTAGAGAATTTGTGTCTCGGGTATTATGTGAAGTTATTGAGACATTGTACTTTTAGTTTTGGGGTGTTTTATTTGGGATTTAAAATATGGTAGCTGAGTTGATACCCCTGCCTTGGCAGCGCGCGCCCAGAGTAACGCGTGGGGACCATGACGTAGGGTATATACACGTGATTGTCGCCTATAAAAAGGGGGAGAATCGCGTCGCTAGCTTATATATCCCTTACCTAAGGTACGGTACCTAGGTAGGTAGGGACTTTGAAGTTAAATGCTATGATTGATTTAGTTCATTTAAGATAATAGACAACATAATTGCTCCGGGTAAGAAATCATTAGAAACGTTCTTAGGTAGTCAACGGTTTATTGGCGACAACAACTATACTGTCTAACTGCACCCTACTCAACCCCCACCAATCTTCCACGAAGCCTTCGTAAATTGACGAGGCGCATATTAATCTGATACTTGTATCTCAGTAGCTCATCCTACCTATAAGTCTAGCATCATAGACTTGGATAGTTCCCCTTCAACGTATAATATGTGGATTCAGATCCCGTCACGCAAGGAATACCGATACACAGCTAGAACTGGATCAGGGACAGGTAAGACATCTTTGTTGGTCATTCCTAGAGCGCCGAAACTGTATGCTCAGTTTCTTTGTTCTGCAAATCTCCACGCTATCTCGAGAGAGCGTGTGGCTATGGCGGTGAAATGGGGATTGGGAATAAAGACCTTATAACTCGTCGAACGATTCGACCAAAATCCCTACCTTATCCAGCGTATGGTGGCGGTTGTTCCAGCTCCTCGAATTCAGACATCGTAACCTCATATCCCAGATGCCGCTTGAGCAGCTCATGCGTAACAAAACGTTCCGGTGTATTCCCCTGTGCATCAACAAATGAGACGTGATGATTGACTTGACTAATCCGCTGTAGCTCATTGGCATGGCGATGATGATGCGGACATCCATCAACGCCAATCAAAAATATTGTCACGTGTACCCAGGATAGACCAAGCAGATCAAGTTCAAACTCATCCATATCGGTCGCTTCGCCATCAAGCAAGAGAAGCATTCTCAGCATAGGAGTGCGTGGACCGGCTTGCCAACCATATACTGGATGATGGGTAGCTGACTCAGAATGCTTTTGGAAATGGAGATCCTTGATCTTTTGCCATCCAGTCATCACTCGGGTTCCTCCACCGATTCTGACATTTTGCCACATTGCGTCGAGGTTTTGGTGGTTGACGACGCCAATGTACTTAGCTTGATTAGCAAAGGTGGTAAAATCGTAACCTCTGAAGTTATGATCGTGGTTGGCCATTGCGTCGGTAAAGCGACGGATGATGGCTTTGGCGACATCTATGATACAAAAGTTAGTACAATATATATACGGTTATAGGGTCTGAATTTACCTTTGTTTTTTGGCTGGGTGGATTTGGTATAGCCTGTAATGAGATACTGGTTATAGACTGGTCGTACAGGAACAAAGTCCATGGATCCGGAAACATCCAGCAGGATCATGGTATCGTCCGTAGAGACTTCAGGCGCATCAAAGGGTATGAAAGGAGCGGGCATGACCTGCTTTGAGTAGCCCTCGGATGTATGTTGCACATGGCAGATATCATTAGGGGAGTAGTAAGCAGGGGGTGGTTCAACCGCAGAAGCCATCCTGGCACGAGCCATGTTCATCGTAGAGATTATGTCCGGCTTTATCCTGACTCCCGCTCCTCCTTCTCTGTGATTCAAAACCCAATACAAGCGTTCCTCGGCCGTATCTTCATATCCTCTCCAAGCTGGGGTGATTCCCCGCCATCCAGCTGCGGCTTCAATGCTAAATTTTAGAGGATTGGAAGCAAGGTTTGCCCACGCTACTGGAATGGGCTCGAAGTATCCAGCACGAAGTAGGTGCAGGTACTGAGTAGGTTGATGGGCTCGAAGGTGGGCTATCTTCTGCGTCATGCCAACCTTTTCTTGGTAGGTCGCAACGATCTGTCGCCATTCCAGTGTTGGCCATCGACCCTGCTCTTCTTCTAGGATAGCATTTCGCAACACTCGGCCGCTAGCACCCATCTTTTGTGTCCTAGCAACTGCCTTTTCCTCGGGCGACTTCATACCAACGGCCTTTTTCAAGGTTGCAAACCTTGATGGTTTTGAACCTTCCGTCTTGCTGTTTGCGACAGAACCAGCCATACTTTGACGCTTTCCGGCAGAGCTCTTTTCGAGGCCACCCTTTTCAGCGCTACCTTTTTCGACCGGTGGCTCCTCCTCCTCATCAGCTTGGCTTGATGAATCTGTGGCGAGAGTCATCTTGGACATTGAGGATTCTAATTGCTCGATATTCCAGATGTTGATCCGTGGTTCTTTGGCATCAATGGAGGACTGTGCTTCCTGATTGAGAGCTGCATTCAGCGCTATAGTCTGGTGAACGGACGAAGCATAGTAACTGGGGCTAGGCTTCTGAACATAGTAGGAGGAAAAGATGAAGTTTCCATACGGTGAGACGATACGGTATCTGTAAGGGTTGTTGGTAAATAGGCTCGCTTGGTAGCAGTCATGGTAGGCCTTTTCTCCCGGATATAAAACCGCCTTTGACCACATTTTCTGAACGTCAAGCCGAGCCATCTTCCTATACTTATACTGATGTACTGCACAGTTGCAATAGCCATCAAATTCATGCTCTGGCTCAATATCGCTATTGTAGATACCATTAGCCATTTGAACGCTTTGTAACAGGTTCTGCATCTCTTGCTGTTGAGGTCAAAATATGTTAGCTCATCTCCATCTTGAAATGAAGATGAAGCGTACCTCATCACGAGCACGGACATGACCAGCTTGGATAACTGGATTTGTATGAGGTCGATGCTGCTGCATGGTCCTCGTCGTCTCAGGAGGTGGGGCATATGGCGGGGGAGAGTAGATAGGCGTCTTGGCCTCCTTGGCATCACTGGCACTGGCCATTGGAGTGGACATGCTGGACATGCTAGACACTGCAGCTGCGGATTCCGAATATTTATCGGGGTTCTCGTAAAACTGGGTGACAGCTTCTTCAACCGAATTGGAGCCCTTCAATATGCGTGCACATAAGTATATAAACAATCCTTATCTTTGACGAGAGGACGATGCTCTTACCTCGAGGAACACGAAGGCCTTTCCCTCATCCGCCTCGGGCGCAAAAGCAATGAAGTTCGCAATATCCGTTTCTGAGGGTAACATGATGATGAGAAGTGTCTACGTTTACTGTTTGAGGAGTGGAGTCAAGTACGATGCGCAATGCGATGTTGGTGATGACGGTGGGGCGCGCGATTTACGACGGCGAAGATGTGTCATGTGGTCATTGCCGGCCTAAATTGAGGCGCAGTCATTCCTACGCGCTACCTTTGTGCTAAGAATCTTTTGATTTGGAAGGAACGGAATCAGACGTTATGTATATCCTTAGCCGCCACTATGTGGAATTAAATAACTATCTCAAGATACACCTTTTGTCAAGAAAACTATTTAGGCATGCGAATCCGGCATTTGTTATTAAGTGTGAGATTTCGGGTATAGATTTATACCAACCACTTTCACCTTAGTCACTTACCTTACTATTTGATACCAGTACGAAGTATTTGTGATTTGTTGCAATTCCTCATTTGGAGTAAGAGTTTCCACTCCACCAAGCTTGAATTTCAATTACTAGTCTAGTCTGAACTATAAAGGTTTACATATAATAAAAGACATTGATGTTTCATTTTAACGAGGTACATATAGCGAAGAAAATAATCGAGTGAGTGTTTGCCTCAAAACGTGTCCGTCCATATGAGTGACGACTTTATATATGACTCTAACCGTGAAACCCATTTCGCTATTCCTGACACTCTCCACTCAACATCCACCCATACCACACAACCTATCTCCCAAAGACCCCACCGTTCCCCCCAACAGACACATGCATGCGTACTCACTGCGTCCAAAGTCCCAGACAGGCAGAACCACAGCCACATGCACATTCCAAACCCGACAATAGTGCGCATTTCCTATTAGACGCCCCCTCCCCTCTAGAATCGAATGAATGTTGCACAAATGGCGAACTCGCAAACAGCGCTCCAGAAAACCTCATGGAACGAATAAGGAGAGCCGGTCTCCGACGGTGATATATGAAGCGGGGACATGAGAGGAAGAAGGTAGGGGGAAATATGTTTAGAAATACTAGAAACGGAGTAAAGAATCTAGGTTTGCTTGCGAATAGATAATTAAGACTTTTGCGAGATTTTCTGAGATTACGAGTTCGTCTGTTGTTGGTTGTTATTGTGAATGGACCTTTTCAGGCTAGGCGGGAATAATTAAGAGGGTAATAAGTACTTAGACGTAACAGGATAGTGAAAATAGTGATATAGGTAGGTAAATTCAGAGAGTAGTAATAGAAGATATACAGTATCGCCATAAAAGCACATAGGTCTTGGGCTGAAGAAGCCAGGTGCATAGAACTAGCGTCTAGTAAATAGGGGTATTCTAGCGAAGACGCAAAAGCAAAAGAAAAAGGTTTAGGATTCCCCTTCAATATCCATCAAGAAGCAAAGCAGCATATATGCAATGACATACGAATAGAAAGAAAGAAAGGTACAATATAATTATTCACAAAAGATAAAGCAAACAAGCCTGTTAGTGCCACCTATCTATCTATCTATCTATCCGCTTTGACATTGTTCCCATGACCTACCCGCCTGACCTAAGCTACCAACCGGTCAGTGCCACCCTTAACGTCTGACGTGCAGCAAGAATGCGATGTGCAACAAAGACCTCTTTTGGAATCGTGCGTGTTGTTCAGCTGCAGATGAAAGCTTTGCTACTCGTTTCAAGCTGAACTTGTGCATTGTCTAGGTACGGAGTAATTTAACATATGCATGTTATGTGGTGCGTGCATTGACTAGGTAGGTATTCGCTTGAGTCTTGGAAAGGGGTGGGGTGGGGTGGGGTGGTGTGTTGGGGGCTAAGCGATATTTCAGAAGGGTAAATATCTTTTTGAGTACCGTGACTCGGTTTGGGGATTGATGAAGCTTGCGCGAGAAATATTATATGCTGATATTAGAGATCTGTGCTCTGTATTGCGTTATTCCAAGGAAGTGCAGGTGGAAGTAGAGTGTTTAAATATGAACGAGCCACACGTGATATCCCGAAATCTGACTCTTCCCAGCTTCATCTCCCTCGTTCTACTCCTCTCTAAAATTAAAATAAAACATCTGAACTAGCAAAAGTCCTATCGTAAGACTACGTCTCTTAACACTTACCTAACGGTGCAGCTGAATCTTGGCATTCTAGTCTAGTTTGGCCCCTTTGAGATTTAGCAAGCGATGTAGCAAGGAGAAAAGAATATCGAGTAAATCAATCGAGGATAAAAATCTATGTTATATTCTTCCTATCACTTAAGATGCTTGGATGTCTGTTTTTAGTTCTAATCAAAGCAATTTCTCTCTCTTAAGTAAACAGATGCAAAATGTTAAGTTATTTTCACGCATAGTAATATTTTGGAACACACTTAGCTTACATATAGTAGAAGATTCAGAGATCATATACTAGTCTCCTTGTTCACTGCACTCCCCTAGCCTTAACTATTTATACGCTAATATATGACTTAGTAGTGGCCACTATCCGACTTAGTAGTAGCTACTATCTAATAGCTTCACTCCGGCATTAGAAGTATACGTGAAGCGAGAGAGTGCATATATGAATATATCATAGACGTTTTACTATAGTATTGAAAAGATGGCGAAAAGAAAGCCGTGCTGTGCCATGCTTGCTGGGAGAAGAAGTATGCGAGAGCAAAGTCATGCCTATGTATGGTTTCGTATTAATTGAGCAGGTGATGTTTTTCTAGTTGGTATAGGGAGATGGATAATTAGGTTGGAAGGAATGTGAAGATGAGATAGTGGATAGAGGGATTGGAAAAAGAGATTGAGCTAGGGTCGTTTAGATATTTGCCTAGAAGCACTTGACTCGACTCGATATCCATAAAGTTATCTAGTGGCTTTACTTGCTTCTAATACACCCCTGAGAAGCTGCCAAGTATTTAGGGCTGAAGCACTTATTGCCGAGAAAGGAATTCTGCTGCCTGCCAGCCAATAGCAAATGGCTCGAGGAGATACCTAGGTACCTAGATACGTAAGTCCTGCAGCTTACTTTGGAGAAGCGAGCATTACAGAGTAATTGCGAACGAATATGCGATACTGGATAAAAAAGTCTAGTTTCTTTCTAGGCCAATTTGTTCGCAATTTGCTATCACTCTTCATTATCCTCCGAGTCCCTCAAAAAGAACCAAGATTATTATCTTCTTGTGGATAATTACATCTGCCTATCTACTTGGCAGGATCAACCAACAAGACGACAGTGAAGAAAACTCGCAGGACTAAAAATAACAAGCAAATATGCGTGATACTAGTGTAGGTGAAGACATACCTATGCAAATGATTTGCACATAAATCGGTATCCGGGTTTAAGGCTGTGTAGATAATAAACGCATATACGAAGTACAATCGAGCCTATTATTGAGGGTTTCGTATGTTCATTAGGGAGGAGGCGAATAAGTACGGACTGATAATCCTTGTATGCTACTTCGTACTTACTATGCCTTACCTGTATCTATTTTTAGGACTAACGGGAATGCCCCACCAGATTCGTATGCTCTGTACGGAAAAACAGCTCACGCCACGACGATACTCCGTAAAGCTTACTGTGTTGGGGGAAACGTGGCGTGCCGGATAGAGAAAGGTTTCGTGTGGATGAAGAATATTTATTCCCGTGGTCGTGTTACTTTGAAGGTTGGTAGAGTAACATGCAGTCTGCAGCAATTCAAATCGGTGACGTAGTACGTACGAGCTGTCTACCGTACGGAGCAACAAGCTTTATCGGGTGGGGTTCGGGTTGGGTTTGAGCAGGGGATTCTAATAAAATAAGGCCAAGGAGAAAAGCAGCTAACGGAACACGAAAATGAAGCTTTTTACTACGCGATAGGGGGTTGATGGTATGTAATAGGTATGGCATAGCGTGGCATGTGAATGAGGAGAAGCTGCGTGGCTAGCAAGGATGCGGATGCGCATACGGTATTGTGCAGAGGTGAAGTGAAATACAGGTATTCAGAGATACGGTAGACAGGGAATCACTGGGGGGCCTTGCATCTGTCTGTATTCTTGATTACTGGTGAGGAGTGAGGATATACCAGTAGCTTTCTATGGGATTTTACTAGAAACAATTGCTAATTGAGAAATATGCCTACTCCTATTCAAATACTTGGTAGCATATAACTTGCTGCATCGTTAAATCATATAAAGGGAATTCCGGTAGTTAGTACCGTGGCTGCAGGTGCTTGTTGTCATTGGCAGCGCGATAATACTGGCGGAGTGGTGTTTACTCGGTAGTCTGCTTCCAAATACCTGCTTGGTAGCGTAGCAGCGTAATACCTAGAGGGCCCGTAGCTTCGTATGTACTTCTCGTGTTTGGATATAAGCAACATGGCCTGTTTCTTTCCTTTCCTTTCCTTTCCTTCCCTGCACAAGACATTCTCTCGTTTTCCGTCTTGACTCTACCTTCACTGCCGACACTCGTTCTCGTTCTTAGCGCAGCATTTCTATACTACCTACCTACCTACTTGGTGATAAGGGGGAAGGGGAAGGTGAAGGTGAAGCCATTGATACCTTATTGGGTTCTACAATCTACAATCTACCGAGTACAGTCAGTCTACAGTCCAGTAAGTACAACGTTCCTCAATTGCCGTATTGATAAAATGCCCTGTTCAAATTCTGGATGCTATTCGCCGGCCCCAAGCAATAATTTTTCCACGGGCGGCGTCAGCGTCATCCTCAATGGCGGGGCAAATAGTGAACAGTGCACCCTGCACGTTCCCTGCATAGCCTCCACCAAACCCGTATTGGGCCTGAAGTTTGAAAGAACAGGCGAGGCGAGAGCAAAGGCGAAGGCTGGATGGAGGAAGAAGCCTTTCAAAGCCGTCGCTTCCTGCCAGCGTGCAACAGACGAACAGCATCCAGCCAGCCAGTGCCACCAAATTAAGCTGTGTTGTGCCGAAACTCCTACCACTCCTCCCACTCCTCTGGCCTCTCTCACCTCACCTCACCTCACATCTTCACGTTCTCCTCCCCATCCTCCACACTCAATTGACCGCTTGGTCCAGTCATTCGTTGTTCACCTCCTGTTTTGTGGGACTCAGCTGTCATACTCCTCTACCTACAGCTCTTCTTGCTTTCCACTCGCTCCCAGAGTCGAGACACTACTCGTCCAACAAATTCAGACCTGATCCCGGCAATTGCTTGGCCGCATATTTGTTTATCATGAATTCAGCTAACGCGGAAAAGACTCAAGACGTCGAGAAGTCTCTTGCACTTCCTCCAAATATATCTGCAAACGATTGCCGATTTTTGAGAGAGACCGAAGAAGAGAACGAAGAAAGGAAAAGAAAGGCAGCCAAGATGCAACGAACCCGACGTCTTCTCTTTACCCTCCTGGCCCTCGCTGTGTTTACAGTTGCCTTCTCTGCTTCAACCGACAACCATCACCGTAATGCCGCTCCAGCTCTGCCCCCATACCCGGTTGCACCTGTAGAGGTGGAGGAATCTAAGGTTACCAACTTCCAGGAACTTCTCAATGCCGTGGAACCTTCCTCCCTCCATGAAATTCTACACACGCATCTGGGGGAGAAATACCAGCATGGCGTGTATCAGGAGGACAAAAAGGCCATGGAAGTGGTGCACCGACAGAATGCAGAGGTGGCAGAGAGCTTGGTTGAGCTGGCGAAGAGACAAGGTGCAACCAATACCAATACCTCAACTGTTGCTACAGTTTCAGCTACGAGTACGAGTACGAGTCAAGTCAAAGTGACTTCGGAAAGCACTTCTACACAGGCATCTTCCTCGACCGATACCAAAACTTCCGGGTCTACCACAGCACAGACCAGTCAGGCTTCAACTTCTGTACAAACATCAACTGGGGCGTCCGCTTCCAAATCAAGTACAAGCGCAGAAGCCTCAAAATCTACAGCTTCAACGGTTGTGTCTTCTTCAGCTACAACCGCAATTTCCGCTTCAACGACGTCCACGGCTTCCAAAACTACAAGTAAAGATGGTATGTTTTATCACGGTGCTTCCATATTCTACTATGGTGCATCTTTTGTTCCCCCTGTAAATTCGTCTGTGTTGTATTCTGTTCAAATTAAAAGCTCCATTTTGCTGCCTCCAAGCATGTATCATACTCTTCAACCCTATATATTCCTTTCATCGGCTAGTCCAACTTCCATTCCTTCCCAGTGTTTGAATTCTGTTGCTAGAGGGGCTCCATTAGTCGCACCGGTCCAGAATTCGAGCGCTGTCTCGGCTACACCCGTGTACTCTCCGATTCAGAGTTCGAGTTCGAGTTCTTTGACTACTCAGGATAGCACTACAACAGTGCCTCCGGTCCAGAGCTCAAGCGCTGTCTCGGCTACACCACTCGTGTACTCTCCGATGCAGAGCTCGAGTTCTCCGATTTGGGCTTCCACTACAGTGCGAGCCTCTCAGGACTATAGCTTGGTGTCGGTAGCTCAGAGCTCGAGTTCTTCTCAGACCATCACTGCAACAGTGTATGCCCCAACTCAGGACTATAGTGCTGTATCGGCTGCTCTCACGCAATCTCCGGTTCAGGGTTATAGCTCGATGTCGGTGGCTCAGGTTTTTAGCTCTAGATCGTTACCTACTGCAACAGTGTATACCCCAACTCAGGACTATAGTGCTGTCTCGGCTGCTTCCACGCATTCTCCGATTCAAGACTATAGCTCAGTTTCGGTGGCTCAGAGCTCTCACTCTGTTCTTTCACCTACTTCAACAGTGTATGCTCCCAATCAGAGTATTAGCTCCGTGTCGGTTGCGCCTACAACGCGTTCTCCGATTCAGACCTATGGTTCTGCGGCTGCTGCAACTGTGTCCCCTAATTCTCAAAGCGCGAGCTCTATCTTTGCGACTTCTGTCACTTTACTCTCTTCAAGTCTTACTTCTGTTCCAAGCTCCAATTTTGACTCCAATTTAGGTTCTTCGACTTCTGCTAAGGCTTCTTCGTCTCTTACCACTCAGGCTTCTTCCACGTCTACCACGGTCGCAGCGTCAACTTCACCAACTAGCACTACAAAAGGCTCAACATCCACTACTGAAGCTAGTCAAAGCTCAGTCACACAATCAGTCGTCTTCAAGACTACCTTGGCAGATGGAGCTGTCAGCACTGTTACAGCTGTAACGGTTGTGCCAGCAGCCCAACAAGGAGAGCAGAGCGGGGCCGCGGGAACAAAGACCAACACCGCGAGTGCAAGCTTACAAACCAATGGTGGAAACCAGAACAGCTTTGGGATGAATGTCGTCGTGGGTGCCTTGGGCTTGGTTGCCGCAGTGGCAATATAATGCGAGGAGGGAAAAGTTCAGCTTGATTTGATTTTGAATTGCGTTGCATAGCGAGGGGGTCGGAATGGATCAGCATATAAAATACTAACTAATGTCTCTCCTTAATCGCGACCTGACGGCTCGCTGGACACGAATTTACTTGGATGGGTGGCGTTTTCGTTCGATTAGACTTGGGGATGGACTGCCAGGTCAAAATAAAGATGGTGGTTTGGTAGTGGTGTGGTATTAGGTTAATGAGAGCCGAGGATCGATCATAGATTGGAAAAGAAAGTCAAGGGACGCCGCAAGGATACAGGCATGAGCTCGGTGTATGTTGGAAATAGTGGTATAAAGTTTCTAATGGTGCCTGATGGCATAGGAAGGAAAGGATGCAGGAACAAGATTATTGAAGCCTGGAATACATACAATACACTACATACAGCACATGTATTATCGTCTGCTTTGATGTAATGAAGTTCAAAATTGCTAGTTTGGTGTGATGAGTTCTTTCGAATTCTGCTGTGGACGAGAGTAGTAGGGTGGGTGTAAAATATTCGGGTATATCCACAGGCAATAGGCATATGTCCCAAGGAGGAATATGAACCATGTGTGCCCTCTCATCTCATCTCATCTTCCAGATCCCCTTCCTCGCTCACAACGCAATATCTTTCTTTCCATCCTTCCTTCATTTCTTCATCTCTACATCAAGACCAACCAACTAAATCCATATCCCGTCCCTCCACCACCTCCCTCTCTCCCAACCCAACCCCTCCACTTCCACTTCCACACCCCCTTCATACCCATCTCCACATCCCAAATCCAACAAACAAACATTATCCAGGTCCAATCCTCGGCATATCATGATGCTCACTCAACGTAGACAAATATTTATTCAGTTCTTCCACACGCTGCTTATGCGTCTTCGGTCCTTCGCGGGCTATTCTATCTGCTAGCTGATTTTGGGGAAGGGGAGAATATTAGCTCTTTGCTTGTTTATTTGTTTATCTTATGTGTATGTGTATGTGCGTATGGTTTGTGTGGGGGGGGGGGGAAGAGGGAAGAGAAGTGGGGGGACAAACACGTTTCCGTCGCATCTCTTCGTATGCGCGCTCCGAGGGTGTTTTGCCATCGCTGGATATCGGTTCTAGGGTTTTTAAATCGAGGTTTGGATTGTGGTCGGGGGGGTGAGTTGGAGGTGGGGTTGGGGTTGAGATTGGAGGGAGAGGGAGATGTAGAGGTATCTTCTTCTGCGGGCGCTTTTTGTGTGGATGTGGTGGTGGTGGTGACTTCGGATGTGGATGTGGATGTGGAGGGCGTTTTGGATTTCGATGTTGAGGATGAGGATTTTCCCTTTTTCTTTTTTACACCGACGGGGGCGGAGCCTTTTAGTTTGAGGGAGCCGCGGACGGTGGATGTGTAGTCGGAGGCGGACATTATGGGGGGCGGGTTGTGTTGTTTGAGGGAGGAGGAGGGAAGATGAAGGAGGGGAGTTTGAGGTCTGTAGTTAGGCTGGGGTGGCAGAATCATAATTATGGCGAAAGCGGTGAGAGGAGATGAGTTATTGTGGGGCACTGGACTGGTTTTGTTCACGCGCTTTGCTCGGGAAAGAATGAACGACTTGTTGAAAACAAAGATTCGTTCAGTCAATATATAATAAGTTTAGTCAAGTCCAACTTTTCCTTTTCTACATGTTCTATACGAGGATATACAAGTGTTTCTATTCAACCATGGATTTGCTGCCTTGTGCTCAGGGGTTAAGCGATATTGGACTCACCACCTGCGGGCAGTTTCAAGGAGGAGCTCATAGGACTATAGGTAGAACATTGCCATGGTCAAATCTCGAGAAGGTACCTATGTATGGGTTTAGAGATGTTAGTAGCTCTGAAGATCTAGACAAGTAGAAAACCTAAGTAAACAGAAGATGCTAACCACTTTATCACCACTTGCATAATTACTTGCATGTCCGCACCTTACATCTGAGTAAGACTCAAGGATAGAGAAATTTGAAATTCGCTATTACCATATCCTTAAAGTTCGCGGATGAAGGGGGGGGGGTTTGGAAATCCTTCGGAATGTTATATGCTGGGGGGTTAGTACAGTGTCGCTATTCCTGAGCAGGCAACCCCCTTTTCACAACCAAAATCCCCATCATGACACAGGTTCCTCTCCCAAGACCTCCGCACAACACCTACCCTCCCCTATCAAAAAAGCCATGACCCCAACTAAAAAACGCACCATAAAATTCACAGCCTCTATCTCCCTATCCACATTCCCCCGCAAGCCCGCCGTGACTCTCAAACGACACCTTTACCTCTACCCCTCAAACTCACCCAATCCCATCACGCTATTCCTAGGCGACAGCTGCCTAAACCGTGATTTTGCGAGATATTTCGTCGTTTTATATGCGGGAGCGCAGGACGGGAGAAGAGACGAGCCGTACTCGCCTGATGATATTACGCACTGGGGCTTGACTATTGAGACGGGGGAGTTACTCACGGTATATGCTGTGAAGGGCACTGAAGGCTAATGCCAATGTTGTTGAGACGGAAATCGTGGTTGCGGATTTCGAGATGCGTGAGGAGGCTAGGGAGGTTTTGTGTGGTGCGAGGTTTATAGGGTTTAGACGGCTTTATGCGTTCTATAATGAGTCCTGTGGAGTCTGAGGTTGGTATGTCTGTTTCTGGGGACAAGTGGAAAGGAGCTATGGGTTGTGAGCAGGGTGGGTTTTGGAGAAACGTACGTCAGAGGTTACAATAGATGAGAAAGGGGGTTTGCATGCACGGGCTATAGCTATAAGAGCCAACGAACTCAGGTGACTTGGTTGTTCAATGAAAAGGATGTCTTGAGCCTCACGACTACCCTGCATTGCATGCAAAGCTCATCTCGCGTAATCAACTTCAATAACCAGTAATCAGTTCCCGTTTCTAATTATCTCACAGGTAGAAAGAAAAAAGGGATACGCTCGAGAGCCGAATTCTACGGGCTAGCGAGTCCAAGTCTGACCCACACAGTGTGAGGCGCATTTGATTCGCCTTGGAGTTACAATTTAGAAAGTTAGCAAGTATGAGAACTGTATACATAAAGAAATTAAGAGTTTTATCTTCTCTTGCACAATATTTTAGTAACGTTGCACAAGATAGTAAATGATGCTGTTTTAACAACTGCTGCAATATAGCGGAGGTTGAAAAATCACTAAAAGAAAGTTCTATTAAAAGCATTTTTCGAGAAATCCCAGAGATTCTACCGCATCAAATGCAAAAAACATAGAATGCTCCGAAACAGGGAAAGACCCCTAGGTCGTTTTAATCACAAGATATCCATTAAGGTAAACCACGAAATACTATTGCTCACTCCTAAAGAGGAAATAGCAGGACTTTGAAATCTTTTAAACAAGCGTCCAGCCAATGACACTAAAAAACCAAGCATAGAAGCCTGCCAGCTCGGGTTTCAGGGCAAAAAAACAAAAAGGAAAAAAGGAAAAAAAAGGGATCAGGTGGCTCGAGGGCTGACAAAATCAACGGCTATTGTTACTGTATTTCTAGATCGAAAGAACCTATATATATAAAGGAATGGGAAATGCGAAATGCAATAAGACATTTGAAAATATGAGATATAATTCGGATCAGAGGGAGTGGGTTTTTTGATACTAAGAGTAGATAGGGCAAGGAAGAAAGCTGATAGTATAGCTCGGTTTTACAGGGTCAAACTGACCTGCCATGTTTGGGCGGGAATGGTTGAGGGCAGGTTTGGAGGGCAGGTTGAAGTTGCGACGTGCAACAAAACTTTCGAGCTCTTATTGCCGCATTTGGATTTGAGTAATTTTCATAAACGTGTGCTGGTACTTGCCGCTCGGTGCATTCACTCTTTAAATGATTTGTATATTGGTTTCCACTTATGAATTTTCCTTGCAAGAGCAATTGCACCCATTTTCTGAAGTCAGAGATTTGCACTCGGTGGAAGTGGAGTGGAGTGGAATCTGACTTTCATTATCAAAACCACCACCATTCATGTACACTACATCAAGCAGATGACGAATACGCCATGTCCAGCTCCCTAGGTAAAATGTTTATCGACCTACAAGAAGCCTCTTCTTCCCCCTCCCATCTCTATCGTACAATCCTCCAGATCTACTGAGCTCATTATTTCATCCCCAGACCCCAAAGTCCATCCATCTCCACCACGAAGATCCTATCTCCCGGGTGGTGGTTGGTTCATCATCTGTGCCTGCTGTTCCTGGAACCTTGTACCGATCCTCTCACTACCGGCCATGAACTTCTTGACGCATCGCGATACGCAGCCGGTTTCGCGCTGGACGAGGGATTTGGTAGTGAAGTCGTCGACACAGGAGTCGAAGCAGTGGGTTACGAGATTGGAGAACATCTGAGAAGTCTGTTAGCTGAGCTCCTTTGGTAGATGGGTAAATGCATTTGAAGCCTGTAGGGTCTGTTCTTGAGCAGGAAATGCAGCTGGAAAGCAGCAACTCGAAAGGTACAATGGATCTGATAAGCTTGAGGTAAGAGCTAGGATCGACGTACGCCCATGAATTCCTTCATCTGCTTCCTCTCCATGCGCGACTGGAGCTCTCTTTGCTCCGAAGCCGTAAGTCTGTCAACAAGTCAGCTTTGATTCAGCAGCGTTCGCCATTAAGTACGCACGAATCCATCTCGATGATAGGTATTTGAAGGTCGTAGGGAGAGGGGCTATTTGAAGAGTCGAGTATTTTCTTTGAGAAAGGGCTGCAATGAGGAGAGACGTCAATGTAAATGAGGCTGATAGCTTGCACTTGGCTTAGGATACTTTTTTGACGGTCCAGTCCAGTCCACTAGTCAGTCCAAGAATTTTAAGCGAATATTACCTAAGCTTAGTGTCATCGGGCCTCGCTCTGAGTTTCTCCGACCGATGCATTGGGTAGGGTTGGATTGGGTTGGGCAGGATATTGGGGTCGCATTTTCATCTGATAAGTAGCCGCGATAAACTAATACTGTAGAGTCTGTTGGAGTCTGGGATTCTATGACTATTCTGGTATATCTCTAGAAAATCAAACGGTAAATATACAACCACTTACTACCTATATACCAGGACCTCTGCATAATTGTCCATTTTATGTCTTATCACAAGGGGGGTTTCATAGATTCCCTGCTGGGAAGGGTGTAGGCACAAAACCTTTGCATCATAGTGACGCTAATTATGGAAAAGTGGCTGGCGTTGCGTTCCCGCCATGTGGCGCCGCAGTGCTTTGATACTTGGAGGTGGAGGTGGTCAAAGTTTTCATGTGACCTGGGGAAAGGGAAGAGTACGGAGTAATAGGTACGAGGGTACGTAGATATGTAGGTACGTAGGTCGTAGTGCTACCGATATACAGATACACCCTTGTCTGGTCATCTATTGCCAGCAGATTCGCCATCCACCAGCCTCATCATTCATCATCGCCACCCTCAAAAGTACTACCTACCTAAACCCAAGTATCTACCGTAGGTACGTCGTTGGCTGCATGAATCAGAAGACTTACCTGACTACCTGACTACCTGACTACCTGACGACCTGACCTTTGCACATCCTTTCCCCGCACTGATGAATGAGCATGAACATCTTGGAAGTGAAGGGAGATCTCTGGGTCAGCTGTTGGTGTGAGGAATAAAGTTGCCTGGGCCTAGGTACCTACCCTACCCTACCAGCCTACCTACCTAAATACCCTACCGCCCGCCAAACCCAATGCGACCCGCTATAGTAAGCGAGAGATGATTGGGACATCCAAGTTGCAGCAACCGCATCGCATATCCGTCGTCTTGAACTTGGACTTGAACTTGAACTCACCAAGCACCAAGCTCACTGGCAACACCCAGCACACTCAGTCGCGCACGACGCGGTCACATCCTCGCTGCATTTGCACAATTATTCACTCCGTCCACTCATACAGCTTTCATCCTCCAGCCATCCGCCGTCGCAGCGCTCGCCTGTTCGCCCACGGTCGCGTCTTGCGCCCAATCACCTCCAGCGACCCGCAATCTCCACCTCGATCTACACCTCTTCAGAGAGACCGGTCGCTGTTTTCGCAGATATCGGAAGCTCTAGAGCATCTTCTATCTTCCATCCCCAGGTACATGTTTGCTGCGACCGATATCAGTATCAATCCGAACTTCACAGCTCAGCTTGCGCGAGTGATCATCAAACTATCCGGCTACCGACGCCGCGCGAGGCTTCTATCGCCAGAGCCAGCATATAGCCCTCCAGACGACGACTAGCAGACTGGGTCGACCGTCTTCGATATGACTTCCGACTTCCCAGCAGCTTCTTCGTCGCAGCAGCCTTTCACGAGCCCTCAGCCTGCCCCCGTCACCCCTGCACACCCGGCAGCACCCCCTCCGGCAGAGAACTTGAAATCATGGTGGGCGAGATTTAGGAAAGACCGCCCAAAGCATGAGACACAGGGTAATTACTTCCACGATCCGTCATTTGAAAGCAGGCACCTCAATACGAATTTTGGAGAGCTGAATATGGAAGTTCTTTCCCACAATTACGCTCCTGCATGGTGAGGACTAGTAGTCCTACTTCCTCAATACCAGGCACTCTCCAGCTGAGAAGACTAGCAAATTGGGGGATGCAAGTGGAGGGCATCTATTATTCACGGGTTTTGATGCGTCCAGCATTCATCAAACAACAAGAGCTGTGACTCCCTCAGAAGACGTCCCAATCACTCTCCTTGCCAACGACAGAGACCACAAAGTATGATGGTCACACTCCAATAAACTGTTCCTAATCTTGCGAAACAAGACTCGGAGACCGAAATCAGCCTCTACTGTTATGACTTCGCCAGATCCAAGTGAGATATTTGGCGCAGGCAAACAACCTAGCACCAAGCGGATGCGCAAACCCTCTCCACAAATATTTGCTACAGATGCGTTGAAGCTACGTTTGATGAAGTCACGCTGGTCTCACAAATCAAAGAGATATGCTAAACAATCAGGTGATACAGTAGACCACCCGACAGGCATATTCGGGGTCCCGCTCCGCCAAAGCATCACTTACGCGAACGTTGCCATCTCACTTGTCGATCCCGAAGGGAAAAGTTATATATATGGTTATGTGCCGATTGTGGTAGCAAAATGTGGAGTGTACTTGAAGGAGAAAGGTGAGCAATTATTGTCACATCTGACCGAGACAAGCTAATATTTGCAGCTACTAATGTGGAGGGCATATTTCGACTCAGTGGTTCAGAGAAACGGATCAAAGAACTGAAGACGATATTTGACTCGCCGGACAGGTACGGAAAAGGCCTTGACTGGAATGGATATACGGTCCACGATGCGGCGAACGTTCTGCGAAGATATCTTAATCAGCTTCCCGAACCTATCGTCCCATTAGATCTGTACGACCGATTTCGAGCGCCTCTTCGTGGACACGTAATGCAAGCTGTTGGTGATAACGAGGGCATGCAATTGCCAGACACCTTCGACATAAACAAAGCTATCGTTACCTATCAGCGACTAATTACTGAGCTACCTCCACTTAATCGCCAACTTTTACTCTACATTCTCGACTTGCTCGCCGTCTTCGCGTCCAAGGCCGATGAGAATCGCATGAACTCTCAAAATCTCGCAGCTATCTTCCAACCAGGAATGCTTTCACACCCATCTCACGATATGGCACCTAGCGAGTACCGACTGAGTCAGGATGTATTGATATTCTTGATTGAGAATCAAGATAACTTCCTGATCGGAATGCGGGGCACAGCTGCGGATGAACAGACCGTGCAAGAGGTGTCAGGAGGTACCCCGCCTCCAGGAACGCCTAGCACTCCAAGTAAATCAAAGATGGTTGGGAGATCCGCATCGAATGCGAGCGCTGGTGCAGATAGCATCCGGAAATTTGGGGGAGTTCGCCGAAACGTCTCGGTATCATCAAGGAATTCGAGACAATCGAATGGTGCACCAAGTCCAGCGAGTCCTGCTTACGGAAATCCTTTGACCCATCCTAACACTGGGGGCATTCATCGAAGTAATACTGTTCCTTCAAAAAAGTCGCCCGGATTGCCATCCGGCAGATTGCAGAAGAACTCTGGATCGCCATCGCCGACAGGTGCCATGTTCGTCCCCCAACAAGGGACAGTTCCCCGCAGTTTATCACCGGCACAAAGGGCTGTTGCACCTTCTTCGCCCGGTCTAGTACCTGCTTCGCCAATGGGGAAATCAAGCTTGGCGCCATCCTCGCAGGCTCCTTCATCGGCTGTCACAAGCCAGGAGAGATTACTTGGTGATCATGAGCATGGCGAGAGACTGCTGGAAACGCCGGCGAAAGAGAGAACTGTGTCTAACCTGTTTAATCGATCGCCTACAGCCGACAGCGAGAGGAGGCAGCCTAATAAGCTGAGGAAGAATCCAAGGAAGCGGATCCCGAGTAGCTCGAATCCAAGTGCCCACAGCTCGACAAACTCGCTTCACGGCCAGCAGCACTCAACTTCTGTATCTCCGGCGTTCCTACCTACCCACGGGCCACAAGACTTAGTAGAGCACCCTGTCTTAGAGAGTATGTCTTCTGGGCATCCTGAGGTATCCAACACAGCGCCAACTCCACCAGTCAGTGAGATTCCTCGAGCCGACCCACTTGGGCACCCCCAAGAACACCCCCAAGAGCAAGAGCATGCTCAAAGCTCCGACCAAACGTTGAAACCCATCACTTCACCAACGGCTTCAGTTCATTCGCACTCTTCGTTTAACGACCATTCTGATATGGATCACGGAGATGAGCAAGCTATCATGGAATTGAAAGAGAAGCGATCTCGATGGAGGCTTTCACGCCAGCGCGATAATTCCCAAACCCCGGGGAGTGCACTTTCACCGAAGAAAGGTATGGGATCAGATGCTGGTGCCGGAGCTAGCTCAAGTTCCGTTGGAAGCGCATCGCGTCCACGAAAGAGCTTCACAGGTGACACGGTTCCTGTGGGGTCTGATTCTACCCTTGTTGCAGCACATCCTCAACCAAGCAACGAGAGCGGAAGCAACGCAAATACCGAAGAGAAAAGGGGTCTTCTCGGGAGATTCAAGAACAAGCTTCGGGAAAAGCGAGAGGAGAAAGAGGCAGAAAAGGAACGGACTAAGAGCCCACCTGCGTCTGAGCGTATGAGCTTAAGTACCACTTTCCCTCCCACCAGAGGGAAAAGCATCGAGATACCGAGGGAGCAACTCCAGGAGAAAGTAGCCGAGGAACCAACACCTTCTCAAACCGAACAACCACTGCGGTGACACGAGGAGGATATAAGGGGGAGAGGAGAGGTTTTTCTTTTGCGTTTAGGTTTTTCTCAATTAAAGATCGGATACCCCGGGGCCCGTTTTCCTTTGCTGTTACGGTTTTTTAATAATCTTCCTTTTGGGTCTGTACTCATTACCAACTAGTCTACCGTGCAAAAGAAAGCCAGTGTTTTATTTTATAGATGGGATGCTTGAGCATACGTGTATCTACGATGGATGGGATAGGGATGCTAGAGGGGTTGGTTTGTGGTGTGTAATAAGTAGGGCGTTCGTTGTAAGTGGGCAGGAAGGAAGGAACGAGGAATGGAATGGAATGGAAAAGTCTACCGTTGGGAATAATCTGAAGTTTCGTCGTAGAGTATGCATGCAACTCTTATCTTAGACTCTGTGAGGCGTGGTGTCTGTGGCAAGGAGGCCATTCTTTGTCATTCTGTTAATTGATCTTTGCAGAAAAGAGTAGGTAATCAGGTCGATGTTGCCTAAATTGCTAGGTAGGTCCTTAGATTTATCGTCTTGTATAGGTCAGCTTTGTTCAACTATTTCATGTACTGCACGAGTAACTTTCCTATTTCCCATTCCCTCTCCCTCCTATTTGAGCTCTACCTACATCCATCCCATCTTCCAGGAAACGAGACGAGAAGGAGTCGACGGTCACGAGAGTATGTGGTGATATAGGATAGCAGGGCGGCGAACCCGACTTAGGACGTCGGCGTCAGATATCCCAGCCTTCAACTTCTTTTTTTCTTTCTTTCCACAACTTTCTTTCTTCCCACAGGTTATTGGGATCGACATACCAAAACACTCATTCACAGCCAACATAACAAGCGACCAAATCGCAAACCCCAGAAACAGCCCCGCGGGTCCCCCTTTAGGAAGCGCGCTGCGCATCTGGACAAAGAGCGCTATAGTGGTGCGTTAATTAAACCGTTCTTTCTCTTGAATTTATAGTCATTCTTTCCATTCTTTCAAGGAAGAAAAGGGAAAGTCCATCATCTTACACGTCCCAATAGCCCCTCCAAGAGCAAAAGCTAGACCTCCTTGCCACGCATCTTGCGTTGCAAATGCTGCGATCTAGAATTAACGACTTCCAACATGCCCGAGCCTAAATCGCAGACCACCGTGGTATTTGGCCGCTCCTTTTCATGTACTTGTTTTAATGAAGTCGACATTGTTTTTTGAGCAATGTTTTCTCGCTCAAAAACGAGAACATTGATGAAAAGAAAAATGATAGACAATGAAAAAAAGAAAGAAAGATGATAAAATGGGTATGGCACTTAGAATCATTATCAACTTGACTGTTCTATTGACCTTACTTACATATGTGCTTACCTGATCATCCACTCCACTCTTCAATATAAATCTAGCCGAGTAGAGTATACGAGAGACGTCGAGATAAGTTGATTGATCGGTAAGTTTGATCGATCGGCGTAGCGCCCGACTTTGTTCCTCCACTTTTGCGCTTGATTATTCCACTTATAAAATCAACCTCATTATCGACTGCCGTATTGTCCGACGCGTTTTGATCAGATCAGAGTTAATTTACGTATTGCTTGCTACTTGACCTCAAATCCATTCACTTTACTTTTCTAAACTTCCGAAAATTCCCCCTGGGACTTTCATTCATCATGGGCGGCGAAATCAAAGCAGTGCTAAGTGATAAAGCGTGTGCTTTCCCTCCTGGGCTATTCCGTAAGTTTTCTTAACCGAAAGTCGAAAATCTGAGGTATTATATCACGTCAAGCGGCTGACTTTTTGGTTTGCAGATCACGCCAAAGTGTACAATGGGGTTGTATACTGTGCCGGTGTAAGAGCCCCTAGTCCTTGTCTTGATATCAAATTGGAGTTCGTCCCCCAAGTAGATAGATGCTTATATCATGTAGCAAATCGGCGCCGACGTGCAGGGAAAACTGGTATCTGAAGACATCAAGGAGCAGACTGCCAAGACGTTTGCAAACCTTTCCGCCATCTTGGAAGCGTCTGGTAGTGCGCTAGAGCGTGTGTTGAAGGTCAATATTTATATGGTGGATAAGGCGGATTATGCGGGTATGAATGAAGTGTATAGTAAGGTATGTTATATCTTTTAAGGGGTTCTGGTTGATAGGAAGACGGGTAAAAGAGTTTTGAGGGAAGGCTGATATAAAGTGTTTAGTTGATGCCAGATCCAAAGCCGCCGAGGGCCTGCGTGTTTGTTCAGGGCTTGCCTGGAGGGGCTAAGGTTGAGATTGAGTGTGTTGCTGCGGAGATATAAGGTGGTTATTGTAGACGTAGAATAATCCTTTTATTGACGAGCTAGCTAGGTAACGAATACAAATGTCTGCCTCGATTTGACCTTCATGCTCACATGAAGTACGTTGCATACTCACGTCCATCAATATTAAGCTTGTTCACTTTAGCTTCTTGAAATCAATCCAGCATGTGTGCTCCTACATAAAGTTAGCATATACATTAAGTATCAGGGATGCCCGCATAACCTACCCCAACTTTTGCAAAATTTGCATCTGAGAATACCTCGAATCTGCTTGTGATCCCAGGAGATATACCTTCCTGACGATCCTGTATCTTGGTACTATAATTCTTATACACAGCCGCTACGAGTGTGGTCATTTCAGCCATTGCAAGACTATCAAGATTAGAACCCACATATTTGTTTCCAAATGCCAGTTTCAACTTACTGCATACCTATACACATTCTCCCTCCACTGGAAAACGCCCACCACCATCTTTTCATCTCTGTCAAATCACTCGATTCCCGTGTCCACCTCTCGGGGTCGAATTTGAGTGGGTCTGGGAACACGTTTGGATTACGATGCAACGAGAAGGGTGCCATGCTGACCACCGTTCTCGCTGGTACCAGAAACCCCGCGATTGTGCAGTCAACAGGAAGACTGCGAGGTTCAGAAGCAGGCAAAGGGTTGTAAAGTCGCAAGGTTTCTTTAATGACAGCATCGAGGAAGGGAAGTTTGTCAGCTGCAGTTACGTTAGGGAATCCACCTTCAACCATTACAGATTCTTCAATTTGTGAGATTTCGTCAATAAGCTTCTGTTGGAATTTGATGTTTTCTGGGAGAGATAGTGCCCAGATAACAAACATCGAGGTATCACTCGTGGTGTCAATTCCAGCGAGTAGGTGATCAGCACATTCTGACGCGATGTCAAGGTCATAGAGTCTGGCCCCCTTGCCGCTTTGTTGATGTTGCCAAAGTCGTCCTACAATGGTCGTCTTGACACTCTCAATCTTTTCTTCCAGAGGTGCCGCTATGAACATTTGCCACGATTTCAAGGCGTGGGCACGAATTCCAGTGTAAGTGGATGGCTTTTGCATTGGAAGCATGCCTATGCTCGTGATAATGTGTTCCAAGGCACCGGTGCGAGTGTAGAGCCATTTAGTATATTTAGGAAAGTGCACCGCATACCATGAGAGCTTCCTTCGAGATGGATCCATGACATCACTAAGAAGCGCTCTATCAGATAATGAGCCTTTGAGAGCACTGGTGCCGCCGTGCCTATCGCCATAGAGAAAAGAGGTAATTGAGTCGATGGCAAAGTAGTGCAAGCTGGCAAAAATCTCAGACGCTGTTTCAGGTTCCTCTTCTAGCAAGCGTATGAATTGGCGTGTCTTTTCCTCTACCATATTCGCCATAGCACCTTTCATAATTGTTGTTTTTGAATACGCATGATTAAGCAACTTCTTGCGATCCCCATGCGCCTTGGAGGAGGCAAATGTGAAAAGATTCTGTCGGCCATAGACATCGAACATGCGGTAGAAAGTATCTCGCTCAAAACCACTTCCGGCACCATATATTGTGCGCAAAGCAGCTAGATCGTTGAAAGACACCTCATTAGGCCCAATCCGGACAGCGTTGCCATACTGCAAGTGAAGTTTATGGATATAGCTTGTCCGAGTACCTTTCCAATCTTCGTAGGCCAAACGCCAGCGTGTTACTGCAAAAGCCGTGGGGCCTGGGATGCGGGACAATGGACTGGAGAAAAGAGGTGCATAGACTAATTTGAACAGAGCTGCGCTTAATGCAACGGCAGCGAGGCATAGAAGTCCAAGGACATATTTATCTTGAACGTCTATGCACAATTAACCGCTGTACAAGTAAAGTCTTCAGATTGCGCGAAGGAGGCATTACCCGCAGATGCGTCGTTGTAAGTCATGATAAAAAGTTATCTCTAGCGCGGTCTTGGGAGTGAAGCAAATCCTGTCCTGTCCTGGCTGTGTTGCCTTCCACGAGAAAAGAGCATCTTACACACTTAAGACGTTGTTATATCTTTAACGTAAGCCCCAAGTGTCGCTGATTTAAAGATTGCGAATGGGCGTGCCAATAGCGGCTTGTCGGCTGGTCCGCTAGCATATCAGAACATCAGCTTGGCGCCAAGATCCTCACTTGGAAGTCACGACCCCTAGAAATCTATAAAACCTCGTGGTAAATAAGTTTAGTATAAGTGTAATATAGGCGCGAGATATTGTATTGCTATATTAGTAGATGCACTGGTACAAGGGCACTAGAAGCAATTCTAGGCAGTCTCATATATTATATATCTTTTTTCAACAAAAAGGGGGGCTTATCACGTGGTGACGCCCAAAACAACTACCTATTATGGAATCAAGGTAGCAGTTAATTTCAGGAGATATCATTACTTTAACTCGTGGGTTATTCTTGACTTTGGAGTCCTGCTGACTTGCTCCAGATTCCTTCTACGTTCTGAGATCAATTCCTGAAGCCTGAATGTAGCACTTTCTGTGTTTTCATGCACCGTTTCAAGTAAAGATTCATCTAGGCTTTGGATGAGGACTGCAAGTTGCTGTCGCTGAATTTTCCAGATCACAAGCTCGAATATCAACGGGCATGAAGCACCTCAAGTACATCCCTGAAGTCGTTGTTAAGCTCATCGTCAGGCCAGGAATCTTAAAACCCCCTTCTCGCTTGAAATAGCAACTACTCTCGCCAATATTTTCCTTCGTCCTCCTACTTTTGCCTCTATAAGCTTTTGACGGCAACAGCAGCACTCGATGTCATGCAATAGGTGGCGGTATGGAACAATGAAAGCTCAAAGAATCTCACTTCCTATTCACTCCGCGAAATGTTTTCAGGTGGACTAAACCATTCCCTTCAATTATCAAGTGTAGTTGAGATCGCATGCTCTAAATTTATGTTGCTCTATCACTTATGCGAGCTAAATAGCAATATCCTTCACTGAGAAAAAAAACTTCTTCAATCCAAAGTTGAACCCCAACGATCTCATTGCAACTGTACTCTCAAGATTTTGCTTCGAAAGAAAGCACTCGAACTTCTATAATAGAGTCGATTTAAGGTGATTGGAGTTGTACGTTGAATAGCTCCGGCCATCTCTACTTCTCACTCGGTCTAGGACCATGGCCTGAATTTGTAGAATTTGCAATCCTAAGTTAAGCTCGACACCGCATCGGAAAGGGCATCGAAACCCGGTGTATCTTTATGGTTGGGATGGGGGTGTCTTTTGACTTCTCTAAAGCTCTTCCATTGGTTTTAATACGGCTTCATTACATTTTGAGGGTGTTTCAAAAACCCTGTTTCTCAAAGATATCCAACTGTCCTCTCAAGTAGTCGAGCTGGTTTAGACCCCGAGGACTCAAGATTCTGTGCATATTAAAGATTGCTTCTCAATATCTTTTTGCGAGTAATTACGCCTCTGAGACTGTTGAACTTATTGTCAAGCTGAGCTGATGTCTCCCATTAGCATCAACAGCAATATTGAGCTTTTCTTTTGCAAAAATGCATTAAAGCCATTTGCCAACTTGTTCAGGCCTATGTCAGTTTCTTCTGCGTCCGTATTCCTTCGATTCATATCCTTCTAGCACGACTTTAGTTGATTTGCAAAACACCAAAGACAAACTATGCTGTCTAGTGTCTACCCAGGTGTCTACGGATTAGTCTTTCTGCAATTGCGTAAGAACGGTTTGAATTTGCGATATGTAGATTAAACACCATGATGAAGGAATGCAAGACCCAAGGGGATTTGTAAAGTTGACGAAGTTTGATAATACCATTAATCGATTGCTCCACGAGGCTGAGAATTCCAGCGATACTTGCTACCGCGCCAATGCTTCCATCATGGCAAAGGCATGAAGGGAAGGGAGGATTTTTGCGGATCAAGGGCTATATAGAGAGCTCAGGCATAGTGTGCTATGAGCATTGGCTATGGCCGAACGTGTTCTGCGCATGATCTTATTATTTTCAGTTGAAGGTAAAGTATAGATCCTAAAGAGAGAGGGTTTCGCTCATTTGATGGTAGGGGTCTCCACCAAATACTACTCGTACTGTAGGTGCATGCACTACCGCTACAGGGTCTCCGGGGACTAATATGTCGAATTCGGGTTCATTTGGCGGGGAATGTGCTCTATTTGTGTCTAGATATAATCCTCACATTATGTGACATAGTTCTAATGAGAACCAGTAATTTCTCAAGGTAGGGTAAATATTAAGCGCTACAAAGGCTATACAAGGCGTATCCGTTGTGGGGGCGGAGCGGCCTACTTTACTCTTCAGGGATACATCTCCGGTGTATTACAACCACACCCACACCCTACAGCTGCAAGCCAGATTTGAAGATCCTACCCCGCCGAAACTTCAAAAATTTCATTCCTGCCTTTTACAATGGCTCGGAGCTATGGACTTGGATGGCGAGACATTAGTTAACGAGTCTTATGGAACGATGGAGAACCCAAAGGTACGTACTTGGCCGCAGTGTAATACTTATCGTCACTAATATCCAATAGAAGAACTTGTGCGCCGTCTGCACTGGCCTCAATCTAAGCGTAGATAAGTTTATGATAAAGAATGACTCTGTACCAGGGAAAAAATTTCAGGTTTCTCTCCCGCCGCGCCACGCATCTAGACGAGCGTTCTCGTTGAAATCAGGCCATCAGAAACAGGTCCTCGGTTCAAGAAAGGAGATCAGAGACCGCAGTGACAGTTGTCCCTTTTGCGAGCTGGTGTCTAAATCGCTCGAAACAGAATTTAGAGCTGTATTGCGAAGAGCTTCTATGAGATTTAATACGAGTAACGGCTATTCATCTCATGCCAGCAACCCTGAAGAACTGGACGATGCACCGTGCCATCTCGTCTGGGAGATCGATGGACGTGGGTCAACTGAGGAGAGCTTCAGCAGCAAGAGAAATCGGACCCGCAGGATCAAAATATGCTGGGGCCACCCGGATCTTCAAAAATATGAATGCTACCTTGTTTTCGTCGCACCGGATCTTTATACCGGATTGCCCAATTCTGATGCGTTTGCAATGTCTGCCGCTAGAAAGAGCACACATTTTCTTGGGAGAAGTATTGATCCCTCGAAGGGAAAACAGGCATTAATCAAGAGCTGGTGGGATTTATGTAAATTGAACCATGGGTCTCGTTGCAACAGTCCTGTGCTGGATGACGACCCTTTTCACGAAGTTCTGGCGCAGTCCTACTTTGGAGTCATCGATGTCATTGACATGCGACTTGTCTCCTTACCGTACGAGATACTCGATGGCTACTTGAAATTCGAGGATTACGTTGCTTTGAGCTATGTATGGGGCATTCCCAACCCAGAACACCCGCCATATACTACTACCCGGGCGAACATTATGGAGCATCGGATGATTGGAGGCCTAGAGAGATCATTACCGAAACTGCACGATGCTATTCGTGAAAGTATAGCAGTGGTGCAGCGACTCGGTATTCGCTACATCTGGATAGACTCACTCTGCATTGTACAGGACAGTCGAAGGTCATGGAGCCTCAATGCACGCGTGATGCATCTCATTTATGGCAATGCAACCCTAACAATATGCGCCGCAGATGGCGAAGATGCATCTACGGGGCTCTTGGCCATGGATCCAGATAACGCTTCAGACCAGCTGAAAGCAGAATGTGCGCCAGGTGTGCATCTGATGGTCTCAAGGCCGCCTGAGATTGGCGTCCAGCAATCGAGATGGAACAAGCGCGCGTGGACTTTCCAGGAGCGCCTTCTGTCCAAACGTTGCTTGATTTTTACGCAAGGAAGGATATACTTCCAGTGCCGTTCCACGGGTATGTCTGAAGATATATTTGCTGATGGGCGGGGTTCTGGCTGGTCCTTAGACTCGGTGCAAGCTCCTCTTCAGATGCTGCGCGAGTTAAGAAGTCGGGCGCTGTGGTTTTACACAAATTGTGTATCTCTTTATTCATCACGGGAGCTCACAGAGTCCGGGGATGTTCTGGCTGCATTTAGTGGAGTCTGCAGTCTTATGGAAGGCAACATGATGGTTCCCTTTGTATTCGGCTTACCGAGCTCCCATCTAGATCTTGCTCTTCTCTGGGAACCAGCTTCGAAGATGAGGCAAAGAGATTCCTCTGGAAACAAGAATAGTGATATAGAGTTCCCGAGTTGGAGCTGGTGCGGGTGGATGGGCGCCAAAATTGAGTATAGGCGTGAGATGGTTGATGGTTGTTTGGAAAATGTTCACGAGTGGCTGGTGAACCATACGTGGATCGTTTGGCACATCCGCGATGGGCATGGGAATTTGCGACCCTTGTGGGATAAGGACAGGGCTGAAGAGGATAGGAGTACGGAGACGAGGTGGAAGGGCTATCGAGGTCGTTGGCCACTTGGAGACCAAGATCCTAGAGGAGTACTGGAATTCGTTCGGAGGGCACACACAACTACGGACGATGGTAGCACGGAAACATATCCCTCAAGGTCAAAGCAAATGCAGGTTGCGCGGATGCCATCTCGCGAAAACATTCTACTCTTACCCCGTAAAGACCGTGACATGGGTTATGAGGACTACGCACCATCCCCTATCCCTTCAACCGCACCACAAGACAATTTAGACAACGACTACCAGCAAGAAACAGATCAGCGTAAACAGCCACACCTGAACCCCGGACCCTGTGATCAATATCGCATCAACCGAGAGTACCCATACGCGCAGGCTTCGGAAGAATTGGTAGATATCTTCGGGCGAGCAGTCCGAGCTGAAATACGAGGCAGACAACAATACGACTTCAATCTGACGCTTCCCGAGAACCCTTTCCGCGTTCTGAAAGCACCACAGGGTTATAGCGCTCGTCCAGACAATGAGTTCCCTGATCAACCCGTCTTGCAGTTCTGGACATGGATTACGTCCTTGCATGTCATACGAGCGGACACGAGTGAGGCCGACAAGAACAAGATTGGAGAGGGGCTCTGCAGATGCGACATAGCTGACGGAGTAGGGGACTGGTGCGGCTCCATAATTGTTGACAACGAATGGATTAAAGAGAAAGAGAAGAACGGGCATACAATGTGTGAATTCGTTGCTCTTTCAGAGGCGAAGGCCTTCACGGAAGATGAGTGTCCTGTTTGGACTTATTACATTCCGAAAGAGAGACATGAGAGTACGTGGGATTTGTTCTTCGTCCTGCTTGTGAGGTACTATCCTGAGAAGGGACTTTATCAGAGAGTTGGGCTGGGGAAGGTTTATAGGGCTGCGTTTCGATTGGATTCGGATGAGTGGAGGGAGATGATTCTTGGTTGAGAGTAATACATGTGTATATGGGGAGGAAAGGAAATTATCACAAAACTTAGATCATCCTGCCTAGCAGATTCCTTGTAAACCTTTACATTCATGCATGGTATCTAACTTCCGACCCGGAAACTTTTCGTCATCTACCCAGAAACGCCAAAAGGTCTCATATTCTTACAAACATTCACGTCTCCGCCCCTAGAATATCGCGGATACCGATCAACTCATCCACTATACGCTCTTCCAATCGGGTAACCGCGCTGTACAACAATTTACCGTGTCTCTGTTTCGCGAGTTCGGAATCTCTCACTCCCATTGGAATAATCTTCTCCCTCAAAATCGCCCGCGCCCCTAGCCAGAATTCGACATTTTCTAGAACGGCAGGTGCATCCCACTTGACGCCTGGTACTTCTAAATCGGGAAAGCTGTTCAGGATATAGTTTAAGAGTGCCAATGAATGAACCTCAGAGCACATACTGAACGAAATGAACATCGTCTGGGCCTGAGACATTGTCCGGGAGGATTCAGGGGCCTCCAGGGCTTTCACAGACTGGTCCAGAAGGGGAGCGAATTGGTTCAGGAAAAGGGCTACTTCAATGGCAATCGAGGCCTGCACTGCATCCAGGAGATTCAGAAGCAGAGGTAAGATACCACGTTGCCAGATACTGTAACACCGCTGTAAACCGGCGCCTTCGGCGAAAGGACTAGCATTACCGCGGCGAATGTAGGAAGTGATATTTGCAGAGGCGATATGACCAAGTATGCCATCAATGGCTAGTTGTTCGGCCATAAGAGGCAGGGTGGAGAGTTCAAGGAGGAAGAGGATGCTGAGCTCGCCATAGACTGGGTCGCCTTCGACAGCAAGACTGTCAGACCAGGAGAAGAGGGTGGTAGCTACACGAGCTGTACCATTTGCAGCCATTATCGACACGATTTGAGATTGGCAGAGTTCGATGCCTGGGACACGCAGGCAGGATTGGAAAATACCAGTAATGAGGCCGATATCCTCTGGGGAGGACTCGGCAGCATTCTCATGGATGGCGGAGGCGATTTGGCGAAAACCGATAGAAACAACGTACTTGATGATATCCAGGATGACGGGTATAATAGGAGCTGATTGTGACATCCGTACAGAGGCGTCAAGGTTCGCATTCACCTCGGTAGCATTAGGTGAGTGAGCTCGTATCGAGATGAACAAGAGTTTTAGTAGGGACCTGTAATATGGTGCATCTTCTTTCGCGAGGTCTCTGTCGAACGTGCCTCGTAGTTCACGGATTGTCTCCCAAGCTTTTGAAAGCTCAAAGTCAGCATCTGAAAAGTCTCAGAATCTAGAACAAACTCACATTTCTTCAACAGTTGTTTCATTCCAGGATCCGTGCATTTGGCTTCAATCAAACGTTGTGTAAGTACGAGTGCGAAATCAGCGCGTTGATGGCAAAGTCGTGAGAAGATCTCTTCTTGATATTGGCTCCTTGAATTTGCAATCAGACAGTCAATTGATGTTTTAATAAATGCCTGCTGCAATTTCACGTCTTTGGAAACGTCGGTGCAGGTGGTCTCAATGGCAAGAATCTTCCAGCTGTGGAAAAGGGCCTGGGATTGATTAGCCTTGGACAGTGCGTTGGGAGGTATATTGACATACAATTTGCGCGTCAACAAGGGACAAGTTGACATTAGCAGTCTCAAATTCAAGCCGCAAACCATCATTCTTTCGTCCAGTCCAAGCTTGATCAAGGCAGAGCATTTTATTAGCAAGTGGTAAATGATAGAAATAATCTTTCCCTACTTGGCGATCTTCAAGGGATGTCCGTTTCATATCCTGTGGAGTGCATCCAGGATAACGTGCCTCAAAATTTCGCTTCAATTGAGTATGTAGAGAGGAATTCAAACTCGGGACCCCTACAGCAAATCTGAAGTAATGCTCTAAGGTATCGGAGAGGTTTCCCATGGATGATGGTGTTCCCGTTTGCCTTGAATGGAATAGGTGCATCGCTAATAACTCTGCAATATAGGCTAGTACCTTTATTTGAAGACAGGCATTGATCGAGCCCTCCAATTTCGTAGATGGCTGTAGTGGTCTGAAAGAAATCAAAGTTAGTAAAAGTGCCACGAGGCTTAAGACTTCTTACTTACGGAAGGCTTCCCACATATTCTAGTATAGCTTTGATAAATTCACCATGCTTGGGTGATTCGGACACCGTCCAGGGCCAGAAATTCTGAGATAGCGACACAAATTCAAGTATTGGTAAAGCTACACTCTTGGGCATATCGTGGATATTTGAAAGAGTTTCCAGTGCCATGGTAAGAAGTGGCTTGTCCAATGCAGGCGAACCACCGTTGCCAGGAGGTTTTAATCCTACCGCATCTCTAGGTGTCTTGCCGGTGAGCAGGTAATTGGCAAACCATTGTTGCTTGTTGCTGACAATCATTGACAAGAAATGCCATATTGCCCTCGTATTCGCGTCCCGAGTGAGTGGTCTGTCTAAGTCGGAAAGGACGTCTGGAAAGAAGAGGAAGTTAGCTTTCTTTCTTGAGGCAGGACAGGAAGGCAACAAGGTGTCATGAGCCGTGACACATTTCTGGCGTTGAAGCTCTAGAAAAAGTACGGCTTTCGACACTCTAGCCCCAGGATAGCGAATGATTGGGGTCTTGGTTCTTACGGAGAAAGTTTTTCGCCGCATATTGGCCGAGATGACCTAGCAGTGACGGAGGCTCTGAGCCATTGTTTGCGGTTATAATCAAAGCTTCAAACAGAGCAACGACATCTTTTCTATAGAGCTCGTTGACAACGTATAAACGAGCAATGAGCGGCGCAATTTTGAAAATGCTGTGCTCCAGCTGAGAAACAGGCCGATCAAGGTAATTGCTAACCCGTAATAGAGTTTTGGAAAAAATTAGGACGGAAGTGACTTGTGATTTCCATAAGGTCGCCTCGTTCACGAAAGTGTTAGAATCTGGGGTGCTGAGGCCATCTAGACACGAGACTAGGAGAGGCTGGAACCTCAAGGAGTTTGAAGAAGAGGCCAAAAAACTATCTACTATATGTGATGCAGATGGTATCAATATTCCGGTGATTCTAGAGGAAAGCTTTGACGCTGCTTTAGAGGCCTTGTCGGCCAATTTTGAGGGAAAGTCGACGGCCTCTGTCGTAAGTCTGCACATAGCTTGTCAGCATGTAAGTTGTTCATAATCTTTGAAACTTACATATCGTCTATATTCTGAACAGGATCGGCCGCAGCTTCAATGCCAAAAACGTACTCTAGTACTTTGTTGAACGTCGTTGATAAAGTCCAGGTCAATAGACGGCGATCATTTTCGGTGACAAATTTCCATAAAAAGGAGCTTTCGAGAACGTCAATTAGATATCGACTGAATGAGAGGATGATCTTTGAAAGTAGGAGGTCAGGTACACCAGTTCCCACTTCGTCGTGATCAGTAAACCGAGCTGAAGCCTTGACTCCGCTTCTCCTTCTTATAGCATTCGAGGCAATGTCCTCTACAAGAGCCTCATACAAGCGGGCGCATGATATGAGGAAATCATAACGGCCCGAGACAAGCTCTACACTCTCCACAATTGTTGCCAATATGCCTTCCCCACGAGCGACTCCGAGAAGTCCACTCCGTGATAACAAAGGCCACACTCGGTCAGGTGAGATCGGAATCAATGCGTGAATAAAATGTACGCAGCTCACGAGCACACCCAAAGGCACATCAGATCCAGACACACTTGATTGTCTCTGGAGCTCTTCTTCGAAAATATCAAAGATCACAGTGATGATATCGCGGTTGCGGTCCAATCCCGAGCTTGCCGATTCCAGGACATGTCGAGCATCATCCTTGAAATTGGAATTGGTCACGCTTGAGTTTGAGGTGCTTAAAAGGAGGCTGGCGAGAATATCGATGACCTCGATGGTCGAATCTCGATCAATACCGAAATTTGTTGTGGCATCTACTAAGTCGCTGGCCGTAAGGAAAGTCTCCAATAGTTTCCCAAAATACTTTAAACCAGAGTATTGGTGGAACCAAAATACGATTTTAGGCGAATCCGAAAGCATACGGCCAAGCGTCCCTGCAGAAACTATGAAGACGAATAGTTAGCTTTAAAGTGCCTCTGAATCATTAAGTACCATCGACGGAGCCCGTTGGGCAAGAAACAATGGACTATGGGAACAACACTGGCCTGGGAGAAATCCATGGGCTGTCTTACCACAGAAGTCTTTGTCCACCAATGTCAGAGCTGACGAATGACCTGCAGGCATCGACCTTGGTCGTGGCGCAAAAAGATTTACTGCTCTCTTCAAAAGAACGTTGTTGTTATTATCTTCTTCTTGCGTTGTCTCATAGTCAACAAAGCCGTCGGGTAGCTGGTAAGTGAAGGTATGTATGGCTTCCAGGATAGTGAGGGCGGATTTAGGCTTGCTCAAAGACGACGAAGAAGTTGAAATAGCGTGAATGATTCGAAGGAATGGCAGAGATTCGTATGGATATCGGGCTATTGCATGATCGAGAAATGTTTCAAGCATCTCCTGGTCCTCTAAAAAGATTGCTACAGGATCAAAAGCACCGTTCAACTCCTTGGTGTTTACGAAGTCCCAATAGTTCTGACCACCAGAAAGCGAGGAAAGCAGCGGTTCCATGACTTCAGCCCGGTATTCGAGTCCACTAATCCTGCTACATTTCATAAGATCGAGTATGACAATACGCATCATTCCACCGGTTCTGCTGGAAAAGAAAGCTTCTGAGGTGTTGCCGAGCCGTAATGCGAATCCATTGAGGCTTTCAAGGGCGCGACAGTAGTCGATAGCCATACGAACCAAGTGTTCGATTGGATTTTCGGCACCTATAGGTTCCATGATATTTTTTACCATGCTTTCGTATGGATCAGAGGCTAAAGTGCCATCCGTATCAGTTGAAGATTGACGATCAAATCTCCTCGAATCGTGTTCATCAATTTGAGCAGCGGTGTAAGCGTCAACCCGCCCATGGAGAGCCTTCAGAATAAATGACCACGCCAGCAGAACGGGGCCAGCAGTGACCAATGGTTTGTCATTGCCAGACGTATCAACAAGGATTTGATGGATTGCGGAAAGTGTGTCAGTATTCAATAAATACTGAGATTTTGTTGAAGAATCGGATAAAATTAGCGCCTCACTCGTTCGTGGGTCGTATTCGTAGAGAAAATCAAGAGCACTTCCCACGCTTAGGATGCAAACAGAGACCATCGAAGCGGCACATCGTAACGGAGGCAGTAGAACCTGAACTTCTGGTTCTTCCTATGAAGAACAGTTAGCAAGCCGGTCAACGATCTCTACGCAGCGTAGAACATTCTCATGAGCCCATACCGCATCGAAGTCATCGAGGAAGTCATACGACCTCATAAACGTGAGCCATTTAAGAACAACGTCCGAAGATGAGAATTGACCGTTGAACGAAAGAGTGTGGAATACTATCTCCATCGTATGAGTCGCCTCTGTGAGTTGGTTTCGGGTCCATTCGATTTCGACAGCTGGCCACCCATTTCCAGAACCAATATTTCGGATGTTTTTCTCAATAGCTTGAAAACATTGTAGGACAAATTCGTCAAGCTGTCCAACCTCTGTTACTAATGCTTGTCCGTAGCTCTCTAACCACGTTAAAGCTGCGCCAACCCCTTTACCCTTGCCGTTGCCGTTGCCATCGTCTGGGATTGCAATCGTATGGTTCATAAATGCAGATAGCAAAAGCTTGACACACTTTAGGAGATGTCGTCGTTCAGAAAGATATGTCATGAATACACGTTGACGGCGATGGTCTTCAGTATCGAATTCTGCTTGTATATCTACTCCATCTCTACCGCGCGAGGCGAGGGAAAGTGTAACCGGACCTAGAAATTATCGGAATCAGCGTTGCTTGAGAAGAGGTTCGGTCTAGTGCCTCAGAACTCCCCAGTCATTTGAGGCGGACATTGAATCCTGAAAGTTACTTACTGGTGCTATTTCCGGCTGCCTCACGGATATTTGTTAATTCATCTTCGGAAAAGGGCGCACTAAGTCTGGCAGCTGCTCGGGACTGACACTCCTCAACCACAACTCTTAGAGCTGATGTTTCGTCGATCTGTGCCTTTTCACTCAGCCATAACGCATCCTCCTTCACTTGCTTAATATCGAACCGCAGGTTTGACGAAGGAGTGACGTTGATTGCGGAGGACTTAGTTTCAAACGCAGCTTTTGTTTGCTGGGAGCGTGGGGGGAAGGCATCGAATGGGCGCGAGAGGAGTCGCAGAACAGCTGGATCAGCAAGAAATCTCTGGATAGCGGGTTCCTCTGCGCCATTGCTGCCCTCAATAGCAGAGGATACAGTCCTCCATGAGCTGTGAAATAATTAGCAGGCTTTAGAGGGTGAGGGTGGGAGATTGATCAACACACATTAATAGCTGTTCTCCAGTGAGACATTCATTCAGAGGAGGGAAATAGCTGGAGGCCGGGAGGGGCACCATGGCTACCAGCTTCAAAAGGGGCAGGCTTGGTGTGGTGCATGGAGGAAGTGTGGGTTGCGAAGGGACATTCAGTTTGAGATTCCTGTCGTGGTAACATTTTGTCTTCAGGGCGACGCGCCTGGAAGTACATAGCGCGCGAATGGTCTCAATGGTCGGCCGGAATATTTATTTCCCCTCTCTCCGCTAGCGCACCAGCCAGCTAAAAGCTTACTGTAATGTGCTCGTAACTCGTATCTCAGTAGGGTAGGGTATATGTACAGTACGTACCTGCCTCTTTGACTTCACAATTATATTACACTCTCCAGCAAAATGCCTGCCCTCGACTTAATTGATCATTCTCCCCAACAACCCCAAGCTGCCCCCCCCCTTGCGAATGCTTCAAAAGTAGTCATCATTGACAACTTCGACTCCTTCACTTGGAACATATATCAATACTTCGTGCTTGAGGGGGCAAAGGTCGACGTCTACCGCAACGATGAGATCAGCATAGAAGAACTTGCTGCATTGAATCCCACCCAATTGGTCATTAGTCCCGGTCCTGGTCACCCGAGGACTGATTCGGGAGTCAGTAGAGATGCAATCAAGCATTTTGCTGGCAAAATCCCCGTCTTGGGTGTCTGTATGGGGCAGTGAGTCACCAGAACTACATTCTTCAAGCATGGATCTTCTAACTTCGATACAGGCAATGCATGATTGACTTGTATGGAGGAGATGTGAGCTATGCTGGAGAGATCCTCCATGGGAAGACCTCTCCACTGCGGCACGATTCCAAGGGCGTTTACGGCAACCTACCACAAGACCTTCCTGTTACACGATACCACTCACTAGCTGGCACACATCCAACTTTGCCCGAATGCTTAGAAATTTCTTCTTGGATTGAGGTTGGACCGGATGGAGGAAAGGGCGCTATCATGGGCGTCCGGCACAAGGAATATGTTGTTGAAGGGGTTCAGTTCCATCCGGAGAGTATCTTGACCGCAGAGGGTCGGGTGATGCTCAAGAACTTTCTTCACATGCGAGGGGGAACCTGGGAAGAGAATGAAAAGCTACAGCAGGAGGCTGCTTGTGTAAGCAAGCAAGCCGCCGATGGAGCAAAGAAGGAGAATATACTAGAGAAAATATTCGCACATCGGAAGGCGGAAGTCGCAAAACAAAAGGAAATCCCTTCACAGCGACCTAGCGATCTACAAGCTGCTTACGAAATGGACATTGCCCCTCCACTCATATCTTTTGTTGATCGTCTGAGGAAATCGCCCTTCCCTTTATCACTCATGGCTGAGATTAAGCGAGCTTCTCCTTCAAAGGGGATAATATCGCTCTCAGCGTGCGCCCCTGCCCAGGCCAGAACATACTCTCTAGCTGGTGCAAGTGTCATCTCTGTCCTGACTGAGCCAGAATGGTTCAAGGGCAGCATTGACGACTTGCGTGCTGTTCGACAGGCTTTAGAGGGAATGTCAAATCGCCCAGCTTTATTGCGTAAAGAGTTTATCTTTGACGAATATCAGATCTTGGAAGCTAGGCTTGCCGGAGCTGATAGTGTTTTATTGATAGTCAAGATGCTGGACGAAGCAACTCTGACACGACTTTACAAATACTCACAATCTCTCGGCATGGAACCCTTAGTTGAAGTCAATACAGCTGAAGAGATGACTGTGGCTGTGAAGCTTGGCTCAAAAGTCATTGGAGTCAACAACAGAAATCTCACGAGCTTTGAGGTTGATTTAGACACAACCAGTAGACTACTTGATCAAGTTCCCAAAGAAACCATCGTCTGTGCTCTCAGTGGAATTTCTGGACCGAAAGATGTTGAGGCATACCAAAAGAACGGAGTCGGGGCAGTGCTTGTGGGTGAGGCATTGATGCGCGCAAAAGACACGGCAAACTTCATTCGTGAGCTCCTTGGCGGATCAGAGCCTATCGCAAAACCTGCACCTAAGAGCCTGCTTGTTAAGATTTGCGGCACAAGAAGCGCAGAGATTGCAGCAGAATCAATTAAAGCCGGTGCTGACCTGATAGGAATGATTCTCGTTCCAGGAAGAGGAAGGTGCGTTCCTTACAAAGACGCCGTTGCAATCTCAAAGGTGGTTCACGAGTCGCGAGTCGCTACTGGAACTGTGGCTAGTGATCGCGTGGGTAACCAGGCATCAGATTACTTTGCCAATGCCGCGTCGAAGATTTCAAGCCACCGCACACTACTCGTAGGGGTCTTCCAAAATCAGCCTCTCGAAGAGGTCCTGGAATTGCAAAAGGCGTATGATCTCGATATCGTGCAGCTTCATGGCAACGAGCCATTAGAATGGGCCAACATCATTCCTGTACCTGTTATCCGGAGTTTCAAGCCTGGCCAGCCTGGTCTTGGACGAAGAGGATACCACACTGTGCCTCTGCTAGATTCAGCCTCTGGCGGCTCAGGGGTGAAGTTGGATATGAGTGAAGTCCAAGGTGTCTTGAACAAAGATCAAAGTCTACGAGTTCTGCTAGCCGGTGGGCTGAATCCAGATAACGTGGCCGATGCTGTACGAGCATCTGGAGAAGTCGGTGACAGGATCATCGGCGTTGATGTGAGTAGTGGAGTTGAGGAGGGTGGAGTCCAAAGTATCGCAAAGATACAGGCGTTCATAAAAGCTGCCAAATCTGTCCGGTAGAAAGATAGAAACCTTCAAAATAAATGCTCGTTGACAATTACCATTTCTCATATGTATTTTCAAAGTTTGGGATCTCCTGTAGACCTCATGTACTCTTCAAACCATGAAAAGGGGCTTGCAAGTGCCTGTTAAGTAATATTTGCTCGTGCATCTCATCGGGTGTTGTGGTCCTTGAATGTTCCCCAATTTATTCAAAATTTTCCGTTCCATCAACTCGTAAATGTTTATTCCGAACCGAGCATCCCTTCCACCGCATCTGCCGCGAATGTTATCGGTGTAAAGGTTTGGCCTCAATTTACTTTCTAGACTTCAACTCTCAGAGGACCAACCCATCTCCATTGCCCTCTTGATCTATTCTCAGTCGTCGCTTCCTCATCTGACTTACTTTCAACTTGGTTCCTGCATTACCTACGCTTGCTACCAAGTGAATTTATAACATTCCATCTTCATCACCTTTTCTCATCACATGTACTTACTTTCCCACTTCACCCCTTATCTAAGTTGGCTTGTAGCAGAACCATCTGGTCATGTCATTCAATTCTATTTCACTACTCTTTGTTCCACTCCACCTCAATTCCAGGCGCTCTTGTCTTCTGCAGCACCCACCATTGTGGGAGCCAACAACTCGAAAACATTCAAATCTCAACTTGTGCTTTCTTCTTCCAAGTACGACCAGCAGTCCAGCTTCGACCTCGTCATCTCAATTTCGGTCCTCTGTGTTTTGTTCTTCAACTCGCTCGCCACCTTTGGCCAAGTCGTTCGCGTGATTCCGCGATTGCTTCACTTCCTCGCATTGTAATCCTCGGATTCGATACAGTTCAAGATCATTCAGATTCACACGTCTCCTCTTAGTAAACCATTTGGTACGTCTTCACTTTCACTTTAGGTTTGTTCTCACATTTTTGCGGCTCGTTGGTAGTCCTTTCCTTTTCGGACCCTTTCGCTTACATCGCTTACCCCTTTCCGCACCCTCGTCTTTTCTTCTAAGATCAGAGACTTCAACATTATCATTCACTGTATTTGACAATCATCTTCTCCTACTTTGTTGATTATCTCTCACACGTCTGGGGGTTTTTTGCTCCTTATCAACCAGCAAGCTTGATTTTCATATGTTACATAATGAGGCATTGATCTAACATTAACGAATAGATTTGACCACTACGATCCCACCCTATCGCCAACACTGTTTTGGTCAACGTCGATATGGCAGCCACGAAACCTAAGCTCAAGAAGGACGCCAAAAAGACAGTCGCGGCTAAGACGCTCGTGGCTCTGAAGGCAATCTCGAAGCAAACAACAGCTAACTCCACCGCATCGAAGAAAGCCACCCAAAGCCAAGTCCTACCGAGACCACCCAGGAAAGAAAAGTCGATGAAACAGATTTTCAGGGGCTTGGTCATATCCGCTTCGGGCACTTTCATCAATTCCGGCAAGGCAGTCACTCGTGAACAATTTGCTCGACATGTCACGAGCCATGGGGCAGAATACGAAAGCACTGTAACGAATGACACAACTCACCTGATATGCTCCATTGAAGATTATAAGAAGAAGACTACCCAAGGTAAGCTTTGGTTAGGCTTCTACTACACTCAGTAGATAACCTTCTCGCAGTCAAGAAAGCTTTGCAGTTAGGCAACAAATGCGAGATAGTGAACTATGATTGGATTGTTGACTGTCTCGTGGGCCCCGGGTTAAAAAAACGCTTGCTAGGCGCCAAGAGTTATACTCTCAAGCAAGCGTTAAAGAGGTTGAAGGAGGGCAAGAAGAATATTGAGGAGCACAAGGCAAATTTTGAAGATGGTGTCAAAGTTTCGAAGGAATTATGCAACAACAGTGAGTCCTTACTCTATCATATATGCTTCGGATTATTAATTGCTGACACCATCACAGATCTCAATCATGTTTACTATGACTCGGATGCCTTCGAATACAAAGTTGTTCTTACTCGAATCAACCTGGATGGCAAAGTCAAGACTGAGAAATATACGCTTTTCGTGAGTCTCAACGACTCTTTGCACTTTTCATCCAAATACTAACTAGTCACTCATCAGCTTTTTGAGTCTAATGCTAAGCCCAATGTTTACATGTGTGGTGCGAAGCTCAGCAGCCCCGGTCGCCCAATCACTTTGTACAAGGACAAATGCCGCCCCATGACCTTCTACGAAGCTTTCGGCATATTCCGGAAGTTCTTTCATGACAAGACTGGCGTTGAATGGGACATGCGCCTCGAGGAAACTAAGAATGATGAGGGATTCTTCATATATGCGCCCCCTGTCCTCGGCCGCCCAATCGGCTTCGTTTCACAGGGTTATATCCGACCTGAGTTGAGGGAGCCTGAACCAGAGTCTGAATCAGAGCCCGAGCCAGAGGTCGAAGTGGCTGCCACTCCATATATCAGAGTCGGGGAAGATGCTGTTTCTGATACCGAGAGTGAGGACGACGACGATGAAGAATCGGAGGATCATGATGGCAGTACTACCACGAGCACGGAAGCTTCTCAGCCAAGATATATTACTACTGGCATCAGGTGGGACACGACTAACTCGATCGCTTCCTCTTTCTAAGCTATGGTTCCATGTCTAGCTTGGCCTTGCGTGGAATAGACCCACGGCTCAGCAATCACCATCAGGTCAGATAGCTGGGATGACTTTTAGGGGCATCGAACTTTAGTAACCTCAGCAACCGACTCCACTCAGGTTTTCATGTCAAAACTTCACATTCTTTTTACGGCTTATATCGAGATATCCAGGATCGTCAGAAACTAGAGAAGTACGAAAACTTCGGCGAGCATCGAAACCACCCAGTCTACACTCTTTCGAAATCAGCAGCACGTCGTATTTGGGGCTTTCTTATGGCGTTATATGTTCACTTCCTTACTCTACGCATCATCACTGGCTTTCGGCTTTGGTATCTTTGCATATAGTCTCAAAATTTGGAAGAACTGGTTCTCAAATATCGTCTATACTACGGATCATACTAGGAATAGCGGCAATTATTATCAGTTCAAGGGTTTTCAAAATTCTGGCTGGAGAGTACAAGGACGATCTGCCACTCGAGTTCCCATCATATATCATGAGCTAACGTTGCGAATCAAAGGGTGGAGGATAGTAAAATGTCTCCCCTTTCAAATGTTTCATTTCATTTCATACATATCATTCAATATCATCACATGGCAGTCAAACAATGCAATTCAACATTCTGGCAGGCCTGCAAATGGCAGAGCGGACGATACCACAACATATAGCACATAATCCAAGCAGATAAAATACAATCCAATAATCTCATCCAACGCCTTGCTGACTTCGACGTGGTATCTTTGAAACGTGCTTAATTCAAGCCCAACCATCAACTCCTTCCCGATCCAATAATCTAGCCGTAATTTGTGATATTGACCCCTCGCCCCCCGCACCATCCCCTAAAACCTCAACTTCGGCCCCACGAAAACCAACGCAAACGCCAGCACCGCCAACCCTGCAATCCACGCATACAGCAAAATCCTGCCCCACCACCCCTTCCCCTCACTCATACTGCGCAACATACCCATCTTCCGACTCGCCTGTTCCAGCCCCGTCGTATTCTTATCCATACCCTCAGCAGCCCGATCCACGATATCTTTCTCTGATTCCAGCGAGCTGGAGAAGGCTTTGGAAGAAGATTTGAGGGCGGCCGCCATGTTGAGGAGGGAGGTAGTTAGGGCTTCTTGCTCGGTGCGGTTGTGTGTTAGGAGGGCTTCTGTTGTGCTTGTTATTGGGGGGCCAGTGGATGTTGCGGATGAGGTGCCGAGGAGTTCGGAGCGTGCTTCGAAGAGAGTGGGGTTGCGGGCGCGGAGGGTGGATTCTGTTTCTGTTTGCGGTCGAGGTTGTGATTGAATGGGCGGTTGGGAGTCGATGGGTGAGATGGGTTCTGGGGTTTGGGTTGGAGAGGGTGCTGAGGCGCGCGAGGGTGATGAGGAAGGTGTGTCTGCGCCGAGGAGGTCTTCACCCTCGGATGCATCTCCTTCTTCTTCTAGGGCCTGGTCGTCGTTGCCAACCTAGTTTGCATCAGCTTTTGCCTTCACTTTCTAAAGGGTGAACAAGGAAACATACGTCCTCATATTCTCCTAGTCGCTCCTCTAACCGCAAGATCAACTCCCGCTTCTTGAATAACTCCGCCTGCGTCTCTTGCTTCTTGTTTGGGTTCTTAATATTCAGGGCTTCCTGCTCCAGCTCGAGCAGTAGACCGTTAGCGTATTCTATACTCTGTTCGAATTATCAGCCTCCTATTGATTGTCCTGGAAGCAAAGGGCTGAATGTACCGTTCCGAGCTTCTCTCGCTCGATGCTGGAGGTGTGCAGCTTAGTTTCAGTAGCTTCATTGGGAATAATGAGGGTTTGATGAAGTCGTGTGAGGAGTCGTGTTAGGGTTATGGTGGTAGGATCGGAACCGCTGGCTGCTATTGAGGTTCGTGCCATTGTTGATGTTCTGTTTGTAGGTGGAGGAGGGGAAGCTTACAGGTGATGTTCATGTGTGGCTTGATGTGGCTGGAATAACCATTAGTCAGCCACTACAGTATCTTATAGGGAATCCTCAACCTCATGCCGGCTCCATCTCCTTTGCCTTCTTTACAATATCAAATCAACTGCAAGATGTTTCAGGGGCGCTTCATTTTATGTTATTGGTTCAGGTGAATTGATGCCAAAGAGTTTAGGATGCAAGTGCCCTCTACTCTACGTGGCACGTTCTATTCTCTGCCTGTGAATCATAGGCTGTGATCGACGGCAGTTACTGCCATTCTTTCCACGTCCATCTTCCTCAATATCTATTTGATACCTAGGTATGTATTGAACCTCTTGCAAATATCCCGAAAAATACTTTTGGTCGTTTTTATTCCCACAACCTTGCCAGCGTTCACAGTTTTTGAATATAGGAGACCTCAATCGTAATGATTGCAAACGTTCGCAATAGAAGCTCAACCTCTTCTTCTATTTCCTCTAGATTTGTATATATGCGGGACTTACTATTCTACTACCGTTCTTACAAGGCATCTTTAAACAACAAAGCCTCCTCGACAAGAGTGCATAATCTTATCGATCTTCGCGCTTTGATATCCATAATCGTGGGAATGTACTGGAATTCGGACGGGGAAGTTCAAGTCCGTTGGCATGGCTCAATATACTCATTGAAGATATACTAAGCCCACTGCGAACCTATTCTGGTATGTGAATGCGAATGTACCTCGACTAAGAGTGTTGCTGTGACAGGCTATGATTGTGCTCCTTGGTTATTGCTTCTGAATAACAGCTTCTCAATCATTCTTTCGAATAACAACTATTATATCTACAATCATACTCATACAGTCCCCCCCCACCCGCACTATAAATTTCGTTTTTTCTTCAATCCAAAATGAGACCCCCCAAATACAAATCCAATAAGTCCAAATCCAATAAATCCAAATCCAAATCCAACAAATCCAACCAACCGCCAAACAAAAAGCTCACAATGCCCATCACAACGCCAACCACCCTAGCTAACCCCGCTCTCCCACAGCCTATCTTCTCAACACCCACCTTAGTCTCCCTTCGCGGGGGCGCGGACCTCGGGTGGGGATTGGGAAGAACCTAAAATCATGATCTCCAACAATACGGGCCAGGGAACAGAGCGAAGCTATTATGTCCCTCCCGTACCAGGACATGGCGCACCAGAACACGGAGAAGAAGAAGAAGCAGATGGCGGAGAAGAACCCGTCGAAGAAGCAGACGGCGGAGAAGAACAAGTCAATGATGGCAACGCTGGTAATGCTGGCAACGCTGGCAACCCTGTTACGATAACAGTTGGAATATCGATTCCGCTTGTAGATGAGAATGTGATGGAGGCAAGTGATGATAATAGAGGTGATAGTAGCGGCAGCGACAGCGACAGCGGCAACAACAGCAGCAGTGGTAAAAGTAGCGGAGATGGCAGTGCAGGCGACTGAAGTGGGTTCAGATGAATAGATAGATAGGCCAGACAACTAGAATGAAACAAAGTTGGTATAAGGAAGGTTTAAAATGTGCTGCTTATCTAAGTGCTCGTGCTACGCTATATTGCAGGTATTTGCTTCTTCCTTCCCCTTGTCTGTTGCGAGGACTATCACAACAATGGTGAGTGAGTCCTTTAGAGAAGCGAAGGCACGCACATGTATGGGAGTAGGTCGCTACTGGCAAGATAGCTAATCAACAATAAACAAGCTCACATTCTATATAATCCTCAAACCACCATGCCTCCACATTCTCATCAACCTTCTTCAGATCACTCATCCCAATCAACTTTTGTTTTTTTACGCCGTGTTTTTAAATCTGCATCCTCTCCTCGATAGCAATAAGCCATAACAATTTTCATCGCAGAAAACAGCAACATCAACAACAGACAACGCTGCACAACGCACGCTCACAAATGAAGCAACTAAGCAACCTCCCCCATTCCATCCTCAATCACACTCTACGCTCTCATGGAGCGAGCAAATCCGGTGCATCCCGGCATAGGACATCCGGTTTAAGATTCACGGCATTTATCCATGGTTTTGTCCTGGCAATCCACTCCGGCATTATGGTTCCATGGGCAGCAAGCAATCCATACGGCAGTATCCATGGCAAATATGCATGACTGGTTTCATGACTTGAACTGTCGATTTCCTCATGTGGAAGCAGTGCGTACTGGGAACGCTGTACTAATTGTAGTATTCTCCATTGGCTTGTCTAAAAGGTCTTAGGATCGAAGTGGCCATGTTTATGATTTCTTCAGGAACGTTCAGACGTTAGCATCAGGACCGACATGGGTAGGGTTATGGGCAATATATGTTGCTCTTCTGTACTCACAAAGTCCTTGTCTCAAATCAGATATGTTGGTCATTCAGCCGCTCTGTTGCGTGAATGGAGCATCATTAATGCGCTTGCTTGTCTGAGCCATTACCTTGATGCAGTCATGCATGCTATGGAGCAAGTTCATATTGCGGGCAGCTTCCCTGGGATCACGAAGTTGCTCTAGAATGGCTGTGGCTTTCTGGAGATCTCGCTCATACTGCTCGGTTAAGCTTGGTTTCTGTGGCTGGTGCACAACAACTGGTGGGGTGGCGACGCCCTTTCTAGCCTTCTCAGTGGGCTGGGAATCCGGTTTGTCATCTGCCTTGCGCTTCTTGCCTCGGCTGGGCGCAGAAGGTGGCGGTGAACGACCGGGAGAACTGCTCTTGGCTTGGCCCGCGTCGTTGTGTACACGCTTCATGTGGTCACGAAGGTTCCAGTGGCGGGGAAAGCCATTTCCGGGTACACCTCTCTCACATCCTTCATGGGTACAAAGATAAGGCTTGTCACCGTGTCCATGCATGGCGTGGGCTTCACGTTCGTGGCGGAGCAGGCAAGCCGTGGAGGAGAAATGAAGAGTCTCACAGGCAACAACCTTGCAGCGGTATGGCTTAAGGTGCGAGTCCACAAATTTACTAGCAGACACGAAGTGGTTAGCTTGGGAACTGGAGACGGAGGAATACAAATGATCATACTCGTAGTTGCACTTCAGCTTCTCAGGCTTGTGTTGGCAAGAGACTTGTCCCTCCCATGGGCAGTGGTAAAGTCCATCGGTTTTAGCGGACACATTGTGGTACAATGGATGATCCCGGGCAGTATTATCAATTTCAAGAGCAGAACGGCCAACCAATCTGAAGGAGTCATCAGAGGCCTCAGATCCCAGGAGGCGCTGCTGTCTTGAGTTTGCCGCTAAGTCGCTCGCAACTTTAGATTGACGGGGACCCATGGGCTTTCTCGTTACCCTGTCGTCGGTTGCGTAAGGGGGCAGTTCCATCAGATCTGGGTAATCCTGAACGTACCTAGGGGATAGGGCTTCGAGACTTGGCGAGTATGTCGAAGGGCTGCCCGTTGGTGAAGTCATGAGTGGTTGGTGTGGCCAAGTATCCTCACGCAGAATGGGAGATGATCTTTGGGAGTCGAGGAACTCTGCATTAGTATTATCCCACAGCATCGAAGAGTCAACTGTACTTGGATTGTACACTGACTCTCGCGAGACTGGACCTTGGCTAACCATGGAGTTTGATCCTACGGTGAAAGAGAATGGTTCATCTCCTGTTGTCCCAAAGGTACTGAAAGATGGTCCTGATAACGAGACATTCAAGGGATACGGCTCCATACTTGCATTGGAATCCCTGTGGACAATAGGGTGAACGTCGACTATATCATCTCCAAGGAATGGGTATTCGAAATCCTGCAGATCCATCTGCTGGGCAGATGTGCACAAAGCAGTATTTTCAGGGCTGGTTGACCTGGTTGTAGCATCTGACCTGGCAGAGGACATATGAAATGACGCCTGGGCATTGGGAAACATCCTGGACGATTCATCATATATGTTACCTGTAGATGACTGAGCGACTCTTTGTGAGTGCACTCCATCGATATCTTGAGATGGAAGACGTGACATGTCTTTTGACTCCATTTGAGTCGAGGCAAGGCCCTCATGCCATTGGGTTTGACTGGATCCTAATACTGAGCTCCCGGCATTTCTTGGTCCGCTTTGGCTCTCCTGAGCGGCATAAGAATCGAAAGAATTAACAAATCCACTGTGGGCATGAGCTGAAGGATCACGGTGCAAGTACTGTGAGCCTTCACCATTCCAGTATGATCCGCTGTTTTGACCCTGGATAGGTGCTGTTTGACGAAAAGAAAAGTCCGGCAGTCCACTGGTAAAATTGGATCCATTTGCAAGACTGAGAGTGCTACACCATCTCTGTTAGTGTGCTGTGCTACCACTACTTAAAACACAAATTGACTGCATGACACAACGAGAAAGAAACACAATTTCGGACAAGGACCTGCAGATTAAATGGGTCAGTATATACATCACTCCGACTCGGGTTGTTGTAGGTACAGACCAACAATAAGCAAATTGATGCTGAAGCCAGAATCCAGGATTAGAGCCCGCAGGATACGCCGGGCGGACAGTGGAGATAACAATGGAAAGGCAGTAGGTTGAGGGGTGGCGGGGTATCCACAGCGGCGGTGTCCTCTCCTTCGGTCCATGACTCCTGGGGTGTAAGGTCCATTTATGGTTCACCGGCTTTAGGATTGTCTACAAACAAAGCGGAAGCAGCAACTGGTTAGTGCATGGTCGGTCGCGAAAAGGGTAGCATGCCAGACTCTGGAGTCGGCGTTGAGCAGGTGTACGTACTCAGGGGCATAAATGTGCCAACATGACCCTCTGTCGCCGGTTGGCGACGGTCACTTCTTCCAGGTCGACGGGCGACGGGACAACTTCGAACAGGTTCGAAGCAACAGGGGCAATGAAGGGTCCATTGTCCTACGGTAAACTCCACGGCTATGAATTCAAGATCCTACGTGATATTGGATCATACTCCTGAGGTAGTTGAAAGAAGAATTCCAACTGCGGTTGCAGACAACCTGAACAAGGTTGGTGAAGATTCATGTCATTATAACATGGTTCTTCAACGTAGACCGACCTTGTAAGGACAAGGTTGATCAAGAGGCTCAAGGTCCTTCGTGATAGCGACGTGTGATGCGTCGGCAGGGGGGCTGCAGACCAACATCTCGAACCATGAGGAATATAACCACGTGATGGAGCATGGAGCTGTCACATCCTTGGACGCTACACACTATGTCCCGGATGATTGGTCAAGATACAAACACCTTCACGGCCAATGGAGATTGCTGGAAGCATCCGGGCTCCGTGTTCCACTGGTTGGGACGGGCGATACTTACTGCGCGAAGTGAAGGCCATACAATTCGCCAGAGCCTTCCGATGGAATCCAGTCACGATATGAGATATCACATGATATGGGCCTGGGAACGCTGAGAGTTGAGTTGAAAAGCCAGGGGGTTTGAAGCGGAATCCTCGACCGAGACAACGGGTTGGTTGCTGATGTTGCTGGGAAAAATGAAAACAATCTTTCTGACAACATAATGTTTCGGCGCGATGAAAATAACAAATTAAGCAGAGGAAAAAGAATATACCTGGCGGCAGCCTTGGTCCTGGTGCGCTTCTGTGGGTCGAATCCTGCCATGGTTTCCACGGGAAGAGTCACAACGGATTGGGTTTGGACACAAGTCATTGGAAAAGTACTGGGTCCTGAAAATAAAAGAAACGGACAAGTCTTCCTCTGGTTCGAATAGTGGTTGGCGGTTGGTAGTTGTTGGTGTCGAAGCTACTTGAGCCAGCGGCTAAAGTAACGAGCAAAACAGAGCAGAGCAGAGCAGCTGTGGTTGTTGTTTATAGTCGTAGTTCAAGATCCTGTGAATGTTTGCAAGCAAGTATGATGGCAGAGGTTCTGCAATGTTGCGAAATTGGTGCATAAGGGTTTAGAGATGAGAGGAGGGAATTTTGAAAGGATGGGGATTGTTTTTGAAGGTCGGAGTGGGGAGTGGGCTAACTTATGCTGGATTGTGTAGCTGGACGGACGGGTGAGACACGATGCGTTGTCCCATTATCACTCCTTGGCCAACTTATGAGAGCGCGCAGAAATGCGGGCTTCTAGCAACGTGCAGGGCCAGGGGTCTTGGTTGGAAAGGACATGGATATGACGAGAAGGAAATTTTGGCTAAAATGTGATACTTGTCGAGGAGTTGCAGGCCGAGTCAAGCCAAGAGTCGATCTCTATGCTGATTGGCGTTGGTGCAGCATGATTTCAGGGTTCTTGTGCCAGAATCAGCGAATAGCATATGTAGCATTTGGATGGCATGCATGTGCAGAGGCGCAGCTGAAGCAAACGCTCTCCGCTGTCAGCCAAATAAAGTACTTGATCAAAAATGGCGCATGGTCAAAGAGCAGGCAGGGCAGGCTACAGTAGCAAACACCGAACAACCGTCGGCCCGCTCCAGTGCAAGTGTTTCTTGAAACTCTGTAGGGTTTGCATCTCCCCAGAGAGCTTCACTTACTGTATTGATTATGAAAGAGACCCGAACATCATGACTTCTAAAGGCCTCAACTTCTGATCATTTGAGCAAACGAGAAAGACCTCCCTGCTCGCAGACGTCCAGGCCCGGTCGGCCAGCAATCTTTGCTTTTTATTAATGCGCGTCTTGCTTTTGATCACGCGAGGCCAGTTTGATGGTGTGACCGCATCTGCGAGCGATTGGAGGTTCGTATGTCACAGCGACAACACCACGGCGCATCAGCCGCGTTGTTACTGGCAGAAGTAGACGACAATTGAGTACACCGAATACACGTCGTTGTTGCCAGAACCTATCGCTCCGTGTGGCTGTATGACAGGAAACATTAGGCTGTTTCTCCTAACCTTGTCTCGTATCGTACAATAAATAAAGCAATCAATCACCAGGAAGAATACGGAGCTCCATGGAGGGGAGGGGTAGCTTGAGCAGGAATGTACTGTACCCCGCCTTCCTAGCTCCAAAAGATGGTAGACAACGTGGGATGCTCAAGTGTGCGTGTGTTGGTCCTTACCGCTTGGAACACTTGGGAGGACACGTGAGATATCAGTAAGCTTGACATTCTCACCTCCTTCATGACTCGTCTCCCTGTTCACCGTACAGTAACCATCTCTTTTTACATAAATTTAAACTTTGCTAGCTTGCATCAAAACAAGCTTGAATCCATGTATTCATCTTGGAGATCAAAGATCTACTTGCAAATCTTCAAAGGAAGAACATTGGAAATTTGCGAAGTCTTCTGTCCACTTTCGAAGGAACAGCAACCCAGATGCCGGTTTGCTCATCCCGAACTTCATCCGCATCACAGGCTCTCAGGTCGCCAATCTCGCAAGATGCTTGAGCACAGACGGACCCTGCCACGTTTCAGCCCTTCAGGTACGGTACGGAAAGCGGGACATCCGCACGCTTATTCGTACGAAGTATGTCATGGAATACCGGTACATCATATTTGTGGTCCGCTTCCCACTGCCTCGGAAATTCCGGTGTACGAAGTACATCTTATCTTTCCCAACTTGGAAATATCCATCCATCCATCCACCCATGGCCTGGGGAATTCCGTTTTGCTACTTTGCTAGTGTGCTGCTACTTTCGCTATCATATGGAAATTGGAATGGTAGGAATCCGAGCAAGAAGGGTAAGGAGTAGCATCTCATCTCAATGCTGAAGAATGAAGTGGACGTCGAGATACAGTAGATCACCTCCAGCATCGTACGCGTACGCCGTACATGCAGGTGCATCTTCGACGGGAATTTCCCCGGTGGAATTCAAGCATATGAGCAAGGACATGCCACTGACGTATAAATTACTTCGAAGTACTTCGATAGATACCTCGACGATAACACGTCCACATTCATGGAATTGCGGAAATGCACCCCCGAGTTTCAAGAGATGACTCTTCTTTGATACCTGTATAGCTGATCGAACGGGGCAAGTAGCGTCAGGTCCGCAATTGACCGCGGAACATACGCAATGTTCACCACGATTAGGGAATCAATAAATACGTATTCTATATAAACAGTATGACCCCCCGTAACAATGGTTTTATCAAGGTTAAATACATGGTTTAATAAAAAGTCACGTGTATCCGCTATGTCTAATAGAGCGGTGTCTAAACCCTTTTTGGATATCGTAAGACCCCCATATAAATAATCTTCATTTGTAATAATAAACCTACCTAGGTATTATACATATACCTAATTTATTAGGCTAAAAATATCAAAAATTGTATTTCAAGCCACTTTTCGACGCTAAATCCAGCATTCGCCCCACTATGATCAAAATATATTATATATATAATACAAGATTCATTTTTGTTTTCAATGTAAAATACAGTCGTGTTGTATTAACGAGGCCGATTACCTAACCACAATACCGACCGCATTTGATATGAAGTAGGTGAAGGAATCTCCTGTGTACGGACTCTTAAGGTATCAGCATTGGGAACAATAATTTGTCAACAAGAAAAGCCTCTTGCGTGGGTGGCTAGACACTATGCTGCGTGGGTAGCTCAGACTTCAATTATGATATCTAGGAATATCAGAGCCGAAGTTCCATGTTTCGCTGATAACCTCGATCGCATAGAGTAGAGTGCATACGTTCAGTTAGCCGTCTGAATTCACAAAATGGGACATCTTTCTACCTGCGTCAAAGTTTCCGCTGCCGTTATGTATCGATGCCATTAGTCTTAATTAGTCTGCAGTTTTCGAGTTCGGGGGATGCACTCACCAGCCTGTTTTTTCTCGGCTATTACCTTTGTAATGAATCGCCGAAAGTACAGGCGGCATTATCATGTGCGTATTAATCTTCGATTGCGAGTTCGTATACGGGGTTGGGAAATGTGTGTTGACTTACTTTTTCTGATCATAGCGTTGCCGCGTCGGGAGTGAACATTGCAGCATACGGAGGATGCCGTCATTCTAGCAGAAGTTTTGATAAAATTAGTGCAAGAAAAACATCTTGCCAAGGAATATTTAATTTGGTTCTGCAGGGAAACGAATTGCTAGTGATGAATTTTCTTCTTCTCGCTATTGGCAAAGAAGTTATAAGTAATTTTGTAGACTCGACAAGAACTTTTACGAATGCTGCGCTACTTTCATCAGAATGAGCACAAGGCATCCACAAATTGGCGGTCCTCGATTGTTAGTTGTGAAATAGAACCAGGAAGCTCGGATTATCCCAAATACACACACGGTTGCCTGCACATATTCGCGTGGAACATCACAGATTCAGAAGAAAAGCAAGCCGTATGGCGAGGTTGGTTCTGGATGCGGTGTTTGTAAAGCAACAATTCTTGAGATTTGGTTTCCTTTTTGTCAGGTCGGAGTTTTACTTCATGTTAGGTAGAAACAAGCAGGATTGCATGGAATACAACGG